GAACAGTTGTCGAGAAATCAAATTGTTGTAAATTGAACACTCATAACCAAAATTAAATGGTCAGCTTTTTAACTGGACACAAGTACAAATTAGATGATTTGGGGTGATTTTAGACAATTTTTACGAATTTTGAATGAATGTGAAAGAAATTAGGGCTCATTAACAAGAGTAAATGATAACCAGTGATATAAAGCTGTAGTGTCTAATGTATTTGTCACTAAATATTCAAGTACCTTATACATGTTCGAATGGTTAGCACATGCGCGCTGTATCACAAGGCCTGTCATTGAGTCAACTGGCGTGGTAGGGTCGCCTGAAGTAAACCAAGGTGGTTGGACATGCAACCCTACTTATTCCTTGGACAAATTGTGGATCAAATTCCAAGATGGCTGTCAAGACCTCAGAGCGTGTCTAATAAAGGCATGACATTTGTCGTACAGACAGGCCAACAGGGCTCCAAGAACACCTGATAACCACTTTATATTTATTTAGGCTGTTGACATACATGCAGCCATCACAATTTTGTATAGTGTGTTACGTATTGCTCAACTAACCTATTCACAGCCTGGAGGTATAGCATTTAAGATTTCCAATATATTCCTCTGTATATTCACCAATGTTCAATTTCCCAAACTGTCTCATAGATGTCCCTGATCAGGAAGTCAATTTCACTAGCCCGATATATCAATAAAGTAGGATTCAGTTAGTGTCACTGATAGAAATATATAAAAATATCATCTCCTCGAAGCATCATCTTATTGTCTTTATTAATCTGTTAAGCAGAGTTGCTCTGTTTGGGTTACTCCTTGCCAGGTCCTCTTTCCTGCACAACTACAAGGGGAAACTGAGAAAGTATTAAGTAAGTGCTTTACTCACCAAGCAACTGTGGTCCCCAGCTAACATACAAAATTACTGTTTCTTGCAATAGTCAGATAAATTTGATCTGTGACAGCAGTATAAAAGTATATGCAAATGTACTTCAATGGCATGTTTGGAAATACACTGACATGCCAGGTGCAAATTGAGACTTTTTTAGGCACATTCCCTCTAGTGCCTGTTATTTGTTTTATTTCTTTGATCAGGGGATCGACGGTGGCTCAGTGCGTAGGACATTGGTTGACTAACCTGGTGTAGGACATAGGACCTAGCAAGGGACGATGTATGGTCGTTCGGATGGGATGAAAAACCTAAGAGTAGGCCATAGCGCAACTGTTTTGGACATAATTCTCCTCATAGCACATTGCATGGTGTATGCCCATCCTGATATTTATTTCTAATACATGTCCGCCATTGTTCACCACAAAGTTAAATAAGTAAGTACTAGTTCATTAGTGTGTTGACATTTGGTCAGCTGCAACTAAAATCATTGTTTCCAGACATGTTCAATGGAAAAGTTTGCGAATGTTAGGAAGAACTTGTAGGATTTTCTTTCTGTTATTTCATCTGGTTTTTGACCTTTTGTAAGTGGGGTTGAAAGTAGATGATTTAACCTACTTTAGTATATTTTATCAAATGGTCTTTATTTAATACTGTATTTATGGTACACCTTAAAGTCTTTCAACGTGATTTGAGCAATATAGGAATCCCTTGCAAACTATATATATAATATTGTATGAAAGTCGGAAAATAGTTCCGTTAATGTCGGATATGTAAAAGTGTACAAGGAAACCCCTTCAAAAATAGTTCAATATAAGATCTAATATACATCTTTTTATAAGTACGTCCAATATGTTCTCTGATCCGTTTCACTATCATTAGAGACAGACATGTTGTTTAACATCCACTCTACGCAAACTGAATTATTTCGGAATTAATATAGTTATACAGTAATCTGATTAAAGACCGCTGCACAAGTCAATTATTGAAATAAAATTGAATCATATGTTAGTCCCGAAATGACTTGTGTCAAGTGGAGGTTAAACCCCATTACTCTCTTCCTCTCGCTCTCTGATAATGTTCTTACCTCTTGAGTTATATTAAAGATGCATTATGCATGAGATAAATCAGCCTATTGCAGGTATTTTTTCTAGCTTAAAATGTTACAATGTATATAAATTTTTAATTAAGACATTTAAACTGTCTGGTTTCTGAAATGAAATGATATGGGGGTTTAATGTCTTTCGTTTCTGTATCAACTATGCCATGAGGAAATCTTTGCCAGTATATTGTATTACGACAATCACTTGCATTGAACCCGGGACCTGCTCACTGAACCCTGTTGTAGCCATGACTTCGGGTTACAACCAACACTTGCATTGAACCCGGGATCTGCTCACTGAACCCTGTTGTAGTCATGACTTCGGGTTACAACCAATACTGGGATTGAACCCGGGACCTGCTCACTGAACCCTCTTGTAGCCATGACTTCGGGTTACAACCAATACTGGGATTGAACCGGGATCTGCTCACTGAACCCTGTTGTAGCCATGACTTCGGGTTACGACCAACACTTGCATTGAACCCGGGATCTGCTCACTGAACCCTGTTGTAGCCATGACTTCAGTTTACAACCAGTACTGGGATTGAAACCGGGACCTGCTCACTGAACCCTGTTGTAGCCATGACTTCGGGTTACAACCAATACTGGGATTGAACCCGGGACCTGTTCACTGTACCCTGTTGTAGCCATGACTTCGGGTTACAACCATTACTGGGATTGAACCCGGGACCTGCTGTTTAATTTGCAAGTGACTTCTTCACTGAACCCTGTTGTTGCCAGGACATTGGGTTAAGTAAGACTAATACTGGGATTGAATCCGGGACCCGTTCAGCGAACCATTACTGGGATTGACTTCGGGTTACAACCATTACTGGGATTGAACCCGGGACCTGCTGTTTAATTTGCAAGTGACTTCTTCACTGAACCCTGTTGTTGCCAGGACATTGGGTTAAGTAAGACTAATACTGGGATTGAATCCGGGACCTGTTCAGCGAACCATTACTGGTATCGAACCCGAGACCTGTTGTTTAATTTGCCAGTGAATTACTCACGGAAACCGCTGTTGCTCTCGACCAGGTTTTGGGGGTTGGATGGCCGAATGGTAAGCATGTACGCGCGTGTTGTATCATAAGGTCTGTTATTGAGTCAACTTGCATGGTTTCTACAAGGCATAGGGTCGCCTGTACAGCCTCTACGAGCAAGTGAATTATTGACATAAATTTAACCATATATATATATATATATATATATATATATATATATATATTAGTCCCGAAATGACCTAGTTTGTGTTTAGTCGACGTTAAACCCCATTTCTCTCCCTCTCTCTTTCTCCCAGGTTTGTTTAACATAGTGGAATGTGATGTAATCTTTTGTCAACATTATTTCATTATTCATAGAATAATAAACAGTATCTTTGTCTGACTTATTTATTTACCAACAAATACAGATTAAAACTTATTCTATATTAACATGTCAAACAATAACAACTTATCTCCTGCCAAATTTACAAATCTCACCAAGCCAGATTAAGATTAACACCAGATCATCAAGAATTATTGGCTCATTCAAAGGTATTCCTTCTCACCGAGCTTCAGAAAATAATATTGACATAAATTATATTTTTGAGTTCACGCCATGAATCAGTTAAATACTTGATTTCCTCTTCCATAATTCATGTTTTCCTTTCTCAAGAAATGTCTGGTCAACAATAATCGATTCTGCTTTGTGCTTGTGATGAGAGGGATTAGTTTTTAAAAAATACAAATTTTACTTCAAATTAAGTAGAAAAACTGACTTGCGAGTAAATCGTATCCATATTGAACTACATGTGGAAATTAATCCTTTATAAAACAGAAAGATAAAATTCATGCACATCTGTATCATTCACCACAAGAAAAGAGATTGCCGTATTTAAAATCAAATAATTATTTTAGCATTATGATTATGAATGAAGGTTTTGAAGATAAAAGATAGTCTATTTCTCAATCAATGGGACTTAATGTCCGCTTGCACCTAGGGTGATATTGCAAAGAAGTGTTTCCTGGGAAACTTCAACAAGAGCCAAATGACAAGCTTGTCTCTGTGAAAGACAGTTACATCCATAGCCTCTTGTACATGGAGAGATTTATTGATGTAAAAAATATACAAAAATAGTGACTGTTATTGAATGAATATTTTAAAAATTCGAAGTCGTATTAGATGATGTTGAGATAATAAACATGTCCTGCCCCTTTAGCTACATTTTTTTAAGGGAAATAAAATGAGGTGTGACATCCTACTTTTCTGCCATAAATGGGCAGTTAAAGACAGGTACAGATGTATATACAATGGCTTCTTCTATGTGGGAAATTATACCCAGATAGCTGCATTTCGACCTAGTCTTCAAGGGTTCTTTGTATATAGGTAGACCTTGTTTTTTAATTGAATCCCAACAACTAGAAACTTTTTTTGCCAGATCCTCCTCGTTCCAGAGTGGAAATTTCTTGATCAAACCAGGGACATCCTGAGTATTGAGCCATTGTTTTTATGCTATCTTGAGGTACTAGAAACTTAAAAAGACAGCATATTTCAACATATGAATCTGATGGTTAGGACCAATGCTGTGGGACTCGGGTTAGGGTTAGGGTTAGGGTTAGGGTTTATGGAAAAGAAACTTGAGTTCTGTTGGTGTTCTGCTTAAATTCATACAAGGAAACTTTCTTTACCAAGTATAATTGTACAGTCACCAGCAGAGTTTCCGTTTCAGACATAATTGTCAGTCTACCCTGACTGGTGCTAAAAAATATTTCAGCTGTCAAAATTTATAGATGAGAACTAGAAAGAGTGGAAATGGGGGAAGGGGAGTTAATTATGTTTTAGGAAAGTTCAAGTGGAGTGTACTAGGTGAATGGATGGAGGTCGATGCTTTAGGATATTGGAAGGGGAGACTACTGGATGGACGTGGAAGGGGGGATAACTACACCGATAATTTTAAGGAATTTGATTAGTTCACATAGCGTTGATGCAACTGACTGTATTAATTATTGTATTGAGAAATTTTTTAATTTGTATTTTTCAGGAAGGGAAAAAGAAAGGAAAAAGATTCCCCGACTCCACCAGCTTCTGATGAACAGCGACAATATCTAGAAGAAGATTGTATTAAGGAACGAATTACCGAAGCTGATCTCTTTAAATTAGTCTGTTTACCTCCTAGCTTAGATTATAACGAATGGCTAGCTACACATAGTAAGTATTCAGATATCTCTTGACCCCAGAGGTCATTCATTAATCACTGACTTATTTAAACCACATGTAGTCTACCTGTTATCTTATATATTATTTACTAACTACTGATATATCTTAATTATATCATCTATCATTCTCTTATTAGACCACAGACAACATGGTATATCACAGTACACTATAAAATAGGGTCAATATTGGTTAATCATTTTGACAAGGCCAAACGCATAATTTCCTCAAGGACACAAGATGTAAACATAAAATTGTTGTTTTAAAAAGAAAATATGTGCAAAGTTCTGTGTTTCTCGATCAAAGATATTTCTCATAAACAGTGATTGAAAGTTGAGTAAAATCTTAACTTCACTCTGAGAATTGCTTTGTGAAATTGTGGCCTGGTTTTAGCAGTAGTGCCAAGGATTTTGTAAGGTACAACTATAACTGTTATTTCAAGTCTTGTGAAGTGCATTGAATTCCGAATAGTTGCCTTGTGAAAAGACTTCATAAAGAGTTGATAAATTAACTCAATCTCAACCAAAGGTGATTATTCACGCAAAAGAAAGATGCTGTTTAAATAATTTCTATTTACAGTGCTGAAAAGCTAATTTCTATGGATTTAAGTTCATTGATGATAAATTGACGTCAAATCAATAATGGCTGTGGATTGCAGCGACTGGACAGTGTAATAAAATCATATGGTTGCGTATTGCTGACAACGGGTTACTGCGATAAACATGGCTACAAGATAATATTACGCTGAGTTTATTGGAAAACGTATAAGATTAAGCTGTAATGATTGCCTATAGTTTATCAATAAGTCATTCATCTTGAAAACGGGGGGTTGGATGGCTGAATGGTTAGCTTGCGCGCGCTGTATCATAAAGTCTGTCATTGAGTCGACTGGCGTGGTTTCGAATCTCCGGTTGTACGTGACAAGGAGTAGGGTCGCCTGTCCAACCTCGTGGGTTTTCTCCGGGTCCTCCGGTTTCCTCCCACTGCTAAAGACCCCTACGCGCAAGCGAATTATGTAAATAAAATTAAACCGTATGTTAGTCCCGAAATGACCTAGTTTGTGTCGAGTGGACGTTAAACCCCATTTCTCTCTCTCTCTCTTCATCTTGAAAACAAATTGCTTTATTAAAGGCCAATAATTACTCGTTGAATTTAGCATTTTTTTGTCAGATTGTACTCTGGGAGATAAAGATCTGTATGTGGCAAAAGACCAATATCTTTTTAAACCAGACCCGTAATCATGGGTCTGCTTGTCCTTGAATTTAACAAAATATCGGAATATTAAGATTAAAACAAAAAAAAACAAAACTGAAATGTGATGTGGTTTAAAGTAGCCAAGTCTCTAACTCAATATCATCCAAAGTCTTACACGTTGAAAATACGAATTATTTGTCAATTTAAATCAACATTGATGTTGAGATCTTACCAGGAATAGGCAGGCTTCTGATATCCAATATTTAAGACAAAATAAACCTTTTACCATTGGTGCACGAATCGTGTACCATAGTGCATTTTAGCGTCATTTGCAACAAGTGACTAGAAAGTACGAGGCTAGACATATTCAACTGGAAAGCCTGCTCAATAGACTGGAATAACCAGATGCTAGAAATTGCTATAGGGTTGAGTCACATGCCGTATTTCGCTGGACATAACTGATTTGAAATTTGAGTCAAAACGGAAACAATTGAATGTAAATCAGTTTATATACAATCAGATTACATTATTATATGCATTGGGTCGATTTCTAGGTCCCAAAAATTAGCGATTTAGCTCCTTAAATGTCCTCCATTTCTGCTCTGACTGGGCTAACGAGGGAAATTTTGCCGGGACAACGACACTACGGCCTACTCTTATTTTTAATTATGTCAAGGTTATTCTTTTACACGCATGCCTGTGTGGACGTAGGATCTCAGTTTTTTTTGTCCCATCTGAACAACTCTACATTGTACATGTACCTTGCCAGGCCCTCAGTACTACACCACTGACAAGTGGAAAATATGCTGTAAAATCCAGATGAAATTTCTCGACCAACATCGGGATCGAACATGGGACATCCAGTTTAGTGAACCAATGATGTCTTTCCCACTGAGGCTCCAATCAACATATTATACAATCGATACCACCTTGAGATCACTGCTAAAGACCACTCACTACATTCAAGCAATTTAATAAAACAAGATTGCACCAAATCTTAGTCCCAAAATGACATAGTTTGTGTTGAGTGGACTTTAAACCCCATTTTTTTGTCTATATATAGACCAGAGTCCAAAGGAATCCTTGCGTCTCTTCCCACCATGTTTTCATAGAAACTAGAACTGATTTTTTCTGATCTGTTTTATAGTAAATTGTGTTAATACCATGTCAGTCATTGATGTGGGTTGTTTCTCGATGTTAGATCTCTGCATCTCTAGCTTACTAATCAATAAAATAAACATCATCATTGTCTTGGAAACCTCAAAATTATTCTCCATTTAGTACAAAAAACATGAATGTTGTAGAGTTACATTAAACAGACACGCAGCATGTTATTTTACAAGACATACTACGCTCTCGTACTCATCCCTTCACAAACTCTTTCTATTTTCAATTAGATTTTGCTAATGACGTGAAGCATGTTATTTTACACATCTTTCTATTATATTACATAGGCATTGTATCTCTACTCCTATCCATTCAAAAACTCTCTCTACTTTCAGTCTTTCTATTATATGACATCCCAGCTATGCATTGTATCTCTACTTCTATTCATTCAGAAACTTTCTCTACTTTCAATTTGAATATGGACCCTGCTAATGACGTGGTGCATGTTATAAGACATCTTTCTATTATATGACATCCCGGCCATGCATTCTATCTCTTAGCCCATTCAGAGGCTTATTTTTAAACTAGTTCATAATCGCTGGGGTTTTTAAGACGGCATCGTGTTGCGTTCACACGTACTATAAGCCAAACCAGTTTAACTATTCTGGCATCTTCGGCCGGAGGTTAGAGTAAACTACGCATGGGTAGCTTCATATTCTTTATTCGGTTCTTGCACGCTTTCGATAACATTGGCACTGTCTGACCCTGATATTTTCACAGGAATGTAACTTAGTGCGTACTGCGCATGCTCAAAGCAAGGTGGAGCCGGGGTTTTTAAGCCAACCTGTTCAGATGGCTAAGATGAACCAGTTTAAAATTAAAAGCCGTCTCGAAGACAGGTCGCGAACTGGGGCTTTTAAACTTGTTTATTTGCCCCACATTTGCGTTCAGACGCTTAAGTTAAACTGGTTTGGTTTAACGATCCCTGGGGTTTTTAAACCAGTTCAACTTAAGCGTCTGAACGGGCTATCTGACTCCTATCCATTCAAAAACTCTCTCTACTTTCAATTTGAATATAGATCCTGCTAATGACGTGGAGAATGTTATTGTCCCCCGCCTTTCGAAGAAAGCAGGGGACTATTAAAATGGGTTCGTCCGTCTGTCTGTCCGTCTGTCTGTCCGTCACACTTTTTTGGACACAATAACTCTCTTCCTAATTGAGCTAGAATGTTCAAACTTGGTGTATGTGTTTATTAGGTCAATGCCTTGATGGAGTTCGAAGATGAGCATTTTCCGCTTAGGGTAAGCAGAGATAAGCAATTTGATTGGTTGATGCTTTGGGACACGATAACTCTCTTCCTAATTGGGCTAGAATGTTCAAACTTGGTGTATGTGTTGATTAGGTCAATGCCTTGATGGAGTTCGAAGATGAGCATTTTCCGCTTAGGGTAAGCAGAGATAAGCAATTTGATTGGTTGATGCTTTGGGACACGATAACTTTTAATTGAGCTAGAATGTTCAAACTTGGTGTATGTGTTTATTAGGTCAATGCCTTGATGGAGTTCGAAGATGAGCATTTTCCGCTTAGGGTAAGCAGAGATAAGCAATTTGATTGGTTGATACTTTGGGGCACGATAACTCTCTTCCTAATTGAGCTAGAATGTTCAAACTTGGTGTATGTGTTGATTAGGTCAATGCCTTGATGGAGTTCGAAGATGAGCATTTTCCGCTTAGGGTAAGCAGAGATAAGCAATTTGATTGGTTGATGCTTTGGGACACGATAACTTTAGTTCTAATTAAGTGAGATTGATGAAACTTGGTGTATAGTTTCATTACAGTAATACCTTGACTAAGTTTGATAATGAGCATTTTCTGCTCAGGGTAAGCAGAGCGATACGCAATTTGATTGGTCGAGACTTTGGAAAACAATAACTCTCCTACTTTGATTGTTAGACTATAAGTAAAGATATACTGTTTGATTGTTCAATACTTTGTAAAAGATAATTTGTGATAAATTTATATGTGTCCTCTAATTATTTTCCTATTTCGGCGGGGGACATCAGCCTCACTGTTGGCTTGTTTTACAAGACATCATACTATTATCTGACATCCCAGCTATGCACTCTATTTCTTACTCTGCTTTCATTTTGTACAGTGCCATTGAATGCATCTATTGCAGTAATGAATGCTATGTCAACTGTAATAAACATAAACTCTTTCTCACTAACTTTAAATTTTAGATATGTGTTAGGCCTCATTTACAAAAATTTAAACTAGAATATTTAGTTCTCATGAATTACACCACTGACGTCACAGACTTACTCATATCAAACTCTTGCTATTTCAAATTTCAAAAATTGGTTAGACCAATAACATTCTCTCGAAAATTAAGTCAGTTTCATTCATTCAAATTAATTTTAACATTGGTTATACAATTCATTCAGAAAGCACTGTTGAAATTTCTAAAACTTTTACATGTTGATGTCAACCCCAGGATAGAGTAATTAAACATGCATTATGCAAGAGCAAAATCTGCTTATTACAAGTCTTTCTTTAGGCCTGAAATATTATCTAAATTATCAATTAGACATTAATTAACTTATCCAGACCATAATAAACTCTCGATGTCAAGGCTAGCCTTCGATGTTGGCTGGATTAGATTCCTATATGCCGCTAATGGCTATTGATAATTAAATCAATAAAAGTGGATAATCGAGACTATGCTGTTTATATTAATGATTTTAGTAATGATGACCAAGACTATGCAAAAATTTCACACGCTTCTTTGTCGGCTCATAGTGGATCAATTTGACTGAAATTTTCAGCAAATTACCTTTACACTATCTAGTTTTTAACTATTATAGCGAGAACTGCCATCTCTTTATCTTATCTCCCATAATGTATCTTTAATTAAACTTTGCCCAGACAGCTACACTAGGGCTTACTCTTAAATTGAATCGGAGCAGAACAGTAGGACGTTAAACCCCATTTCATATCATTTCTTATATCGAATTCCAACTGCCAAGGGATCTTTTAGGTGCATGCCAATGTGTTCATGGGTCCTTGTTTTTTTTTTGTACTATCCGAAAGACTAAACAGTTGTCCTTGTAATTCCTTCCATAAGTACTGTTTTGCTCAAACTGGGCTAATGAAGACGGGCATACACCATAAATTTTGCTCGGACGGTACCACTAAGGCTAACTCATATCGAATTTCAACTGCCAAGGGATCTTCTACATGCACGCCAATGTGTACATTGATCCTCAGTTTTTAGTCCCATCCAAACGACTAGACAGCTGTCCTTGTCAGGCCCTCTGCACTGAACCACTGTGGCTTCTGATTAAAAATATTTTTTTAGCTTAGAATATAGGCGGTGCTATCTTGTTTTGACCCTATCCCATTTATATTTATACCGTCTGCAGAGGATGCCGATCCGAATATTGACAAATTTTCAGTTCATCATGTCCTTGTAAATACTGAAAGGAATTGAACCATTTGTCGACAAATATTCCTTTTAGAGATCCAGAAACTTTAAGAATAAATATGTTTATCACTCAAATGATTTAGTTGCTGTGGGCGATGTTTCCTTGCCTGGCAACCTATCTTTCATTTCATCCTATCTTTGTAAATACTGACAGGAATTGAACCATGTATGGGCCAATATATGTTTTAGATATTCTACTTTTACAATATTTTATCGGTAGTTTGCAATGGTCTCTATAAAACTGTGGTTCCCCCTTGTCAGTGATGCAGGACGGAGGGCCTGACAAGGACAGTAGTCTAGTTGTTCGGATGGAACGGAAAACCGAGGTCCCGTGTATACATTGGCGTGCACGTCAAAGATCCCTTGACAGTTGGAATTCGATATAAGAGTAGGCCATAGTGCTGCTGTCTGGGTAAAATTTCCCTCATAGCACACTGTAAGGTGTATGCTCGTCTTCATTAGCCCAGTTGGAAGCAGAACTGTAGAACGTTAAACCCCATTTCATTTCATTTCATTTCTCTACAGAACTCTTCCAGTAGCTGTTTATATACCGACATAGATTCCAGTTGCACAGAACGAGGGTCGGATAAGAAAATAAGAGAACTCACTGATTGATTCATTTACACGAATAACCTCACGCCCAATAAAACAAATAAATGTTTGTTTGAAGTCTGGTTATTCTAGAACCTTAGTCAATAACATCCAGGCTATTGTTGTAGACCTATGAATGACCTGTAGTCTAATTTCGTAGCACAACATGAAGAGATTGAGTTATTACCATAGATATGCTATAAACAAATAAAGGTGTTTTTTTTTCACTGCTGTTTCATTGTGAAACAATTTGATGGGGGGAAAAATCCCAAACTGAAGGTCTTTCATTCAAGCATGAATTCATTGTCATTAGTTACATATATTTATAACAGATGATTTTTATATTCTTTCTGTTTAATGAAAATAAATATATACTGAAGATCAACATTATAGTTCAAGCATGAATTAATTATCAGTGGTTTAAAGAGCAGATCTAGAGATTATAAAGTTGCTTTTGGTTGACTGAATTCATTCACTATTTACATTTGATATTTCACTCTTTACCACATATCTCAGAGAGAAAGAGAGTTTAATATCTTGTCATTAGCATACTTTCACACAAACTAGGTCATTTTGGGACTAACATTGTAGATTTTTTTTCATCAATTTGTTATCTCGTAGGGGTCTTTTAGCTGTGGCAGGAATCCTGGATTTTCTGGCATGTTTTCCCCTAGGTACAGGACGGGAGGGTCTGACAAGGACAGTCTGTAGTCCTGACGTGGTTTCCCTTTGTCAGTGGTGCAGGAAGGAGGGCCCGACAAAGACAGCTGTCTAGTCATTAGGATGGGACAAAAACTGAGGTCCCGTGTATACATTGGCGTGCATGTAAAAGATCCCTTGGCAGTTGGAATTCGATATAAGAGTAGACAATTGTGCTGCTGTCTGAGCAGAATTTCCCTAATAGCACACTGTATGGCGTATTCCCGTCTTCATTAGCCCATTCAGAGCAGAACAGTAGGACGTTAAACCCCATTTCATTTCATTTCATTGTCTAGTCGTTCAGATTGTACAAAAAGCCAAGGTCCTTTTGTAGACATTGACGGTTAGAATTTGAAATAAGATCAAGAATTGCCCCCTGGGATATAACTGTCTTCATAGCTCAGCCAGACGGTGCAAAACAGTAGGACGATACACCACATTTCATTTTTAATTTCGATTCAAGAATTTAATAGTCCTTTCATACTATTTAACTCAGTTGATGTGAGTACTTGAGTTCTATAAAGGTTATAATATAAGTACACTTCATATTCTTGACCTTTAGGTAAATATCTTCAACTATATTATAATCTTCAAGTGGAATTTACCTACATGCACTTAAAAACGTTCTGTTTGAAAATTGTACAGTTTAACATGTAACCTAGATATAAATGGTACACTTAACAGTTTTCTGTAAATATGATACACTCTTTCACAACACTATTTTATTTACCGAACACTAGGATATACGTATATATACCCCTTAGTTAAATAGACCTGATACATTTCACAATGAAATATGTATTTTATTGGGTGGATTGTAATTAATCGTGTGTGTCTATTAGTATTGTCAATATTGGATATACCAAGGTATTTATATAGTATTATTGTATGTATACAATGAAAATTAAAGCAACATTGCATGAGGTGGCTAATAGACATTTTCCTAATTTAAGATAAGAATGTAAAAAGGACTATATTCTGGTGGTTGTGAATATATTTGGATAGATTTGCAGGCCTGGAAATAATGGTTTTAGATGTACCTGGCAAAATGACAGTCACTAATGAAAAAGTACCTGACATTTTCAACTTAGTGCCGGACATGTATTAATAATATCAATAAAAAGACAAATCAGTGCCGGACAAAATGACAGGCTCCAAAGGTTTTGTGTGTCTGACAAAGCCGGAATCTGTGCCCGACATTGTCTGTGACAGGTGCCTTATTTCCAGCCTTGATTTGATATTTAGGTTTTATACTTTGTACACCAATTAAAGTAATATTCACAGACACTCGATAATACATGTATTGCAATAGAAAAAAATTCATATGAAACTCAATAAAACAAAATGTATATAATATATGAAACTCAAGAGAACAAAATGGATAACCAACTCAATAGAATATAAATGGATATATAGGAAACTCAATAGAACAAATGGATATACATATGAAACTCAATAGAACAAAATGGATATATACGAAACTCAATAGAACAAATTGATATACATATGAAATTCAATAGAACAAAATGTATACATGTATCAAACTCAATAGCACAAAATGGATATATATGAAACTCAGTAGAACAAAATAGATATATATATGAAACTCAATAGAGCACGGTAGATATATTTGAAACTCATTAGAACAAAATGGATATATATAAAACTCAATAGAACAAAATGGTTTTATGAATTCCAGAATAAAATGAAACATTGTGTAAACATAGAATAGCATAAAAAGGAAACATGGTATAAAGTACAACACAGTTGTCCCATATATATATTAGAAGTGGTGTGAGGTGTTCTAGAAGATTGAGTGTACATGTACCCAGCTTCATGCACTGAACAACCTATTGCTACAAGAGATATTGTGGACCACTAAATATAGAGAGATAATATGTCCCAGTATTTCTGTAGCTACAGTAGATCATGAAACACATACATTATATACGGATATTGTCCCAATATTTCTGTAGCTATATTAGATCATGGAACACATACAATATATAGAGATATGTCCCAGTATTTCTGTAGCTACATGTATATTAGATCATGGAACACGTACAATATATAGAGATAATATGTCCCAGTGTTTCTGTAGCTATATTAGATCTTGGAACACATACAATATACATGTATGTCCCAGTATTTCTTTAGCTATAGTAGATCATGAAACACATACAATATTCAGTATGCTGTGCAAGTTGCTCTATACCACTTCTCAATTAAGTTCACATGGATCATTTTAACATATTTTTATTATTCTTTTTTCTACATTCAACCGACTAACTTTTGTTATTGATGCTCTGCTTTCAAATTTATTGAAACATTTTTTGTTTGTGGTTTTTCAGCTATAACATTTTTTGTTTGTTGATTTTCAGCTATATAATTTTTTGTTTTTTATTTTTCAGCTATATCATTTTTTGACCATGTGAATTTAATGTATGGTGTTGTCTCTGAATACTGCACCCCTGAAACTTGTCCAGCCATGACAGCTCCTGGAAATGTGTAAGTTTACAGAATATTTTATCATCATTTATTTTCTCGAATGAGAGTGCCAATATCTATTAAACATACACTATGCAAGAGCTAAATCTGCCTATTGCAGGTCTTTCTTTAGGCCTGAAATGTTATCTAAATTATTAATTAGAAATTAATTAACTTATCCACACTATTATCAAATCTCGATGTCATCGCTAGCCTGCAATATTTACTGAATTAGGATCTGATTTGCTACTCAACTTTCATTCATGATTTAATCATAAAATGGATAATCGAGACTTATGTTTTTTATTGTACCGACTTTAGTAATGATGATTGAGGCTAGGCCAAAAATTCATTAACTGAATTCTCGGTTCAGACTAGATCAATTTGACTGTAATTTTCAGCAAATTCCTTTTACTTTATCCAGCTTTTAACTATGCCAGCTCTTTATCTAATCTCCCATAATGTATCTTTAAAGGATATAAAAAATGTACAATTCAATTAAAGAACACCAAATATGGTTACTAATAGCCCTAGTAAGCCGTCCGTCCCCAGGGTATTTTAACATTCTAGAATTCATCAATTATAGGTGTAAAGCTCATTCTACTTAATTCCCTGGAAACGTCCACGAAGTGTACATGTGATTCACGAAAAATCCTACAATTTATTTTGTTGAGCAAAGGGTAATTACCTTCTGGAAATAGAAACCAGAAGATTGTTGAAATGTACGGTACACAGAGGATTTAGAACTTCCATCAGGGAGTGTGTTAAAAAGATGCCATCACAGAGAACCAATTTTTATCACGATTATTACAGTCATCTGGTGATGATATGTACAACAATCTATAATGATAAAGTGTGTTAAATGTCCGTCAGATCTTTTTCTTATTCAATTTATTGGAAGTTGGACTCGAAACAAGATGATTTTTGCAAGATCAACGTTATTTAGGCTTCTCTGATAATATAAAAAATAATCGATTATATTTCGACAGTTGTCGGGTGAAAAAGATTTAGTTGTTGGTTGGCAGGTTGAATTCTTCCTGATAGAATAAAACTTCACAAGTAGTCGAGTAATTTCCGTCAAGATGTAGGATGTTTTTGTCTTCCTTTCAACTTGAATGGAATTGAAACAGTTGGTAGTAAATTGACCTGATGAACAATGCTTGTTTTTTTATGAAGAGCATTTGTTTTTTTGTCGACCATCGGAAGTGTCTGTCAAATAGACGAAACATTAATTGGCATATCACCAGTAAATATCTCAGATATCTCAAGTCTATACACTTGATGTAACCTTGATGTAGCTGATTATTTTAATAACGCGACTACAAATATACATTGCCTTTGTTCTGAGCGTGACCGACTGAGTCTCGGAGCATGATCAGCCAAATCTATGAACTTGATCGACTGATTTTCTGAACTTGATTGGCTGATTATCTGAACATGATCGGCTAATTATCCGAACATGATCAGCTGATTATCTGAACATGATTAGCTGATCCTCTTAGCGTTATCATCTGATTCTCTGAACATGATTAGCTGATCCTCTGAACGTGATCATCTGATTCTCTGAACATGATTAGCTGATGGTGAGGATCTACTAAGAATTGTATTTATACATACTAGACATAAATTTAAAAAGAAAACTACATCGGCAAATTTGTTCAAAACATGTTAGAATTATTTGTTTCCCCCCTCCCCCAAAAACTCAGATGCACCATGATTCAAATCAATAAAAAATGCATGTGAATAACGCTGTCATAGCTTTCTACTAGAAACAATAATTTTGGAAACAGCCTAAAATGGACAGTATTGTTTTGTTCTAGGCAATATTACTGGCATGAATATATTTGTATTGTTTATATTTTTCAGGCAATATTTCTGGCATGACGACAAAGGCAAAAAGTATAAATATCCAGCCTCACAATATATAGATTACGTCATGTCATTTATACAGAAAACAATAACAGATGAAACAGTCTTTCCTACTAAATTTGGTACGTTTTACAAACATATTTTACATTCTATGCTTGATAAAGACTGGAGAACCAAGCCTGTCAGGCACAGATTCAGGCTTTGTCAGGCACTAAACCTCTGGTGCCTGTCATTTTGTCCGGCACTGATTTGTTTTTTTTTATTGATATTATTAATACATGTCTGGCACTAAGTTGAAAATGTCAGGTTATTTCCAGGCCTGGAGAGAACCCTCGTCAAAACGTCGCTGAAATAAACTCTTCAAGTAACTTGTATTCCATATAATATTTTTCATGTGTTATATCATCACAGTGTACATGGCAACGTCTGTAAACTCACATGCTTGTTGCTAATGACAACGTTATCAACCGCTCATTCATCACGTCTTGTATTCTTATGGATACTAGGCCTATTTTTACCATAGAAATTGTTTTAATCTGGTTCCTTCCTTCTATTTTAATTCAGTTGCAAGACAGGAGGTCTGGCAAGGAACAGGGTCTAGTCTTTATATGGGTCGAAACACTGGGGTTGGTGGACAGATGAAATAATTCTTGACAAATGGAATTAGAAATAAGGGAAGATTGCAGCGCCACTTTCTGGGCAGAATTTCCCTCTTAGTGCACTGCATGGTGTATATGTCTGACTCGATTAGTCCAGTTTGAGCAGAACAGTAGGACTTTAAAGGACAATATTGGTGTCAGTCATTATAAAATATGTGATAGAGCTCATTAAATACATCCCAAATATAATTTTAACACAGAGATCATTGCTACGGGAGATTTTTTAACAAGCATGTGAAGAAACGGGAAGTGACGTCAAACATGACAAACATGAATTGTCCTTCTATATAACTGACTGAAGTAAGGAGCGGTAACAGACAAACGATCAAATTTCATTTCACTGATAATTCCGTTGAAGATGAAAAGTTGTTATATGAGACGATGAGAGGATGTTTGACAATTCAAAAAAAGAATTGGCTGTCAGTAGATAAAAGATAACGAACAAGTTAGAAAAAGTCCGTGCATTGCCATGTTTTTATTAAGAACAGAATGAATAAAAACCGGGGAATGCACAGGATTTTTCTACCTTTTCTCCTGTCCCTTATCTAGTGACAGCCAATTCTATTTTTGAATTGTGAGATACCCTCTCACCAGCCCATATAATAACTTTTCAACTTCAACGGAATTATCAGTGAAATGAAATTCGATCGTTTGTCTGTTATCGCTCGTTACTTCAGTCTGTTATATAGAAGGACAACTCGTGTTTGTCATGTTTGGCGTCACTTCCCGTTTCTTCACGTGCTTGTTACAAGTCTCCCGTAGCAATGATCTCTGTGTTAAAATTATATTTGGAATGTATTTAACCAGTTCTATCACATATGTAATAATGACTGACACCAATATTGTCCTTTAAACACGGTTAGTTACAAATTTTCTAGAATTGATTAACCTTTTTCCCCCCGGATGTAATCTAGCTTTAAACTTTACCAGGTTGATGTAAAGTACATGTTCTACATGTGTAATGTTTTTATTATACCCTGACCTCTTTTACATTATACAGTGACCTCTTGGTAACCCTAACAATATTTTGTTTTTTTATTGACTTTTGATGGTGGAACCTTTACCTGTCAAACTCAGTGTTAACCACCATTTGTTATGGTGTGATGTAGATACAGGGTGAACCATGTTTAATTTGGCTGTCTTTTGATGAAATATGACAAGTTTGACAGTTAATTAAATCCACTAATCCACAGTTTAAATCAAGATCATCAGTAGGATTCAGAATGACTAATGTATAAAATATAGGCCCTACATTTCGTTTTTATCTGGGGTTAGGCCTGTCATTACTTAAAGTGCCTTGATTCTATCCCACATTTGTACTAACGAAGAGTATATATATAAGGGTCACCTGCCTAACCTTGAGGTTTTCGCGGGGTCCTGTGGTTTCCTCCTTCTGCTACATGTAATTAAGGATTCCTTGTTGAAATAAAATTGTGCCATATGTTAATCCCAAAATGACCTAGTTTGTGTTGAGTGGATGTTAAACTTTTTAGCTTGCGTCATTTAATGATATCACAGTTTATATTAAGGACCAAGAACCAATATAATTAAGTATTATTTAGAGTTAATTATATTGAGTTTGAAATAGGGTATGCTGGTGATTTAGTCATTAAGACTTTGGCAAGCTAACCTACAGGTTCCCTGTTCAATCCCTGTGTTGACCAAGATAGTTCATCATTTTCCGGCGGGTTCCCCCTTGTCAGTGGTACAGGACAAAGGTGCTGGCCAGGGAACGTATAGTCATTCAGATTGGACGCAAAAACGAGGTACCTTAACAGTTGGAAGTCGATATAAAAGTAGGGCGTAGAGCAAAATATCCTTCATAGCACACTGTGTAAGGTGAATGTTGGTCTTTATTAGCCCAGTTGGTGCAGAACAATAGGATGTTAAACCCCATTTCATTTAAATATAACACAACACAGTTGTACGATAACTTTAACTTTAAATATCGACTTAATCAGAGTACCCTTGAATGTCTAAATAATAGTTTATATAACATTTGAAGCCAAATACTATATAACTTTAAATATGAACTTTTAATTAAATTCCAATTGTACATGACAAGGAGTAGAGTGGTCTGTCCAACCTCCTGGGTTTTCTCCCACCTCTCTCTCTCTCTCTCTCTCTCTCTAATTAAATTACTTTCTGTTAAACATGTTACCTTGAGTTTTATGTTTATTGTAAGATGGGTGTCCAAACTGGTTGATTTTCCTCCAGTTTCCTCCCCCCCTCTCTCTCTCTCTCTCTCTCTCTCTCTCTAATTAAATTACTTTCTGTTAAACATGTTACCTTGAGTTTTATGTTTATTGTAAGATGGGTGTCTATAGATAAACATGCTATAAACTCTACGTACTTAGACACATAAATCTAGGGTGGGGTTACGTTATGGAATAATTTTACACAAAATTTTAATTAGAACATAAATTACCAGCTAAAATAGAATCAACAGTACATGCAGCAAGTTTGAAAATTGAAAATATGAGACAGAATGGCTAGAGTTGAGGTGTTCGAAAGCTGATCAAGAGCACAATAATATTATAATTATAACCTGGGTAATAGACTTGGAATTTATCAGGTTGTACAGGTTATAAATAACATTCTAGCAGTCGAACAACTGAAACCTGGTGTTAAAGATATATCACATAATAATATTTGTTAAACATACATAATGCAAGAGCTAAATCTGCCTATTGCAGGTCTTTCTGTAGGCCAGAAATGTTATCTAAAATATTAATTAGACATTAATTAACTTATCCAGACCATAATGAACTTTCAATGTTATCGCTAGCCCGCGATATTTACTGGATTAGAATCCTGTCTGCTGCTTAAAGCTCATTGATAATTAAATTAAAAAAATGGATAATCGAGACTATGTTTTTTATCGTACCGACATAAGTAATGATGACCGAGACTAGGTCCAGAATTCAATCGCTAAATTCTCAGTTCAGAGTGGATCAATTTGACTGAAATTTTCAGCAAATTCCCTTTACATTATCTAGTTTTTAACTGTTATAGTGAGAACTGCCAGCTCTTTATGTAGTCTCCCATAATGTATCTTTAAATTTAAATTTAAAGGGCAAATACAGTCTTCAGACTTAAATACATAAAATATAAACTATATTGGTTCAAAAGTGATTAAAATAAACTAATTCTAACATCATCCAATGATTTCATTCCCAAATTTTACCATCTTTGAATCAAGCCTGGTGAAGGCACCTGTTACAGACATTGTCAAGTACAAATTATCACACAGTGTATAAAGAGGGAGATATAGAGGGACATACAGCAACCTTTCACTGACTCTTGTCAGACACAAATTATTAGATATTGAACTGACAACTTTATGGATAACATTCACTAGGTTTATTAACTGCAACGTTTCAATGAGGATACTCTCACCGTTATCATTGCTTGATGAGTATCCTCATTGAAACGTTGCAGTTAATAAACCTAGTGAATGTTACCCATAAAGTTGTCAGTTAATTATATATCCCGTTCACTAAATGGCTTTCAAAGATACAAATTATCACACAACATATATATTATAATAAAAATATTGTGCAATAATTTGTGTCTGATAAAGTCTGTGACAGGTGCCTTAACCCTTAACCTGTCTACGTAATTTTGAAGTCATGAAGTCAAGTGGTCAGGCTAAAAGGCTAAAGTGAAATATTTTGTATGCCTATTTCAAAAGACTACTGTCGGATAATTATAAGTGATAGACTCTTGACAGTCTTGACACCAATAAAAAAGTTGAAGGGGATATGTTTTTCTCAATGCCCTTGACAAGACAAATTCCTGTCTGACACTCATATCAATTAAATGCAAAACTAAATGCTCAAATGAGGCTTAGAAAAAGGTTCTTACTGTGGCCAACTTTTGTCGGCCATGACCACTTAGCTGTATAACGTTATGGTGACTATAATCGACATAGACCGGTTAAGGGTTAATCAGTGCAGGCTTGCTTAGAACCATCAACCCTTTTTTTTTGGGCAAAATTTGAACAGTTAAAACTTTACATTGTAAATATGGGTATAAGATCTAATAATTTCATTTCTGTAATTTCAGGTGAAGTCTTCCCGAGTTCATTTGAAACAATCGTAAAGAAAATACATAAATGTTTATTTCATGTGTTAGCGCATATCTTTCACGCTCATTATAAGGAAGCCATACAGTTAGGCATTCACGGTCATATAAACAGTCTATTTACGCACTTCATGGTGTTCAATATGAACTTTGAACTGTTAGAAGAAAAAGATACGGACATTATGCAGGACTTGGTTCAAGCGTTAATAAAATCGTTACAAGATCATAGTAATAAATTGAAACAGGAAATAGAGGAACAGAACAATAAAAATAGTCAGGATGATAATATGGAGAATAAGGAAAATAAGGAAAACAGAAGTTCGTAGCCATTGTGTTTACCCCATGTCTTTCACGTGTTAATGTGCATTTGCCTTGATGTATAATATATATATATAACACCAATTATTTAATAACTTGTGACCTTTGACCTGCAGGTGAGGATACAAGTGTAGTTCACCTGTGTCTTTGATATTTGTAACAGAGGGATAGAAACTGTCAATCATATTGCTACAGCAGCCAATGACAGATTGTGAAAAAGACACCTTATCGCATTCAAATAATATTTTGGCTGGTTTGACAGATTTTTGTTCGGGAAGAACTGAATTTTTGAAAAGAAGTGTAAGTGTTGGTTTGTGATTTAAATATAAATGTGATCTACCAGTATTTAATGTAACGAAGGCAGTGATTGATTATATATGACAGGATCTACACCAGTGATCTCCCTTTACATATTGTATCTCTACTTTCAGTTTCTTGATTATCTTATCCAGCCTTAGAACTCCTGAACGAAAGTCACATCAAGGACAATATGATCCGTTATTTCTATATATGGTGTTAAACATTACAGTTGCTATGTGTAACGGGACAGTTTCTAGATTGCAGAAATAGTTCTATATTTTCATTTAGTCGAATCTCAACAAAAATATAGACTGCTTTTAGAAGAAAAAGAATGTTAATTCGATTAAAAAAGAATAATTATTATAGGTGTAAAAATACGTAGGAAAATTGTTAAATTTGATTTGTGATATGTTAGTGTTTTGGTTAATACATACAGTATGATCCACAAAATAATTGTGCCGAATAAGCGGTTCGTGATGACCAGAATTTTAGCAAAAATTATTTGGATAAGTCTGCATTGAAAGGAACAGACCAAGATGTCTGATTGTCAGATGTTGAAATAACAATCGTGAGCTGATTAGAGAGTGTGTGTTTAATCCGTCGGATATGATATGATACAATCTGATTGAAATACAGATCTATATTTCTAGGGGTTTACCCCACAGTTCCGCGCAGAGAACGCCAAGAAGTCACCGTAATAGACCGTTTCATTGGCAAATTCCTCACATCAATAAGAATGATTATTATACAACAACTCTCGAAGATCCTAGTGTAATAAAGACAAGTAAAAACGAAATTTTGAACTATAAAAAAACGAAAGGAAATAGGATCTGTGTTTTAGTCAGATTGGATATGATACAAAATGTTGATACTTATAGAACGTAAATAAGGGAATATTTTGCATAAAATTGTATTTATTATTTTAATGTATGTATTTATGTTTTAAATCTGCGGTCCAGATCGTAGCGTGTCTGCAGAAGTTTTGTGTCATGTGATTTATGTTCATGTTTTTACTTCAAAGATTCGACTATGCATATTATCTTGCAAAGTCTTTATTCAGATTTTTGTAGTTTTCTGGAAATCTCTTCTTTTTTTTTTAAAATGTTACATCTTTAGATGTACATGACAGCACTAATTGTTATGAAACATGGGAAAAAATATTTTGTTTCCTTCCCCACTTCTTTGTAAAATTGTTGTAAAATTAACACTGGGGACATTGTAGTCGAGTGGACAAGGTGCTGAATTAGAAGGCTGTGGGTTTTGGTATGATGTTTGGCACCTGTGAAAGTGACAAGGTAAACAAAGCTTAGTCGTTAGGAAAACCGAGATCCTTGGTGTGCACTTGGGGGTTTGGTGGCCGAATGGTTATTGCATGGGCGTTGAATTGGAAGGTCTGTCATTGAGTTAAGTGTTGTTGATTTGTTTGGATAGAAAAAAAATATATGATAAAATAATTTGAACTATTACAAAGACTTATTAAATAAAACAGGTATCATTCTCACATGATTGGGTGGAGTTGTAGATTTTTTATAAATTGTAGGTGTAGGTATTAAATGTCAATCATGTACTTCATTGAATATTAGTAAATTTAGAGATAAATAGTCAGATTGTATTCAATATACATTAGTAAAGGGAGATAACTCCATCTTCCATTCCATTTTGTTTGTGTCTGTCTGCTATCAAAGCTTAGAATGCTAATAGCTTAGATTTAATTATGAAATAAAATCTTTGTTGGGGTTGGGGAAATAGTAGATATTGACTAATGTGAATTTATTGTGCATCTACATGTATCTCAAATTCAAAGATTTGACAAAATTGTTAGATATGAGACAATTCGAAAGCGAATATAATTGATCTTCTATGGTCTTGAAAGAAAATGCGTAGGCCCTATCTAGTCACTATCTGGAGTGATGGCTTTAGAAGTTTGAGAAGTGAGCTGTATAACATAAACCTAGTGAATTGATGACCATGATTTAATTGCCAGTGTTAGAAATGCTGTGGATTTAATACTGATAACTGCCTTGTTCAATATTTCCTTAGATTACAAAGTAAGATTTTATTGTAAGTTTATTACTGGTAGTTGCTTCTAGAGTACTTTTCTGATATTCTTCCAATTATTAGATCAATCTGTTTTTATTCTTGTTTTTGTTTCATGATTTGTTGGTACTTGTCTATTGTTTCTGGTATTAAGGTTTATAATTAACACGTTTTTATCAGGACTAAGAATTATTCATAATACTAAAATACAACTATCTGACATAACTCTCACAGGCACTGCCTGGTCAAAATACAAGTATATGACATAAACTCATACAGTCTTGTCAAAATACAACTATCTGACATACACTCACACAGGCACTGCCTTGTCAAAATACAAGTATATGACATAAACTCATACATTCTTGTCAAAATACAACTATCTGACATACACTCACACAGGCACTGCCTTGTCAAAATGTCACACAATTCAGCCAACATATTTGGCATATTATTTAGATGAAAGTCTTTTGATACATGTATTCAATCTTGAATTGAACAGATGCTAGGGTACAAGTACAACAGTTGGCTACTACAAACAACAGTTGTTTGGCTATGTCAGCCCTTACTGTAATAACAGTTGGTTGGCTATGTCATTAATTCTTACTGTAATAACAGGAAGTGGTATCTGGTGTTCTAGAAAGAGTAAGCAATCCTTTTTATTTATAATGATGGATGTGGAGGTATTGTTTGTGTTTGTGAATGGCAGACATTTAAACTGATTGAAATGCGGTCGCCATTTAATGATTTAATAAAAAAATAAAGATGCAAGGCTAAGTGTCGATTTTAATATGTTGTCAAAGCTTCAAACAGTGATAACTTGGCTCAGAATAAAGAAATTTGAATGAAATTTTGAATATATTCATTTCTAATTATCTATTTTTGAATTATTATAACAAGAACAGTCAGCTCTTTATTTAAATCTTACATAATGCATGTTTAAGATATTGTCTATGAATATTGCCCTGTATTTAATATCAGAATCATTATATTTTAGTTTGAAGAATAAACTATTTATTATATGATTTCATTACATATCATTCAATATACATAGCCATATATAGAGCGAGTTAGGCAATTGTCTCAATTGACCAGTCTCTCGTCATATTATGACTCTGGGTCAATATATCATTTAGATTTAAGGCCCGCTTTCCATGTACACAATTCTGCTGGTGAAAATGTTTACGATGTGTATTAAAATTCAGTTTGCAAATGGGAGATTTTTTTTAGATGCGGTGTTATTATAAAAATGCTGCAACTAAAAGTAAACAATGTCGGTTCCATTCTGTAAAGAGAAATCTTCACTTATATCTACAAGATAAACCTGCGGACAAGAGAGAATATATAGACATTGCAAGAAATTACCAAATATCATATTTAATCTAGTTAGTTATTTACATGGGATTTCCCAAATCGCACGGAAACGTATACACGGATAGCGGGCCTTACTCTTGTACATCAGAATATAATGTATCACTGTCAATATATGACATGTTCTATTGTAAAGCTAGAAAACTTGGCATATTGAACAAATTTAGTTTATGATTAATTTCATATCAGTTTACTATTGTCTAGAAGTGATGAAATTTGTTTTTTCAAAATAACATGCTAACTGCAGATAATTCAAACAGACAGAGAGAGAGAAATGGGGTTTAACGTCCACTCAACACAAACTAGATCATTTCGGGACTAATACATGGTTCAATTTTATTTCAATAATTTGCTTGCGCGTAGAGGTCTTTGGCAATGAGAGGACCCAGAGAAATCCAATGAGGTTGGACATGCAACCCTACTCCTTGTCATGTATAACCGGGGAATCGAAACCACGCCCGTTGACTTTATGACCTTATGATATTGCGTGCACATGCTAACCATTCGGCCATCCAACCCCCCTAATTGAAACAGAGAAATCTATTAGTTATACATGTATCTCTAGGAAGTTGAAAATATTAGATTTGTAAAAGATTACAGATAGTTTTATAATAATAAATGGAACGGTCTGTCGACTGTTGCACAGTTTTCTGTCGTCCAGTTGGTGCAGAACAGGACGTTAAACCGCATTTCTTTTTTGCTCTTATGGTTAGTTTAATTGTAAATGGAGAGCTCCATCACTAGAACTTACGATATCTGAACATCTTGATGTAATTTTAAATGCCAAGAGTAGTTTTACTGTTAATGAAGGACTCTGTGTAACTAGATGTTATGATTGCACGATAAAACGTTAAGACTGACGATCAAAAAGAAGAAAAATATACTTTGTTGAAAATGGAGGTCTCTGTGTGACAAGGTATAACAATTACATGATAAAATTTAAAAAAAAACACTCATAGTTTATTGTAAACGTAGGGTCCATGTGACAAGAAATAAATATTACATGATAAAGTATAAAAGCGTACAGACTGACAAACGAGAAAACAATCTCATAGTTTACTGTAAATGGATGACTCCATGTGACAAGAAATTACGATAAAAGCGTACAGACAGACCAACGAGAAAACAAACTCATAGTTTATTATAAATGGATGGCTCCGTGTGACGAGAAATTATGACTACACAATAAAGTATAAAAGTGTACAGACAATTGAGAAAACAATCCCATAGTTCATTGTAAACAATGACGAGAAATTACGATAAAAGCGTACAGACAAACGAGAAAACAAACTCATAGTTTATTTTAAATGGATGGCTCTGTGTGACGAGAAATTATGATTACACGATAAAATATATAAAGACAGCTAGACAAACGAGTATAATATGATAATATACTAGTACATATATTAAGCTATATACCTGGTCCATTAAACAATCTCAGGTGTTCGAATGTGTTGTGCTATTATTTATAAATGGTGCACGTTTTTTTCCCCTATTGAATCAAGTTCATTCCAGTGTTAAAATAAGCGTTTAAATTTCATCAGATTTAACTTATTTAAATCTAGTTTTTAACTTGTATATAAATAGTCAAGCTATAAATATAGGTTTTAGAACGCAACTTGGATCGTAAATATAAATATATATATATAAAATGTCTTTTGAAGAATTAGGAATAGAATCGTGTACCATGTCAATTTCACGTTTATTTAAGTGGATGGTTTTCTCTCCCTTTCATGGTATTAAATAAATGTTACATCCTTGCTAATATGTAGGTTTATTTATCTCCCCTTATAACCTCCTTCAAGAACGTATAAATAAAACTTAGAGCATCTAAAATTCCAAATTCAGAGAATCTGTAAGTTTTACATATTTTGAGACCTTGTCTTGTGGGTGGGTGGGGGGAACTCGATTGGAATCTTTCAATCCCCAAAATAGTGACAATCAAGTGAAAAGGGTGATTTCTGGCAACAATGCAGGCAACCAATGACTGCATACGAAAATAACACAAGCAGCCAAGACAGCTGAAATATATCAGTTGTGTTTAATTACATCACAATTCTGCTCTCACCACCTCAGTTGTCTGGACTAGCAGAATTGAGACAGGACGGAATTCGATGTCACTTGATTGCAACTCTGTCCATTCGGTACATACCAAACTGACAATTGATGATCAGCTTGGTGTCCTCATGGGTGGAGGAAGGGGAGATAACTGGTGATATTAATAGGAACAATTCCAGTATTAAACCTACATATTGTTAAGATGATGTTTAAAAATTACCCAATGTGATTCAACATGTAACAAATAGTTCAGTTTAAATCCGTAGTAGTCAAACCAAAGATTGTCATAGGATGGAGTGATGATGACATTAATATAAATATAAACATTATGATGAATTATCTTCCCTTGGTTTAAACTTTTAAGTCTCCCTGGTCAACTCTGTGAGGGTTATTTTAAGCATATTAATATCCAGTGTTATGAGTGCAATCCAACAGACAGCATTCTATGATGCCTGGTGTGTTTCACAAAACATACAAACCACATTTTATTTGTAGACAAATGAGCCATGATGCTTCTTGGATTCCATGTTTTGGAAGGTGATATGGCCTATTAGTGTTGTCAGGACTTTTTAAATTCCATGTTTTTGGAAGATGACATGGCCTAATGCATCCTAGGTATCCCCAATGGTATCGATCTGCTTAGTGGAGTAGAAGAGAACACCATCTTGGATACCGAGGATGGTATCCCAAGTGGTATCATTCTATTTAATGGAGTAGAATGGAAGGATTCCACTGGGGATACCGAGGATGGGTCTAATGGTGTTGCCAGGGCCTAATCCCCTTTCTGGCTATACAACTGTATTTATTGACTGGTTATTACCAAGGGAAAGATAACTCAACCATTTCTAGTATTGTTAGTACTACATATAAATGTAGTAAAATATTAAAGAATTATGTTTTAAATTTACTGGTTTAATATTAGGTATAATTGTAGTTTAATGCCTGTAATATAAAAGACCAGTGTATATACTATACAATATTTCGTTGGAACTTTCAAAGCTTGGAGAAAAAATGTGCGCGCCTCGGACAATTAGCTTGGAGAAAAATTGTGTGTGACTTGGACACAGAATTCTGTTGGAATACTATCACACATTGTTTGCAATGTGGAATTCCCAAATAAATGAAAAGTAGTTTCAGATGTTCAAGATAACGTGCGAATACCCTGTCTCATGCAGGGGCACATATTGGTTCCTGCAAGACAGTTAATCCAACAGAAGTTGTGTGGTGTATACAGGGCTTAAAGGTATCTTATGTGCCAATAATAATACTTATTATGATGTATAATGAATGTATATAAAATATAACTTGTTGTGCTTTGTTGATATACATACAGATTTATCTCCTATCCTAATATAATAATATTAAAAATGTTAGTCAAAAAACACATCATGGAGTTGTTCTTCTTTATCCCTTGCCATCAACATGTGGGGAGTTGTGTGGTCTAGTGATTTAACGCATGCCCATGAAATCATAAGGCCTGATTCTCCGCTTGTATGTGATAAGAAGTAGGGTTATCTGCCTAACCTCATGGGTTTTCTCCAGGTCCTCCGCTTTCCCCCTCACTGCTAAAGACCCATACACACAAGCTAATTATTGAAGTAAAATTGAAACATATGTTAGTCCTGAAATTACCTAGTTTGTGTCAGGTGGAGTTAATCTCTCTCTCTCTCTCTCTCTTCAATCAACATGTAGCCAGGATTTCTGGGGGGCCTGGGTTTTCAATTTAATCCAGAAAAGAGTTCAGATAGAAATATTGAAGGGCTGGCTGCAAATTTCTACACCTATCTGTGAGAAACTTCCATTTATTTTTCTACATAGTCCCCTTTGAAGTGTAATTATTGCTTTGCCAACGATTTCGGTAAGGAAGAAATTTTCTTTAGCCACCAAAAACAGTCTGTGTTGGGATTAGTCCTTTCAGTTGCAGGAACTCGATGACTGCCCTATACGCAGTTTTTGTCATTTCTGGTGATTTCAATGGGTAGGTTCACAATATGGTCTGGTACAAAGACAATAATAACACTACAGTTGCAGTTCTTATGTCTACGATTCATTCAATGATTGTACTTGTTGGTGGCATAAGTTTGTTTCAACCAAATTGATATGTCCTTTTCAGGCTTAGAACTTTTCAGCCAGCCCTCATGTGATTTAAGCTCATTAACAAAGCACCTGGTGTTTTACATTCTATCCGAAGAGCTAGACAGGTTGATTGAGTGGTCTCACATGTGCATGCGCATTAGACCAAAAGATATGTCATTGGATTTTTCAAGCCCACTTCTCACTTGTGGCACTTGAGTGTCTGAAAGGAAAAACTTAAAGTGCAGCATGGTAGCCTACACAAGTAAATGAAACCTTCCTGTACGCAAATAGTGTTAAAGCATGTACATGTAATATCAAGGTTGTGGACCCTATCTAGAGGTCATAGGTTTTATCTGATTTTGATGAAACTTAAAATGTATGTATGTCTACATACATATTAATATGAAAGAAGGTAACATTCACCTAAAAGGTTGTATACGAAATATTAAGATCACTAAAAATGAAATGAGTAGGCATACTGTGTGACCTCTGACCTCTAACCATGCACCAGAGATTAGTTAATCCTGCTTTATACAAATATCCTGAACTCACCTCAGGGTATAGCAATACACAAATAAACGGAAACCATTCTATGGTCCACAAAGATTATGTGGGATATTAAAAACTACTCAAATAGTAATAAAAGCAGTTTTGAAACTAAATATGAATAAAAATGCTTCCTTGTTGATTCTTTTTAAAAAGGTTACCACACAAAGCGTGGAAATACACCCACGTAGCAGATATAACGCAACAAAATGATAGCCATAGACAGCTAGGATGTTGATCGAATTTGATAACGATCCTTTGTGCATTAAAAAATCTTATCTCTATAGTTTCCACAAGTTTTTCCGGACACATAATACGTCCTAACAGAAAGTCAGAGAAGGCTGATAAAATCAACCGGGTTCGACCTTTCCAATCATTGTGATTGGGGTTACGAGAGGACATCCACTATCGATATTTAGCATTCTGGAGTCATACCACACCCATACACCACCTACACTGTTTTCAGAAAAATCTTGTTAACACGATAGAAATAAAATGAAATGGGGTTTAACGTCCTACTGTCTGACATAATGCATCTTTAATATAAATCAGACAAAAATTGTAGGATCTAGCTAGAGGGTCCACAAGCTAAAAATGTGATTTTCGTACACGCAGGGGTAATAATCCAGGAAGATATATGCTCTAATATATACAAAACTGATCCCATTCGAAATCTGTGGCATATAAACACATATTTCAAGTTTCATCAAAATCACATAAAAATGGTGAGCATTAGAGTGCTCACAAACAAATCTGACATTCTGAAAGGGGTGACGGCATGGTATGTGTACCTCCACATGGAAGGGTGACGGCATTGTATGTGTATGTCCACATGAAAGGGTGACGGCATTGTGCGTGTATGTCCCCAAGAAAGGGGCAACGGGATTGTATGTGTACGTCCACATGAAAGGGGCGATGGCATCATATGTGTATGACCACATGAAAGGGGTGACAGCATTGTACATGCACTACCGCATGAAAGGGGTGACGGCACTGTATGTGTACGTCCACACGAAAGGGGTGACAGCATTGTACATGTATGTCCACAAGAAAGGGGCGACAGCATTGTACATGTACGTCCACATGAAAAGGTTGACAGCATTGACATAAAAGGGGCGACGGCATTGTACGGGTATGTCCACAAGAAAGGGGTGACAGCATCGTACGTGTACGTCCACATGAAAGGGGTGACAGCATCGTACAATAAAAACATCCTCATGAAAGGGGTGACAGCATTGTACATGTACATCCGCATGAAAGGGGTGACAGCATTGTACATGTACGTCCACATGAAAAGGGTGACAGCATTGACATAAAAGGGGCGACGGCATTGTACATGTACATCCACAAGAAAGGGGTGACAGCACTGTACGTGTATGTCCACATGATAGGGGTGACAGCATTATACATGTAAGGTATATCCACTATCCCATCCCTTGATAACATACCCAGGGGTTCCTAGCCTAGGGTAAATTTGCTGATTGTACATTTTGGTTTTTCAATAAAAGCCAAGCAAAATGTGGAAATAAGCCAATACAGCAGCTATGACTTGAAAAAATGATAGCCACAAACAGCAGCTTATCCAGAATTTTATACAAGTTGTGTTACTTGGGAGTATATGATTTGTTATGTTATTTAGGAGTATATGATATGGTATGTTATATGGAATATATCCCGTGTACACATTGGCGTGCACGTAAAAGATCCCTTGGCAGTTGGAATTCGATATATAAGAGTAGGCCATAGTGCCGCTGTCCGGGCAAAATTTCCCTCATAGCACACTGTATGGTGTATGCCCGTCTTCATTAGCCCAGGTTAGGAGCAGAACAGTAGGACGTTAAACTCCATTTCATTTCATTTCATTTCTATATGGAATATACATGTAGTATTTTTTAATTGTTTCTAATATATTTTATCCTTAGAATAATTTGTCACATGTAGAAAACCTTTGCAAACTTAATCTCAGGGAAGAAGTAAGGGCAATGCATTGAAAAATAAAGAAAGAAACAAGTCATTATTGCTCAAGTTGACTCATGTTTCATTTTCGGAGAATAACATGAATACATATTTCTATATTGTAATTTATAATGGCAAGTTTTGAATAGTTTATTTGTAAAGAATATATCAGTAGGACCTGTAAAATTAACATGTAGCATATATTAGTAAGTGCTGTGATAGTAACCCTATGACGTGCAAGTTTTCAATTGAACAGAAAATGTTTATGGTGTCGCTAGGGGTACGTCGAATATAAATTAATTGAGCGCGGTGCGTCAGATTTGTCATTCCTAGATTAAAGACGGTGGATGAAATCTTAGCTTGAACTTTTAAATTAACAAGTTCTGTTAAAAAGATTGTGTTTTAGAGAAACTTGTGAGACAAGAATCACACAAGGTGTGAGGTCAGGTGAGTATTTAAAATATTTGGTATTAATCAAACAAGAATATTGTCGACTGAAGTATTGTGGTTATGGAATTATATCACTCGTCTTATTCTCTAGAGATTAAAAGTCACTGTGTACTTATTGAGTTAAATATATTATGTGTTTTATTTATTGGGTATTTTGGGGGGGGTTGGATGACCGAATGGTTAGCATGTGCGCGCTGTATCATAAGGCCTGTCATTGAGTCAACTGGCGTGGTCTCGAATCACTGGTTGTACGTGACAAGGGGTAGGGTTGCCTGTCCAACCTCGTGGGTTTTCTCCGGGTCCTCCGGTTTTCTCCCACTGCTAAAGACCCCTACGCTCAAGCGAATTATTGAAATAAAATTAAACCATATGTTAGTCCTGAAATGACCTAGTATGTGCCAAGTGGACGTTAAACCCCATTTCTCTCTCTCTCTCTCTCTCTCTTTATTGGGTTTTTTTTTTTTTTTTTTTTGGAGTAAAACATATTATGTATTTATTTTTTTTTGGGGGGGGGGGGTTAAAATACATTATGTATCTTAATTTTTTGTGAAAAATATCATATCTTTTATTCCTTAAGTATTTTATGTTTAGGGTATTTTTTTTTTTTTTTTTTGAGGAAATCATATGTATTTATTTTTTTCTCTTTGGGGGGGGGGGGGGTTAAAATACATTATGTATCTTAATTTTTTGTGGAAAATATATCTTTTATTCCTTGAGTATTCTATGTTTAGGGTAAATATATATTCTACTTTTGCACAGAGAAATAGGGTTTAACGTCTACTCGACACAAACTAGGTCATTTCGGGACTAACACATGGTTCAATTTTATTTCAATGATTCGCTTACCCGTAGGGTTCTTTAGCAGTTGGAGGAAACGGGAGGACCCGGGGAAAACTCACGAGATTGGACAGGTAAGCCCACTCCTTGTCACGTACAACCGGGGAATCGAAACCACGCCAGTTGACTCAATGACAGACCTTAATGCAGCGCACATGTGTGAACCATTCGGCCATCCAACCCCACATTTTTGGACAGTATTGGGTATAAAAGATGACAACCCATCTATTCTTCATCCGATTTTGATGAAACTTAAAATATATGTTTATATCCGAAAGATCTTGGTTCCTTTTGTGTGTCAATTGTGTGTGAAATAGCTTTATTAAACGTCCGCTTCCACCGAGGTTATATATCACAGACAATGCTTAATGGTGTGCTTAAATAGGTTTCAGACCACTAAATATATCCCCTTTGACTTAAAGATGCATTATGTAAGATTTAGATAAAACTTAAGTCTGAGAATGCTTATCCTGGGTGTCAGATGAAACATATACAATAATATGATAGCCAAACTATGATATTTCCGACAAGGCAAAATTTAGGTCACTTCCGATCAGCGGTTGTTCAGATATGCACATGTTATTGGATATCAGGTTACCACACAATTCATGTGGTAAGTCTTCAGATTGCAATTATACACCAATTTCAGTGGGGGGGGGGGGCTGAAATGGTTAAATCACAAGGTCTGGTTTCGATCCCCCGCTTGTACATGACAAGGTGTAAGGTCACGTTCCAACGGGGCTCACACTGGCTTTCAGTTTTTTTCCGCCAAAATGGATGATAACTTTTATACAAAAAATGTTCATCCCGCCAGTTCTCAAAAAGAATTACCAGTAATGCAGAAAAGTAATCGCCAAAATGAAATTTAAATTGCCACTTTCATATTTTTATCGCAAATTGCGACTTTGGCGACCGACTGTGTAAGCCCTGCATTCCAACCTTGTGAGTTTTCTCTCAGTATCTCGGTTTCCTGTTATTGCTAAAGACCCGGGTCACGCAAGGAATATATTGATTAAAAATGAACCATATGTTAGTCCTAGTTTGTATTAAGTGGATGTTAAACCCGATTTCTCCCTCTCTCTCTATAAACCAATTTCAATGATGCCTACAATGTTATCATATTCTGTAGGTGTCAATGAAATCATAGTAATCATATATCAAACTAGGCATAATTTCATTCAGATGTTTCGGGGACCGCAATTATCAACTGCTTTCAATGACACTTACCGATAAAGATAACATTAATAATATCTCAGAGAAAGCAACATTTCGACTGCTTTTGTTTGGAGGTTTAGGAGAAATCAGGTTACCGCACATTTCATCACAATTATCATCTGTTTTCTGTTGCACTCTACAGATTAGCAGAAATTTTGCCTACTCCGAGATATTACTTATGTTATCATAATCATATTCTCTAAGTTTCGTTGAAATCAGTTGATAATAGCGATCTGTCGCCGTAAGGCTATTTTGCCATGCTCCCTATAATTTAATAGTTTATTTTAAGGAAGTGCAGCATGTTTCCCTTGTGGTAATGTTAAAGCTATTATTCTTACTTTTATTTTTACAAGATCAGTAATATCCTGACGAATTACAGACAACTTATTGTAAATCACAAAGATGTGTTTATGTGATCTGTGTCGTCGACTTGGGGATGTGATGAATAGACTGTTTGCAAGAAGGCCAGAAAACTATGATCTCTTTCCAGAAGAAGACGTAAATATACCCCAACCAGACGTAGCTGGAGTAAACATAGCCCAAACAGAAGTGACTGTAGTAAACATACCCCAACCAGACGTAGCTGGAGTAAACATACCCCAACCAGATGTGACTGGAGTAAACATACCCCAACCAGACGTAGCTGGAGTAAACATACCGCAAGCAGAGACAGATGAAGTAAACATACCTCAACCAGACATGGCTGAAGTGAACATATCTCAACCAGATATGGCTGCAGGAGATAAGGGTAAAGAGTTTGTGTATATTTTGTCTTGAAATCTATATCTAAAGATCATTTTTTATCATTTCTAGGACACATTGTGACATATTTCTAATTTTATAACAGCAGTTTTCTGCATTTAATACCTATCGGTGCATGCTTACTCTATTAAACTTTTCTGCATGATAATAATAAATAATAGTAATAATTTATTCTTATAAAGCGCATTACATAGCAGCATAAAAATGGCATAAAATCTCAATGTGCTTTACAATAATATTAATAATAATAAAAATATAATAATTATTAAAAAAATTTCTATTAAAAAACAATCAAATTGCACATTTAAAAATTTAAAAATAATGAAACAATCTCGGCTATTACAGAGATTGAAAGTTTTTTTTCTTCTGAACAAATTGTCGAAGAATATCAAAAGCTTCAACTACAGATACAACAGCTGCAAACAGAAAAAGATTGTTATGTCCAAAAGTTAAACCATCACATTAACGATCTTGATTATGCTGTTTGGTTTGGCCAACAGCCCCTAGTTACTATTCTCGCGTGGCTAATTTAGTCTTACAGGGCTTTAATATGAACATTTCATTGGCTTTTATCGATGATGTGCTAATTTGAAGAACACATGATCAATTTTAGAACGGTTCTCTCCCATTTCCGTCAATATGGGTTAAAAATGAAGCCAAAAAAGTGTGAATTGTTCAGGGAAGAGGTAGAATTTCTAGGCCATATTGTGAGTAAAAATGGGTGATCAAGCACATAGCACCGGTATGAGATTGGCCGTTTCCGTAGTGTATCTTGCAGGTAGAAAAATACCTGGGTTTTGCTAATTATCACCGAGTATTTTTAAAAAGGGTATGCAGAGAAGGCGCTGACCTTGTACTCTTATCACAGATAAAAAAAAAAATTTTATCGGTCGGAGGAGCAGTAGAATGCTTTTGAAAATATAAAAACTGCTTTGATAACTACCCCAGTTTTAGCTTTACCTAATCAAACTGATCCTGGACAGGTCTATAGGCTTCTGCCTGATCTCCAATCCAGTTTCTGTGAATAAATATTGTTCAGAAAAAAAACAAAAACAACCCTTTTGTTTTGGATACAGACACGAGTAATTTCACAGTAGCAGGAATTAAATCAGGTTCAAGATGGGCAATAGAGAGTAGTTGCCTATTCAATTTTTTCTCTAACTCCTGAACTGCAGCGTTATTGTACAATACGTAAAGAATTACTTGCGGTTGTTCAATTTACCTGTCAATTTAGGCATTCTCTCTTGGTTCGTCCGTTTACGGTCAGGACTGACCATAGTAGTCTCACCTGGTTACTTAACTTTAAACACCCTAATGGACAGTTAGCTAGGTGGATAGGAGAACTTGCCCAATATGATATGACTGTAAAATGTCGACCAGGTTCCAAACATTTAAATGCAGATGCCCTGTCTAGCATACCTGTTTCAGACCCTTGTCCTGATTTTTCTCTGACTCCTAGTGAATTACCCTGTGGTGGTTGTAAATACAGTAAACTTCGTATAAGTCGGATTTAAGTGGACTGGCCAATTTTATCCGAGTTAATCGAAGATCCGAGTTAGCCAAAGACCGAAATTCAATCGTAGCCCAATTAAAAATAAACTGCAAGGGCCGGATGATAATTGATTCGAAGGCACTTTTCAAGCTTTTGTTTGTGTATGTGCGAGTAGATAACTTCCATTTTGGTGCGATAAGATAACTTCCGTTTTGTCGCCATCTTTGAAAAATGTCCTAAATTTTCCCGGAAAGTGTCTCGTTCGCATTATACTAGATCTTTATACGATCTGAGAAATATCTTTCCGTGTTTATACCCACAATTCTAACCCTAACCCTTCAGAATAGTTTTACCCACAATCCACCGTTGTTACAGCTTTAAATTGTACGTTTGACATGTAAATTATAAACCTAACCCTAACCCCTAGAGAAAGATATTTCTCAGATCGTATAAAGATCTAGTATAGTGCGTCTCGTACAGCAGACAGTGAGTTTCGAATTTTCTGGGAAAGTTCTATATTGCATCGCGTCAAATAGTCAAAATGATAGGGGAAAGTATATTGGGGCTCTGTGCATGGAATACCTAACTGCATTTTAGAACGTTGGTACGATACTGGCTTCGAGCAAAGGAAAAAAGCCGGAATTGGATCAAATTTACCAAACATTTTGATCCGAGTTGAGCAGAGATCCGACTTCAGAAATCCGAATTACACGCGCATCAATTTAATGAGAAAACAAGCAGGATCAAAGGGTCCAAACGACTTTATCCGAGTTGAGCGAAGATCCGGCTTATACGAATCCAGGGGGGGGATGACCGAATGGTTAGCAAAATTTCCCTCATAGTACACTGTATGTCGTATGCCAGTCTTCATTAGCCCAGTTCGGAGCAAAATAGTAGGACGTTAAACCCCATTTCATTTCATTTGATATAGAAAATGTTGTACCTTCTAAACCAGATGAAAAAAGTTACCAAGACCTGCTATCAAAGACACAACAACAACAGCATGAAATCAGGAAGCTAAAAGATCAATGTTCAATGTTACAAAAAGAAAAAGATATCAAAGTCCAAAAGATGAAAGACCAATTATCGAGGATACAAAAAGAAAAAGACTGTGAAATCAATGAACTTAAAGACCAGATCAAAGAGCTCAACCAAATAGTCAAAAAAATGCAGGAACTACCACTGAAAGGTAATAGTACAAATTTAAATATACCAGGGGACTATTAAAATGGGTCAGTATGTCTGTCTGTCCGTCCGTCCGGACACAATAACTCTCTTTCTAATTGAGGTAGGATGTTCACACTTGGCGTAGGTGTCTATTAGGTGAATGCCTTGATGGAGTTAGTTCGAAGATGAGAATTTTCTTCTTAGGGTAAGCAGAGATAAGCAATTTGATTGATTGATGCTTTGCAACACGATAACTTTAGTTCTAATAAAGTGAGATTGAGGACACTTGGTGTATAGTTTTATTACATCAATAACTTGACTAAGTTCGATAATGAGCACTTTCTGCTGAGTGTAAACAGAGCGATAAGCAATTTGATTGGTCGAGACTTTGGAACACAATAACTCTCCTTCTAATTGAGATAGAATGTTCAAACTTGGTCTAGGCGTTTATTAGGTGAATGCCTTGATGGAGTTCAATGATGAACAATGTCTGCTTACGGTAAGCAGAGATAAGCAATCTGATTGGTTGATGCTTTGGGGAACAATAAATTACACTGCCTCTCTCCTGGATTCCACTGCCTCTCTCCTGGATTCCACTGCCTCTCTCCTGGATTCCACTGCCTCTCTCCTGTATTACACCTCCTCTCTCCTGTATTACACTGCCTCTCTCCTGGATTCCACCTCCTCTCTCCTGGATTCCACCTCCTCTCTCCTGTATTACACCTCCTCTCTCCTGTATTGCACTGCCTCTCTCCTGGATTCCACTGCCTCTCTCCTGGATTCCACTGCCTCTCTCCTGGATTCCACCTCCTCTCTCCTGTATTACACCTCCTCTCTCCTATATTACACCTCCTCTCTCCTGTATTACACCTCCTCTCTCCTATCTTTCCTGCATTACACCTCCTCTCTCCTGTCATAATAAAAGGATATTTTTATTGTTCAATTTTGACATGAGTTTTTCTATTACAGAGACTGAAAGTGTTTTTTCTGAACAAAATGTCGAAGAATATCAAAAGCTTCAACTACAAATACAACAGCTGCAAAGAGAAAAAGATTGTGATGTCCATAAGTTAAACCATCTTCTGGAACGACATCATGACTCACAACTAATTGATGAAATCAGGTCTTTACAACATCACATTAATGATCTTGATGAAAGAATAAAGACATTGGAGGAAAAAAGTAAACCAGGGATACTGTTACCAACACGTGACTTGATGTCAATAAACAGACAAGGTAAGACACTATTATTAGTAAAACACAATAAACTGTAGGCTATGATATAGATCAATATACCTTTAATTATATTTCAAAGACAGGGTTTATTTGATTATCAATTAACCTGACCATCAGAACCACCATTTCACGTATAAGTCATGATCGCTGGATGAGGCATCTCTGTGATCAGGGTAGTCCGATATATCTGACTCTTTCCTTAGCCGTTGTGATTGTTGGTGACCAGGGGATAGTCAGAAAGACTTCTACTTCTCTAGAGACTGGGGGGTTGGATGGCCGCTGTATCATAAGGTCTGCCATTGAGCCAACTGGCATGCTTTTGATTCCCCAGTTATAGATGACAAGGAGTGGGGTTGCCTTCCAAACACATGGGTTTTCTCCGGGTCCTCCCACTGTTAAAAACCCCTACGCGCAAGTGAATTAAACCTCCCTCTCTCTCTCTCTCTCTCTCCCTATCTCTCTCTGGAGACTTGAAAAGCAAGTTGTGGGGGGGTTTATATATCAGATTGAATCAAAATAGCTGTTAAGACTTTGTTTTACTTTCTTGTCTTGCAGATAAACGGCGTGGGCCATTACAGCGCTCTGACTACATGAAGATACAGGGAAACTTTACATACCTTGTTGATAATATCACAGACCCCAGGGAATTGTGTCAAACCCTGGTGGAACATGGGATATTTGACATTCATGACATGGACAAAGTTGGAAAATGTCTACGTGACGGAACCCCCCGTGACGCAGCAGACCAGCTTCTCTGTATCTTATTGTGTAGTGGTCAGAACGCTTATCAACGATTTCTAGAATGTCTTGATAAGCTTGGTTACGATAAAGTTAGAGAACAACTGGAACCAGTCTGTGATGGTAAGTTGACTTGTTGATAACTTTGATCTATTTAAACAAAAGTAGTGCCACAGTCTGTTTTCTGGAGATCCATGACCAGGATAGTGTTACACTTGTCCAACACAATAACTTGATTCTAATTGAGTGAGAGTGTTCATTACATCAATACTGATAACCTTATGAATATTTTATTATAGGTGGACCTAATAATCCAAACTACGAGGAGATCAACATGTTACAAGAAGAAAGATCTATCAGCGTACAAGGTAGGACAATTCTACTAATATGTGTATATACATTTAATAAGGATACCCCATCCCCCCACTCCCCTTAAACAGACAGAGTTTGTTATACATTCACATCGTTACCTGTTAAAAATACAGAATAGGACGTCGGCTCGTTTTGGCATACATGTTAAAGAGCCTGTAGCAGTTAGAATCAAATTGCTCTCTGAACAACTCATTTATCCCATAGAACATTGTATGCCGTCGTAAGTCCATCTTTATTAGCGTGGTTGTGACAGGAAATTATACTTTCTAATCATGGTAATAAAGATATAGTCGACTGGTAATTTATTTTCTATGTTAAAATTTGTGATTTAGCTCAGTGGTAAAGAATACTGATTTATCTTGGTTGTAAACAATGTTCCCTGTTAAAGATGCATTATGTAAGATTTAGATAAAGAGCTGAAGAGTCTCACTAAAATAGTTAAAAACTAGATAATGAAAAGGAATATATTCAAAATTTCAGTCAAAAGACTTCATTCTGAGCGACGTTAGGGCTGTTTGGAGAAAAGCTGAGTTTTGATTATCATTGCTACCGTTGTAACGATAGTAAACAGTCTTGATTATCTATTTTTCAATTAAATCCATTGAAAATCACTAACATCCAATGGCATAGAGAGTTGATTATTGTCTTGGCAAGTTAATAATTTATAGAACATTTAAGGACAAAAGAAAGTTCTGCAATAGGCAGATTTAGCTCTTGAATAATACATCTTTAACAAAGCTCAAATGTCATAAATTACAGCAAGCATTGTTAGATCCTGTAACTTTATAACTCTTGCAGAAAAACGGTATGGATGTATGCCAGATTATCAGTACAGTAAGATCAAGAATCAATTTATGCATTTGATTAATGATATCAGAGACCCTTTAAGATTGTGTCAGACCTTGTTTGAATCTGGTGTGTTTGACATGGATGATAAGGAAAAGGTACAGAAGAGTTTTCGAGACGGAATTACCCGCGATGCTACAGACAAGCTTCTTCATATCTTACTGTACTGTGGTCAGAACTCCTATCCGCGGTTTATAGAATGTCTTGAGAAAACTGGCTATGATCCACTTATACAAAAGATGGAAGAGAGTTGTGATGGTGAGTAATTATTTATACGAGAGACCAACGATCAAATACAAAACAAAGATAGAAGACATCAACAGGATGTCTCAGACATAGGGCTGAATTCGAGGCAAATTTACTTGATTTAATATTACATTTATTGTTTTTCCTCCCACTGCTAAAGACCCCTACGCGCAAGCGAATTATTGAAATAAAATTAAACCATATGTTAATCCCGAAATGACCTGGTTTGTGTCGTGTGGTCGTTAAACCCCATTTCTCTCTCTCACATTTATTGTTCATGGTGTCTTGTCCGCAGGTTTGTTTTTAGGGTTTCTATTTGATTGTGTGTTGTGCAATTTTCCTGCACCATTTGTTAAAGAGTAATAACTATATACTGATATAGTATTAAAAATAAACACACTTGTATGGATATACTACTTGTGAATTTTATTAACATGCTACGTTTCAATACACATACAGGTATCGTTTTCAAAATAATTTGCTTGATAACGATACCTGTATGTGTATTGAAACTAGCATGTTAATAAAATTCACAAGTAGTATATCCATACAAGTGTGTTTATTTTTAGTGAAATCTATTTCTATATGTCTTATAAGGATAATATAGTATTGTTAAAATATTCAATGAAAACGCAAGATTCACCCTTAAGCATGTTACAATATGATATATAAATAATATGATATATGAATAATATGTTAATCTTTAATCTAGTCAGTTAAAAATCAAACAAATCACTGGAATATTGTGATTATCCAAGTCTTTCATGGATTGTTCTATTATTTAATATCTTTTATCTAACTTTATCATGTATTGTGTTTAAACTTTGGGCTTTGTCTATTTCAGGAGAACCAAATACCCAACACCTTGAGGAAATCAGATGCACAGAAACAACCAGAGAAAAGCATCTGGTTGGGAGGAAGAAGCTACTAGTCGACAAAAACAACTCTATCGCCAGGGAGTTGTCTGAGCTAAAAGACAAAATGGAAAAGGAAAGACAGAGCGAAGATGCTGAGAAGATGAAAGAAATCAATGAATATCGATCAAGAGAAAATCAGCTTCTAGCAAACCAACAACAGATCCTGAAAGAAATAAAGAAACTTGAAAAGGAAATACAAGATTTAAAGGAAGGAACCAGTGTTGCAGATGACAGATTAACCAGGGTAGAGAGGGATGTAGAAAGTCTTCTCGCTTTATTTAAAAAATACAATGGTAAGCAGATTGTTTGTTTTATCAAATTACAGTTAATTTCTGCTCCAGTTACATCCTGGTATATCATTCTTTAGATAAAGGAGACCTTTAAACAATGATGTTATCCTTTGTCTTCATTATCCGTACATAAGGGAGCCATGGTGGCTAAGCGGGTAAGGCGCTGGCTCGCTAGCCTGGAGGTCGCATGTTCGATCCCTGCATTGGCCGAGAAAGTTCATCGGTATTTTCCACCATGGTTTCCCCTTGTCAGTAGTGCAGGACGGAGGGCCTGACAAGGACAGCTGTCTAGTCATTCGGAGGGGACTAAAAATCGATCCCTTGGCAGTTGAAATTCGATATAAGAGTAGGCCATAGTGCTTCTGTCCATACAAAATTCACCTCATAGCACACTGTATGGCGTATGCCCGTCTTCATTAGCCCAGTTTAGGAGCAGAAAAGTAGGACGTTAAACGCAAGATTCACACTTAAGCATGTTACAATATGATGTATAAAAAATAGCCCAGTTGGAGCAGAACAGTAGGACGTTAAACCCTATTTCATTTCATTTTCATCCATTATTTTCGGGTATATCAGCCATCCACTATTGTTTGTCATTATTTCATATAAGATAGTTTGAAGGTTTTAGCATGTCTAGACAGGTCGTTTATATTTAGCTGTTAAACAAGTTATATTATATTATAGAAATCAGATGCTTCTGATATTCAATCCAGTGTTTCAATATCTTAATTGTCCCCCGCCTTTTGAAGAAAGCAGGTGACTATTAAAATGGGTTCGTCCATCTGTCTGTTTGTCTGTCTGTTTGTCAATAACTCTCCTTCTAATTGAGGTAGAATGTTCAAACTTGGTGTAGGTGTTTATTAGGTCAATGCCTTGATGAAGTACGAAGATGAGCATTTTCTGCTTAGGGTAAGCAGAGATAAGTAATTTGATTAGTTGATGCTTTGGGACACGATAACTTTAGTTCTAATTAAGTGAAAGTGAGGACACTTGGTGTATAGTTTTATCACATGAATACCTTGACTAAGTTCGATAATGAGCACTTTCTGCTCAGGGTAAGCAGAGCGATAAGCAATTTGATTGGTCCAGACTTTGGAACACAATAACTCTTCTTCTAATTGAGGTAGAATGTTCAAACTTGGTGTAGAAATTCATTAGGTGAATGCCTTGATCTAGTTTGATGATAAACATCAGAGGCTAGAGTTTTTAATGTGTTTTTCCAATATTTGGCTTGAAGCATTGGGGCCATCAATCCCTATTGATTTTCACAGTCCTGCCGCGACTTTCCCTCCTTTTTCCAAAAACCTTTGTTAACGCAATAAGGACAATAGGTTTTAACAGATTTTTTTTGGAAAGCAATGGGGTCATAAGAGGATGAACCCTAGAGATAAGATTTTTTCAAAATTGCTCAACATCCAAGTTTTCCTCTAGGCTAAGCTGCAGTTGAGACAAAGCTGCTGTGTCGGCATATTCTGCACTATCTTTCATTTTCTATTTTAAAGTTTTGAGTCATAAACTGACAATTCTTTAACTCTTACACATAGTGCATCTTTAAGATTATTTTGAAATTTGTACACAAACCAGAGGACATGATGGAATCTATAACTTGTTTATTTATAACAGGTGTTGGTATATTTACAGATCCACAACAAGCAACTACCACCAGTTTTACTGATACACAACAGACAACTACCACCAGTTTTACTGATCCACAACAGACAACTACCATCAATTTAAGTGACAAAACTGACGATGGTGTCTCATCTGGAAGTAAACCAGGATCCATATATTCAACATTACACTCTGCATGTCAATACGGTAATATAAATGATGTAAAATATCTAATTGATACTGGGCATGATGTGAATCAGCTGGATAATAACAACAAGTCTCCCATATTGTACTGTAGTGTATCACACATAGAACCTGTAGCTAAACTAAAACTGATTCTTACTAAGGGGGGTAATATAGATGATAGAGATAGTGTTAATGACAATATGTTACACCGCGCATGTTTATATGGTATACTCGAAGCAGTAGAATTTATATTACAACAAGGTGTAGATATACACAGTAGAGGACAGTATAACAAGTCACCTATATTGTGTTGTAGTGAATCACAAATAGAACCTGTAGCTAAAATAAAACTGATTCTTACTAAGGGGGGTAATATAGATGATAGAACTAGTGTAAATAACAATATGTTACACCGCGCATGTTTATGTGGTATACTAGAAGCAGTAGAATTTATATTAGAACAAGATATTGATATACACAGTAGAGGACAGTATAACAAGTCACCTATATTGTGTTGTAGTGAATCACAAATAGAACCTGTAGCTAAAATAAAACTGATTCTTACTAAGGGGGGTAATATAGATGATAGAACTAGTGTAAATAACAATATGTTACACCGCGCATGTTTATGTGGTATACTCGAAGCAGTAGAATTTATATTAGAACAAGGTGTAGATATACACAGTAGAGGACAGTATAACATGTCACCTATATTGTTTTGCAGTGAATCTAAAATAGAACCTGTAGCTAAAATAAAACTAATTCTTACTAAGGGGGGTAATATAGATGATAGAGATAGTTATAATGACAATATATTACACCGGGCATGTTTATATGGTATACTCGAAGCAGTAGAATTTATATTACAACAAGATATTGATATACACAGTAGAGGATATAATAACAAGTCACCTATATTGTATTGCAGTGAATCTAAAATAGAACCTGTAGCTAAACTAAAACTAATTCTTACTAAGGGGGGTAATATAGATGATAGAACTACTAGTAACCACAATATGTTACACCTTGCATGTTTATATGGTATACTCGAAGCAGTAGAATTTATATTAGAACAAGGTGTAGATATACACAGTAGAGGACAGTATAACATATCACCTATATTGTGTTGCAGTGTATCTGAAATAGAACCTGTAGCTAAACTAAAACTAATTCTTACTAAGGGGGGTAATATAGATGATAGAGATAGTGTAAATAACAATATGTTACACCGCGCATGTTTATATGGTATACTAGAAGCAGTAGAATTTATATTAGAACAAGGTGTAGATATACACAGTAGAGGAGAGTATAACATATCACCTATATTGTGTTGCAGTGAATCTAAAATAGAACCTGTAGCTAAACTAAAACTAATTCTTACTAAGGGGGGTAATATAGATGATAGAACTAGTGTAAATAAGAATATGTTACACCGCGCATGTTCACATGGTACACTAGAAGCAGTAGAATTTATATTACAACAAGGTGTAGATATACACAGTAGAGGACAGTATAACATGTCACCTATATTGTGTTGCAGTGAATCACAAATAGAACCTGTAGCTAAAATTAAACTGATTCTTACTAAGGGGGGTAATATAGATGATAGAGATAGTGTTAATGACAATATGTTACACCGGGCATGTTTATTTGGTATACTAGAAGCAGTAGAATTTATATTAGAACAAGGTATAAATATACACAGTAGAGGACATAATAACATGTCACCTATATTGTGTTGTAGTTCATCTAAAATAGAACCTGTAGCTAAACTAAAACTGATTCTTACTAAGGGGGGTAATATAGATGATAGAAATAGTGTTAATGACAATATATTACACCGGGCATGTTTATATGGTAAACTAGAAGCAGTAGAATTTATATTAGAACAAGATATAAATATACACTGTAGAGGAGAGTATAACATGTCACCTATATTGTGTTGTAGTTCATCTAATATAGAACCTGTAGCTAAACTAAAACTTATTCTTACTAAGGGGGGTAAAATAGATGATAGAGATAGTTATAATAATAATATTTTACACAGGGCATGTTTAGATGGTAAACTTGAGACTGTTGAATATCTTCTAGGAATAGGTATTGATATCAACAGTAAAAATAAAAACAATCAAACACCTTTAGATTATTGTAGGCTTCCATCTGTTCAATCAGAAGAAAAGGTCAAATTATTACAAGCAAAAATAAAAATATGAATTAGATACATGTACTGTCATCTTTATTTGACGTTGGTTTTCTATGTCAGGTTTCTTGGATTGTTATATTGTATTACCCATCTCTATCATCTTGTATTACCCCCTCTATCATCTTGTATTACCCTCCTCTATCATTTTGTATTACACCCTCTATCACCTCTATCATCTTGTATTACCCTCCTCTATCATCTTGTATTACGCCCTCTATCATTATTTGCAGTTGTCTGTGCCAAGTACTCATTAGTCAGTATGTTTTACTATCATTTTGTTATTATACCCTCAAATTTTATTGTCGTTTTGTTTTGGGCATACCCTACTGTCTTACTTAACTCAAATTAAGTTTCGTTGAATATACGACAACAAGATGTTATCATGATAAATATTGTAATACATCTTTAATGATACCTGTATATTCTAGTCTATACTAGATATGATAAATATTGTAATACAGCTTTAATATTACCTGCAGGTATATTCTAGTCTATACTAGACATGATAAATATTGTAATATAGCTATAATGATACCTGTCTATTCTAGTCTATTACCAAAAAGTTATATGTTTTATATGGTCAGTAAAATAATGTTTTAGTCCCGTAATGTGTTAACTTCATTATATTACTAGATAATCCAATCTTATCATGTTATTGTTCTAGTTTGCTTAACTTTTATATTTTACATCAACATTTTGGAAACATATTCATACCATTGTGTGATCTTAATTTCCGGTATATATCACTAGATAATCTAGTCTTATGACGTTAATTGTTCTAGTCTACTTAACTTTTATATTTCATATCAATACTATGTTCACAATGCATACAAATGTGTGATGTTAATTATATCACTTGGTTATCTATTGTTCTAGTCTATATATTATGTATAAACAATATGTTAACATATCACTTGGTAATCTGGTCTTATGATGTTATTGTTCTAGTCTATATATTATGTATAAACAATATGTTAACATTTCACTTCTTAATCTGGTCTTATGATGTTATTGTTCTAGTCTATATATTTTGTATAAACAATATCTTATATCACATTCCATAAAAATAAATTTGTTATCAAGAATTGTCAGCCATGTTTGTTTTGGTTAAATACAAACAAGTGGTATCAGGGTGTTCAAGAATTATCAATAATTGTCAGACATCTTTGTTTTGGTTAAAAACAACCAAATGAGAGGTGGTATCAAGTGTTCAAGAATGTGTAAGCAGACCCTGCCTTGTACACAACACCTGTCACTATGTATAGCTAACTAGTGATATATTTTAGCCCGGATTTCAATGGTCAAATTTAAGATAACTTTGGTCTACTATTGGGTAGGGGGCTCAGTAAGTAAGATGTTGGCTCGATAGTCTGGGGGGGATCACATGGCTAACTGGGTAAGACGCTGGTTCGCTAGCCTGGAGGTTGGGTGTTCGATCCCTGCATTGGCTGAGAAAGTTCATACAGATTTTCCGACGTGGTTTCCCCTTGTCAGTGATGCAGGACAGAGGGCCTGACAAGGACAGCTGTCTAGTCGTTCGAATGGGACGAAAAACCAAGGTCCCGTGTACACATTGACGTGCACGTAAAAGATCCCTTGGCAGTTGGAATTCGATATAAGAGTAGGCTGTAGCGCCGCTGCCCGGACAAAATTTCCCTCATAGCACACTGTATGGCGTATGCCCGTCTTCATTAGCCCAGTTTAGGAGCAGAACAGTAGGACGTTAAACCCCATTTCATTTCATTTTCGATAGCCTGGAGGTCCTGGAGGCACTGTATCATAAGGACTGTCATTGAGTGACCTGGCGTGGTTTCGATTCCCCGGTTGTACGAGACAAGGAGTAGGGTCGCCTGTCCAACCTCGTGGGTTTTCTCCGGGTCCTTAAGGTTTCCTCCCACTGCTAAAGACCTCTATGCACAAGCGAATTATTGAAATAAAATTGAACCATGTTACCTAGTTTGTGTCGAGTGGATGTTAAACCCTCTCTCTCTCTCTCATATCAATATAACAGCTTTTTTAAACCTCAATTATTCAGCCGGGCATTTCCATGTCAGGACTCATTTTAAAGGTTTTCACTTAGCCATGAAAAAAATATGTTTCATAGTTCGTTATGGAACTTGGGGGTTGGATGGCCGAATGGTTTAACTCCTGCGTGTTAGATCATAAGGTCTGTCATTGAGTAAAGTGGCATGGCTTAAACATGACAAGGAGTAGGATCGCCCGTTCATCCTCAGGCTTCTCCGGGTCCTCAAGGTTTCCTCCCACTGCTAAAGGCCCCTAAGTTCAAGCGAATTATTGAAATGAAATTGAACCATATGTTATCCTTGAAATGACCTAGTTTGTGTCAAGTGTATTTTAAACCCCATTTCTCTCTCTAATTATGACTAATTATTTATCAAGAAACTGAAGAACAGAAAATCTGAGAGAGAGAGAGAATGAGGTTTAACATCCACTCGACACAAACTAGGTCATTTCGGGACTAACACATGGTTCAATTTTATTTCAATAATTTGCATGCATGTGGGGGTCTTTAGCAGTGGGAGGAAACCGGAGAAATCCACGAGGTTGGACAGGTGACCCTACTCCTTGTCACGTACAACCGGGGAATCAGTTGACCCAATGACAGACCGTATGATACAGCGTGCATGTGCTAACCATTCGGCCATCCAACCCCCTCTCTCATTATGGAATACGAACTGGAATATCTATTCACAGGATATAATTTGTATTTAACACTAGCAGGATGCCCAGTTTGCCCGGGGTCCAAAGATCTGTGACCTTGAGTTTCGTAAATCATGGCCTAAAACATTCACGTGGGGTCATAATGGTTAATTTGATACGACATGTGGGGGTGGAAAGCGGCGACGAAACGTAATGGGCATACATACATCTTTGATTTTATTAATATATCTAATAAATATAATAATATACAGGGGCCTGTTTCACGAAATTTTAACTAAAGATACAATCCAAATTTTAGTAGATACTTCAATTTTGATTGGCTAAGCACTAAAATCAATCTAATATTATCCAATCAAATTACTAAAATTTGGATTTTATCTTAGTTAAAATTTGGTGAAACAGGTCCCAGTTCTGTAAAAAGTGCATAGCTACCAGACGCTCAACTCGGCAGGCAACTATCACTGTCTCTTATTAATCCAGCAGCAGACATCTTCGTCTCACTAAACTGCATACGTTGGTCACCTTAATCCAGTAGCAGACATCTTTGCCTCAATAAGCTGTATGCGATCTAGATCTTATAATGGAGCCATGGTGGCTCAGTGAGTAAGACAGCTCGCTAACCTAGAGGTCCCTTATTCAATTGTGGTGCTGGCCTAGTAAGTTTTGTTACGGAAAATAAGTTACTTGCTGTTTATAAATAGCTTAAAGGAGCTAAGTCACTAATATTTGGGACCTTGAAATTGACAAATATAATGAATGTATATAAACTGATTTACATTCAATTGTTTCTGTTTTTACTCTAATTTCTGATCAGTACAGTGTATGTTCGGCGAAATACGCCTGAAGTCCCAATCGAATGACAATCTCTAGCGTCTAGTTATTCCAGTCTACACAGATAGTATTTATTGTTCGTCACTGTTTGATATAAGTAGCCTCGTTCTTCGAGTCCCTTGTTACTTGTTACAAATGGCGCTGAAACGCATTATGGTACACGATTCGTGTACCAATGGTAAAATGTTTATTTTGTCTTAAATATTAGATATCAGAAGCCCATCTTTTCCCGGTAAGATCACAAGAGAGAGAGAGAAATGGGGTTTAACGTCCACTTGACACAAACTAGGACATTTCGGGACTAACATATGGTTTAATTTCATTTCAATAATTCGCTTGCACATTGGGGTCTTTAGCAAGAGAAAACCCACAAGGTTGAAAATATATTTATGGGAATTCTAAACATGATTCACCATATCTTGATGTCAAATTGGACACATTCCTGGTCGGAAGCTTGCTGACATCCATAGGACATGTCCGGCAAATACGGGTGAAATACATTGATGTGGACGTGAAAGAACGCTTGTCAGATGGAATTTGAAATAAAAGTAGGCTGTATTCCCATCTTCGTTAATCTGACTGGAGAAGAACGGTAGGCATCAAACCCCATTTAAAATCCAATCAGCTCCAAAAATTTTAACAAAAGGCATAAAAATTTACATACAAATTTATTTGGACGGATATACAGGATTACTGTTTTATTAAGAGTATCACCATGTACATTAAAACAAAATTATATAAAATATATATTCATTCCGAATGTACAACCTTGGACAAATATTAATTCTAGTAACAGCATATATAATATAACCTACTGTATTACTACCTAAAATATACCCATGTAACCTAATAACTGCCCTGGAACTATGGACATGGTCCACAAAATGGGTGTTTTTTTTTAGATGACACCCAATAAAAACATTTAAAGGTACCTGGTTTATTTGTACTATATATATATAGGCTTCTTTTGTTTATCTGGAGCCACGGTGGTTCAATGAGTAAGACATTCGCTCACTAAACTAAATGTCCCACGTTTATGTATATAAATAAAGCCTATATTACCACATCTCCTGTTGGAGTGTCTATATATAAATAAGGCCTGTCTCCTGTTGGAATGTTGATACATAAATAATGCCTATACACTGCTGGAGTGTCAATATCTAAATGGTTTACTCATAAGTAGGCCTGCAGACTATTTCAGCCCCTTCATCCTTTTGAAAATCCTTTTAATGTCAATGACATCAGAAGCAACTTACACTTTAATTAACAGATCTCCTTCTGGAGATTTTATATGTATGTACTACAATTTGAACTGTATAAATAAATAAGGGTTTCAGCCCTGGCTATACTATATTAATATGTCCTGCTGGGGAGTCTCATAAATAAGGCCTAAGGCCTATATTAATACTGATACTAAGCTGAAGTTATTCCTGACAACTCTACATCTTTTCCGAGTATTTCATCGTCATCTCCTTCGCGAAGATTATCACCAAGGCGATCTGAGTTTGGTGCAATGGCTAAAACAACCCAACCTAGTATAACGGCCACACCGCGAACTGTATTCAATGTCTTCCATAATGAAAGTTCACTTTCAGATTCCTACAATTACATAAAAAAAAAGAACATTGATTATTTCCTTTAAAGAATATATTTGCTTTATATTTTTTGGACCTGGAACTCGTTCCAAAGAGTTATCCATCTTGTTGTTCTTGTTTTCTTTGGGGGGGGGGGGGTGTGAAGATCTTTAAAAAAATTCCTAGGCCGTAGCACCGATGTCTGGGCAAAATTTCCCCTATAGCACACTGTATGGAGTATGCCTATCTTCATTAGCCCAATGGGAGCAGAAAATTAGGACGTTAAACCCCATTTCATTTCATCTGGGCTTGTGTCTGGTGCAGTTCTCCTGAATTTAATATTACAGTGCACTCTGTCACATCCGACCTCTGATCACTCCGACATTTTCATGTCCCGATTTATTTCCTTATTACTTCAGCCAAAAAACCTCTTGGTGATTCGACCTCTGTACGTTCCGGATTACGACAACAATCAGCCGTCCCGTCATATGATTTCCATTGGATAAACACCGAATAATCCGGCCTTTAATCGGTGGGTGTGAAGCAAACACTTACCGATCAATTAACCATGAGATTAAAACTGGATTAACAAGCAATCACCAATCAATTATCTGTGAGATTAAAACTCGCTACCGTGGGTCTTTGTTGATTACTTTGATAATTTTAATCTCTTGTACGACCAGGGCTCGAAATTCGTTTTTTCGATCGAAGGCCAACTTTGGCCTACAATAGGCTAAAGTGCAACCTTGATCCAAGGCCAAAAATTGAAAATCCAAGGCCAATTTTTAAGTCATGATTTATGATATTATCAGCTTATTTAGAAGGTTTTAATATGTCGATCATATGTAAATCTGTTTATTATAGATCTTTTTTCTCACTCAAAATGTTGTTACAGGCCTGACTATCACATCACTATAATATTTTTATTATTTTCACAAAAATAATGCACCCTTATAGTTAAGGGGGGGGGGGGGGGAATTCTTATCATACCATTTTTAGTATGATTTTTCATTCTAAAAAAATGTTTAAAAGATAGGTTGCCAGGCAACAAAACATACGCCCACAGCAGCTAAATCGTCCGAGCGGTTGACAAGAGTTGTCGTATATTCATTCTTTTGTAGGTAATTAGGGGGCATTTTATAGACAATATCATACAGATGAAATTTTAATTTTTCGTCGTTTGAGGGTTCACAAGGTTCTAAAAACTAAAACAAGGGCTGTAACTCTAGAAGTAATTTACAGAAATTGTTAAAATTCGACAGGCTTTTTCGTTTTACTAATTCAAATAATGCATATCAATTTCAAACAGATCAGATGATAACTTTTGTCGTTCGAACGTTCACAAGGTTCAACAAAGTAAAACAAGGGCCATAACTCTAGAAGTAATTGACAGAAATTGCTGACATTCAATAGGCTTCTTCATTTCACTAATTTAAATGATGCATATGAATTTCATACAGATTGGGTGATAACTTTTGTCGTTCAAGCGTTCACAAGATTCAACAATGTGAAACAAGGGCCATAACTCTAGATGTAATTAACGGAAATTTGCTAAAACTCAATAGGCTTGTTCGTTTTACTAATTTAAATGATACCTAAAAATTTTTTACAGATCGGATAATAACTTTTGTCGTTAAAGCATTCATAAGGTACAACAAAGTGAAACAAGTGCCATAACTCACGGTGTAATTAACGGAAATTGTTGAAATTGAATAGGCATCTTCGTTGCACTAATTTAAATTATGCATATCAATTTCAAACAGATCGGATGATAACTGTTGTCATTAGAGCGTTCCCAAGATTCAACAAAGTGAAACAAGGGCCATAACTCTAGATATAATTAATTGAAATTGCTGAAATTCAATAAGCTTCTTTGTTTTACTAATCTAAATGATGCATATAAATTTCATACAGATCGGATCATAACTTTTGTCGTTAGAGCATTCAGAAGGTACAACAAAGTGAAACAAGGGCCATAACTCCCAGCGTAATTAACGCAAATTGCTGAAATTCAGTAGGCTTCTTCGTTTCACTAATTTAAATGATGCATATCAATTTCAAACATATCGGATGATAACTGTTGTTATAAGAGTGTTCACAAGATTCAACAAAGTGAAACAAGGGCCATAACTCTAGATGTAATTAACGGAAATTGCTGAAATTCAATAGACTTTTTTGTTTTACTAATTTAAATGATGCATATAAATTTCATACAGATCGGTTGATAACTTTTGTCGTTAGAGCGTTAACAAGGTGTAACAAAGTGAAACAAGGGCCATAACTCCAGAAGAAATTAACGGAAGTTATTGAAATTAAATAGGCTTCTTCATCTCACTAATGCAAACAACATATATCAATTTCAAAACAATCAGATGATAAATGTAGTCTGTAGAGTGTTCACAAGAAATTGTGTGAACGACGGACGGACGGGGGCGACGGCATGTGGGCGTATAAAAATTGGCATGTAGCCATATTGAGGGTTGAAAGTAAATATCATCCGTAAAGCTGGGTAAAATATTGATATAAATCAATAGTATCGATAAGATATGTCAAAAAGCACTATCGTATCGAGTACCAGTATCGTTCTCTTCGTACTTCGTCTATTTTTCGTGTGTGCGTAGGAGTCGACTCGATGTTTTCTGTGACTTAATCCTTCGAATATATATAATAATACAATAGCCTACATCGATCACTTTATATTTACTTCAAAGTCTCAATCTCAATGTAGCTTTTTAAAAAAAATGTTAAAATAAATTCACCCTCATTATTAAACAATACTTTAGTTTGAAGCAATAATCGCCATATCATGGAATTCGCTAAATTGGAGATACCCGGATGTGTAAATAATTCAGAGTTTTTCCCCTTTCAGAATTCGTCGGCTCATTATAAATGACATAGCACTGATGGATGACAAAAATGTTTGTATTTCTTCTTTCGGAATTAAGGCTGTATTATTTTAATAATAATAAACAATTGCCGAATTCGTGATAACAAGCTCTTTAGGCTATTAAATTTTCTTTAGTTTTTGCAAGCGAATCGACAACGATTTGTCCACCATGTTGGTATTTGTCGCGGTCACGTACGCAATGTTTTTAATCGACTCATGCTTATTTTATTTTGGTTCCTGCACAAACATAGGCCTATCAATGGAATTTCATCATTCAGAACCAAGGCTACATTTTAGAAATAAAGAACAATTTATACGTAATATGAGACAGTTTATTATTAATTAGACGAACAAAAAATATCTATCGGAGTATCGCAACATCGCATGGTTTGACTATAAAACACGTAATCCAGTCTTCATTACGACCGTGAAAATAAGATTGTTTCGATACCGATTATCGACAGTAAAAGTAACTCTCGATGCCCTGCACTAATCTGTGACCAAACATTGCCGTGGATAGTTAAAAATCGGCCACGAATCTGCGGCCAAATTCTAAAATTCGAAGGCCATTGCCGCCGAGGCCGAAGGCAGTGTCGAGCCCTGTGTACGACAGTTGTGACAAATACTCAGGAATATCCACGAATTCTACCCCGAATTCACAGTCGTAAAAATATTCCTAGCACCTGTTGGAAACATTCATTGCGCATGCCGATTGAACCTGAATAACCTATAAGTTTGGTCACTCTACGGATCTCTTCGAACCGTGTGACGACGACCTGGGGATGCTCGATTACCTGCGTAATCCGACATATTGTAACGATCCCGTACAATGTCGGATGTGACCGAGTGCACTGTAGTAGTGTTTATGCCAAGTTTGCTATTTCAAAATTTTGCATATCGGACATTCTTTGTTTATAAGCAAGTAATTATCAAACACACACAAGTTAACTGAGAAATTAATTCACTAGCCACATAATTCAAAGATGCATTAAGTAAGATTTAGAGCTGCCCGTTCTTGCTATAATAGTTCAAAAATAGATAATTCAAAATGAATATATTAAAAATTTCATTCTTGAAATTTACTCTATTTTGAATGAAGTTATCACTGTTTGAAGTTTCGACAAGATGTGGCATAGATTGTTTATTATCGTAGCACCGGTACTTGTCAATCGAGTCTTAGCCTCGATTCACCACTTTTAATTAAATCGTTAAATGATGATCATGTTTCAATCTGTTCCATCCGATTGTTGTGAGAGTAGAAATGAAATAAAATGAAATAGGGTTTAACGTCCTACTGCTCTGCTCCTAACCTGGGTTAATGAAGACAGGCATACGCCATACAGTGTGCTATGAGGGAAATTTTGCCCGGGCAGCTGCGCAACAGCCCACTCTTATATCAAATTCCAACTGCCAAGGGATCTTTTACGTGCACGCCAATGTGTACACGGGACCTCGGTTTTTCGTCCCATCTGAACGACTAGACAGCTGTCCTTGTCAGGCCCTACATCCTGCATTACTGACAAGGGGAAACCACGCCGGAAAATCTAAAGGAACTTTCTCGGCCAATGCAGGGAATTGAACAACCGACCTCCAGGCTAGCAAGCCAGCGTCTTACCCACTTAGCCACGTGATCCCCCTGTCTAGAAAGTAGAGAGTTGATTATAGGCTTGTCTGTGAAGAAATGTGTAAATAGTTATATGCATTACATTTGAAGCCAAAATAAAGACCTGCAATAGGCAGATTTAGCGAGAGAGAGAGAGAAATGGGGTTTAACGTCCACTCAACACAAACTAGGTCATTTCGGGACTAACATATGGTTTAATTTTATTTCAATAATTCGCTTGCGCGTAGAGGTCTTTAGCAGTGGGAGGAAACCGGAGGACCCGGAGAAAACCCACGAGGTTGGACAGGCGACCCTACTCCTTGTCACGTACAACCGGGGATTCGAAACCACGCCAGTCGACTCAATGACAGACTTTATGATACAGCGCGCGCACGCTAACCATTCAGCCATCCAACCCCCCTGGCAGATTTAGTTCTTGCATAATACATCTTTAAATTTCAGTCTGCACTAGCAATTTAACATGGCAGCTGTACTTACTACTCGGCAAACCTCAGCAGATTCCAGTACCCTACATCTAGCCTCGGCTGTATGATGAAGTCTGCCATTGGAACTACTTTCAAGTTCCCGGATTACCAACGGCGTTACCCATGACGACGCCATTGAAGAATGTTTTATCATACAAATATTTCAAAGTCAGAAGCTGTTTTACTTTCAGTTTATCCGATTTTCTTCAAACAGGAACAGCTTTGCACTAAAAATTCTGCACACGCTTCGAACGACACAATTTTGCTAACTTCTTTTTAAAAGCGTCAAGTTTTCCTAATAAGTAAAACGGTGCCACATCGCAATTGTGTAGGCGTAGGTACATATCACTTACCATCATATAGCTGTGGCTAGATGTAGAGTAACGGAATCTGCAGAGGTTTGCCAAGTGCTGTACTTACCTGAGGATTTTCCCATAATTCTGGTTTTGTACTAAACAGATTTATTTTATCTTCTGTAGAGATGATACTGAGAGAAAGAATTAAGGCCAGGAAATAAATTAAAATGGCTATAGCTGTATTTTGGAGAGATACAGCTTTACGGAAAAATCTACCACTGGTATTACCAACATCACATCTATAATGGAAAGCATAACATAAAATTATATTTACTTTCACTTTCCAGGGCAAGACTTACTTTCATTTCTTGTACGACAAGATACGCCCACATTTTGCACGAGATGAACAGAAAACAAGCCAACCTTGGTATTTAAAAATGCTTAAACACTAATTGTGTAAAAACGGGCAGCCATTTTGACGGAAAGTTTTCAAGCTCAACTGGGATTGCGGTGTAAATTGTAATGGTGATATATTTAAATGTTTTTCAAAATAAATAAAAATTGTGACCTCAAGCTAAAAACACAAGTTTTATGTACAATCAGGGGCCATAATCCATGCACGAATATAATAATAACTGTGATTTTTGGGATATATAAAAATTATGAACTGAAGAGGATCCAAAATCAAAATGTGAACGGATGGACGGACGATATATGTCCACATGATTCAGCGCTCAATACCTGTAGTCTTGATTCAGGAGGTAGCCACAACAACTCAGTAGAGAAGGCACTGGTTCAATAAACAAGACGTACCAGGTTCAATCCTGGTGAGGGGTGGTTGGGTTGCCGATGGGTTTAACAGGTGTGCGTTGGATCTTAAGATCTGTCATTGGGTCAAGAGTCATGGTTTCGATTCCCAGCTTCCATGTGACAACGAGTAGGGTCGCCCGTCCAAACTCTTGGTCCTTCGGTTTCCTTCCACTGCTAAAAATCCTTACGCGCAAGCAAATTATTGAAATAAAATAGAACCATATGTTAGTCCCGAAATGACCTAGTTTGTGTTGAGTCGACATTAAATCCTGGTGTTGATTGAGAAAGTACCTCAGTTTTTTTCCTGTCTGGTTTACCCTTGTCAGTGGGCTAATGAAGACAGACATACATGTACACCATGCAGAGTGCCATGAGGGAAATTTTCCCAGGGATTCAGGGGGTAGTGAGAGAGAGAGAGGAATGGGGTTTAACGTCCACTTGACACAAACTAGGTCATTTCGGGACCAACATATGGTTCAATTTTATTTCAATAATTCGCTTTCGCATAGCGGTCTTTAACAGTGAGAGGAAACCAGAGGACCCAGAGAAAACCCGCGAGGTTGAACAGACGACCCTACTCCTTGTCATGTACAACCGGGGATTCAAAACCATCCCAGATAACTTTATGACAGGCCTTATGATACAGCGTTCATGTGCTAACCATTCGACCATCCAACACTCCTAATTCAGGAAGTAATTTGTCTGATCATTAGTAATTATTTAAAAATACAGTATGTTAGATTTAGATAAAGAGTTAGCCATTTTTGCTATAATAGATCATCAAGATGTGGCATAGATTGTTTATTATTGTAACAACAGTACTTGTAAATTTGTCATTCAAGACAGCCATTTTTAAATCAAATCATTAAATGGCAACCATATTTTAATTTGTTTAAATCTCTGCCATTTGATAGTCTAGAGAGTTGATTTTAGGTTAAATCAAATCATTAAATGGCAACCATCTTTTAATTAGTTTAAATCTCTGCTATTTGATAGTCTAGTGAGCTGATTATAGGTTTGTCATGTTAATAAATGTCTAAATAATAGTTCATATAACATTTAAAGACAGAATAAAGACCTACAATAGTCAGAATTAGCTCTTACATAATGCATCTTTAAACTTTTTTTTAGTATTCAAGTTGACATGCATCTCGTTTTAAACAAAGCGCAGGAATTTCGTAGCGTCACCTACATCTAGTGGCAATCACACTGGATAATTTCCTACAATTCCCCTTAAGAATATACATCTGAGCCACCTGGATCATTTCCTAAACTACTTCCCAGTGTGAGCAACACCATAGCCAGATTCTCTACAGTACCAGTTATGACATAAAAGTTATGAAGACTATAACTTACCTATCACAAGCTGAGACAGTACACAGTGCTAACAATATATAAAACATACACTGAACAGGAAGTGCTAGAGGGCGATAGTGTTCCAAGAAATCAGTGTTATCATGGACACTTAATATATACACCACAATGATATGCCACAGTGCTATACCAGCCAGAAGGCCATGTAAAAATAGGCAAAAAGTTTTTAGCACTTTATGAGTTTGTAAACCAAATTCCATGGTTGTTTTACTCGAAGGTTCCACATATGCCTCAGCTTTCGTTTCTTCCTCTTCTGCCCATTTCTTGGCAAGTTTCGATTTATTTTCACCCTTAAAACCACCTGAAAATAGAATATAGTAAACCTTTTTGATCACGAAACAGGACAGGAAGACCAATCTGATTAAAACACAGATCCTATTTAGTTTCGTTTTTATAGTTCAAAATTTCATTTTACTTGTCTTTACTACACTAGGATATGGATGATGTGAGGGATTAGCCAATCAAACGGTCTGTCACAGCGACTTCTTGGCCTTTTAATGCACGGAACTGTCGGTAAACCACTAGAAATGTCAACGTTGATTGATTAATCAATGTCTGACGTCATAGGGTCAAAGGGGGGTTGGATGGCCGACTGGTTAGCACGCGCGCGCTGTATCATACGGTCTGTCATTGAGTCAATGACAAGGAGTAGGGTCGTCTGTCCAACCTCGTGGGTTTTCTCCGGGTCCTCCGGTTTCCTCCCACTGCTAAAGACCCCTGCGTGCATGCGAATGATTAATATAAAATTGAACCATATGTTAGTCCCGAAATGACCTAGTTTGTGTCGAGTGGACGTTAAACCTCATCTCTCTCTCTCTCATAGGGTCAAAACTTCATGTAGTGTAGGCCATCGAGAGTATAAAAAAAAAAACGAAACAAAATATAAATCTGTATTTTAATCAGATTGGTGGAAGACTAACAAGCCTAAAGATAAGGTATCTGTCACTGACATTGTCAGCTATAAATTCAGACTTTGTCCGTCACAAAATCCTTCTGATATCTGCCATTTTGTGTCGCACTGATTTGTCTATTTTCTGTGGGTTTTGTTGTAAATATTTCTTATACATGTCCGATTTAAAATGTCAGGTTCCAGTTCAGTAGTGCTTGCCATTTTGTCAGGTAACCATAGTCACTTTTTCCAGGCTAGATGCTCAGACTGAATTTTTATCACAATTTTTTTTTTATCTACAAAATGTTGATATCTCTTTTAACTGTAACGTAGTCATGGTAACAGTCAGGGGTGACAATTTTTTAGCTGCCTGAAAGAGGGAGATGGAGGGGGGTGTGGAGTGAGAGCCTAGTGAAGAGAGGAAAATGGTTGATTGTTATTCGCGCTTATAGTATCATGTACAAATAGAACTATATACCCGGTACTCTTATGTTCTTCATCAGAAAATAAATCGATCCTAAACTAATAATCAATCAATCAATCAATCAACATAGAATTTGTATAGCGCAAACAATACTTTGATAAAGTTCCTAATGCGCTTAAAAGTTTTTGGGGGGGGATTCTTTTAGTGTTTATTTTCGTCAAATAGATGTGTCTTCCAGAGAAAAGGTGCTGCAAAGTGAAAAGATCGTTTCGTCCGTTGAAGTTTGACAGCAGGAGTAACTAATAATGACTTGTTCTGAGATCTTAAGGTTCTACTGGATTCATATGGAGTAAGTAGATCTTGGATGTATTGTGGCGCTTGATTGTTGAGTGCTTTAAACGTCAGTAAAAGGATTTTGAATTTGATTCGCTGATTTATGGGTAACCAATGGAGGGTTCTTAATGATGGTTTAATGTGATCCCTTTTCCTGGTTCCAGTGATGAGTCGAGCTGAAGCATTCTGAACATATTGAAGCTTCTGCAGCTGCCACTGTGGTAGACCATACAATAAAGCATTATGGTAGTCCAGCCTTGAAGAGATCAAAGCATGAACGAGGATTTTTAGATTTCACATGTTAGATACTTCTTTATCTTTGCTAATTTGTAGATCTGGTAAAAAGCTGAAGAACAGATGGATTTGATGTGTGATGGATTTGATGTGTTCAATATTCGGAACAGCTGATGTCTATGATAAATCTTGGATTATGCAAAATCAAAGTTAAGCAGATACAGAATAAAAGTCACATTGATAAATATCAACTTACGATTTGTTTCAATATAAAGTTTTTCTGTTGGTTGACTGCGTAAAATATTTGAAGATTTAAAATGAGGTTCACTTCGATCTTCTTCCTTTTGTCTTTCTGCCACCACGTCATCCGCTATATAAGTCAAATCAGCTGCAAGTAATGTGTCACCAAATTCTTCTTTTTCAATGCCTTTCTTCGTCTTTTTTTTCTTGCCTTTTTTCTTGGGAGTTTCCCCCTTGTCAACATTTTCTTTTCCTATTAAACTGGCTTGACTACCAGTTACATTCTGAAAACAATTTTATTATAAATACAAAAATATCACCAGATTTATCACTTCATCACGGCAGCTGATATGCAAATAATATATATACCAATCAGGGGTAGAAATTCATGCAAATATCCGAATCTGATTCTCGCAAGAGCTTACGTTGCGAATTTACAAAGATTCGCGTAAAATTTTTCTAAAAAAACAAAAAAACAAATCTCGGAGATCGGTCAGTATCGGCTGTTTTTTGTCGGCTTTAGCCGACTGACATTTAATCTAGCAGATTTGGTAAAACTAAAACAATGAATCCATCACTATGGTATCATAAATCAATCTACTTTTGATAAATTACAACGGGGTAATTATTACTTGTTAATAAAAAAAAGACAATCAACTTGCTTGTCGACTACAACAACAGTCATACCTCATATGGTTCTTAATCTGAGCAATTAGCACATTTAACGGTGATTTTGACAATCCAGTTAAAAAACAAAACTTTCATGCTGATAATTCATAAAAGGTTCAGTAAAATACTCCATGTGGTGAATAAAGACGATCTCGGCATGGTTTGCGAATCGCACATCTTCTACGCCCCATCCGTGTGAATTCCAGGTACAGGTAGATATTAAAATAATAACTGGATAATACATTGATGGATTCACTTACTAGTTGTTAGGTAAATTTAAATCTTCATTGAATATAATCCCCTGGTAGAACACCGAATACACGGAAAGAGAAACAGTGGGTATTTTCCCGACAGAATCTCAAATGCTGAATTCCTATGACACGTGACATATCGGTTGGAATTAGGTCAATAAACCAGATCTAAATAGTGTTTATACACATGTTGACAGAGGGTTAATTTTAAAAATATTATTGAAGCTATATCATAGTTGTACGAATTTTATTTTATTGCAATTTCAATTGTGGTTGTCACGTGATCATTATGCCATTTTTCTATCATCGACGAATGAATAAAAACTTTTGCAGGTTACGTGACTAGTTATGTGATGGACAAAGGACTACAAATTGTGCTATGAAAAAAAAAATGCCATGGTGCCATATCAACTTATTTTGGATATTACTTTTGACACTATTATATTAAGTTTTTACTAAAAAATCCATATGATTGTCCTATTTTTATCATTGTTCTTGTATTTTGATGTTTTAGATTAACACAATAAACACAATCTTGTTTTTTTAAACAGTATTATTAATTAAGATTCAGAGGATTCGAGCAGATGCCAAATATGAGAATCCTCTTAGATTCTCGCAAAAAATGACGAATTTCTAGCCCTGCCAATGTTACTCAACAATTACCATATCATTCTACTGTGAGTTCTGGAAATTCCTAATAGGGCTGAGTCGATATATTGATACACCAATACGTATCGATATGATGCAGCGATATTTGTATCGATACGTAATATAGCCGTATTGCCGTATGTTCTTCAGTTAAGAGAGACCATGAAACTTATTTATAGGTTCTAATTATTAGTTTGTTTGCTTCACCTCTAAGTCTTTGAGTGTGGATAGATACAGCCCTAGTTCCTAATTGACATGACTGCAATCCTGATTTGTGAGTCGCAGTGGCTGAGTAGGACATTGGCTAACTAACCTGGAGGTCCCGTTATCAATCCTGGTGTTGACAGAGAACGTTCATAGGCATTTTCAGGCGTGTTTTCCACTAGCCAGTTGTGCAGGAGGGAGGGCCTGGCAATGGACAACATAGTCATAAAAGGACCCTTGAAAGTTTGAAATTAAAATAAGAGTAGGCCGTGGTGCTGCTGTCTGGACAAAATTTCCCTCATCGCATACGGTGTGGCATATGCCCGTCTTCATTCGCCCAGTTGGTGCAGAACTTCCATCCATTTCATTATCGAGTCTGACAAATTTTGGTCACTGTTTGTAGAATTGAGTAAAGAGGTTTTAGTGAATATTAAGGATTTTGAGAGGGAAGGATAAAAGAATTTAGACGTTGGTTACGGTGACATGTAGGTCTACGGTAGACAATTACTTGTTGTTACTAACATTGTTAGTAAGCTACTTCAAATTGTGTATCTCAAAAATCTCCTGAACAATGGAACCAGTTGCCAAGAAATTGTCTAACATTGCTCAGTTTGTGTCGGAAAGCCCAATGGATGTTTGGAAAAAGTTTGAGCCAGACAAAAGTAATCTCAAAGCCTATGGGAGAATATGTGATGTCATGCATGGTCTGTATGACAACTGACCAAATTATAAAGAAATATTAAAGCGAGAATTTCATATTTTCTAAGAAAGTCAAAACATAATTATTTCTATTTTTTTGCTCAATAGGTACCGTTGTCAAGTCACTATTATACGATCATAGGTTTGATTATCACACTTATAAAATCATTCACACCGGAAATAACAATTACCTCCCTTGTTTTTCTATTCCCCCCATGGAATAGCTATCTTTAAACGTTTGAATTTGAAATTGAAAATGATATTTTTGCCAATTTCACAACTAGCAATAGTGAATTATAGGATTAATAGGATTATTCTTTAACAAGGTAGGACTGTTTATAGATACCATCTATTTTAAGGCTTTATTTTAATACATTTTAAAAATATAACTTAAAAATATGAAATTCTCGCTTTAATTACCTCCCCTGTTTCTGTTACACTTCTGTCGGTAACTGCTTCTTCGTCTCCATCTTTAGGCTTTGGTTTTCGTTTTTTCTTCTTAGGAGCAGATGATTCTTCAGTATTTACTACGGAACCGTTCGTCTCTTTTTCTTCGCCTTCGCCCCGAGAAGAACTTTGTGGTCTGGATTTTCGTTTTGGTTTAGTTGGCTTGTTGCTGGGTGCGCCATCTTGTGCAGGCTCATCCTTCTCTATCGATTCATTAGTAGCTTTTGGTTTCTTCTTTTTCACCACTTTCTTTGTGCCGTCTTCAGTGGGCTTATCTCCACGAGGGGAAAGAGGAGGCAACTTTCTTCGGCTTGCTCCCTCATCCACCTGTGAAATGTCAGTCATATTGTTTGTTGTGAAGGAATGTCAAGACGTTTTGGAACTTCAACTGTGAAGAGTACTGACAGGTTCTCGATGTCGCTGAACGTAACGCTCGTTTCTGGTTTAAATACAATTGTGTGGGTTTTGATAGTAGGGATGGGCTAACTAATAATACAATTGATGATTTCAAAGTTCTTTTCATACTATTGTGTTTGTTAATCCACTACCAATTGCAAATTGTTTTCAGAAACAAGAAGCAACGGGTATGGTTCACGGGAGACAACTCAATTTTATGTTTTAGGGTTGAGACTACTAAATATTTTTGCATTTTCATTGTAAATTGTATATTAGCATAATAATTTTATAATCATTTTTGATTAGGTGCTGAATTTCTTGTTCATTCATCTATTTTTCTTTTTTTTGTACCTAGGTCTAGTATGAGTTACTATGTATACTATAGTATGCATGCAAAAATGTCAAATCTTGTTTGTCACTATAAAAAATGGCAGCCAAACCCATACCGAGTCAAACTACAGGTTGACGTACTCGATTTTTTTTTTTTTTAAACTGAGGTCAGTGATGTGGAACTGTTATTTTGCATATCGAATTCGCAATTACACTCAATCCTTCTGCATCCAAATCGGAAATATTTTCCAACACCTGGCAGAAAATCAAAATTCCAACTCCATTACATCCATTCCGGAACACATAAAACGACCATTGAAATCGGCGGGCAAAAAAGTAGAGATTGGGTTAAACATACATTATGCAAGAGCTAAATCTGTCTATTGCCGGTCTTTCTTTAGGACTGAAATATTATCTAAATTATTAATTAGACATTAATTAACCTATCCAGGCCATAATCAACTCTAGATGGCATGGTTAGCCTGCGATCTGTAGTGGATTATGAGGCGATTTACTGCATAACTTTCCTTCAAGATTTAACGATTATGTGGATAATCGAGACTGCTATTTATCGTACTGACTTTAGTAATGATGAACGAGGCTAGGCGGAAATTTCATTCGCTTAGTTCTGGGTTCATAGTGGATCAATTTGAATGAAATTTTCAGCAAATTGCCTTTACATTATCTAGTTTTTAACTATTATAATGAGAACTACCAACTCGTTATCGAATCTCCCATAATGTATCTTTAATCTATGAATAACTCCAACTACATTAATGAAATCAAATGTGCTTTAACGCCTAACTGTTCTTCAACAACCGGACTGTGTATAGTGTGAAAATGTAAAATGTATAATATTACAAAAAAAAAGGAATAAAAGTAGGCTTGTACTCTATAATTATAAGCTGATTTACATTCATTTTGTAAAACTTTTATTGTAATTTCAGTTTGGTTCATCAAAATACGTGCGGTGTCCAAATTGAATGGCAGTACGCGCCTGGTAAGTCCTGGACGGTTGGATTAATATAAGAACTTTCTCGGCCAATGCAGGGATTGAACACAAGGCCGCCAGGCTAGCGAGCCAGCGTCTTAACCACCTAGCCACCGTGGCACCCCGAGAGCATAGAGCACATGTCGGCCTGTATTGGTTTTAAAATTATTCACTGTCATAAATCTTGGATATATAAAAGCCCATATTTTCATGGCAAGATAACGTCACTATTGGTTGGAATGAACCAATATAGGTGTTAACAATGTCGAAGACTGGATAATATTGAGTTAGAGGTCGACACGCTTTAACGTATAGTCGTACGGATGGGATGGAAACCCGAGGTCCTGTATACCCATTTTTGTGAACGTAAAAGATCCTTTGGCAGTTATGCCCCTCTTCATTAGCACAGTCGGAGCAGAACAGTAGGACGTTAAACCTCGTTTCATTTCATTTTACGCTCTTTAATAACCGTAAATATATAGTTATTATACACAGGTCCACGTGAGGTGTCGTTAAGGGATTAAAACAAACACAAATACAAGATATCATCAGTAGTTTATTAATTAAAAGACATATCCAAATTAAATTCAATAAGCCTAATAAAATCTCAATCTTGGGCTAATTCGTTGCTTTAATCTTAAAGAGCTTCATATATACTCATTATACAGTGTAAAAAGGCAACAAAAAATCCCAAACCTATTCTAGACCAGCCTATTATTTGAAAAGATTATGCACTAAGATTATCCTTAAAATATTATAATGACATGTCACCGATCGTAGAGCTTATTGTGTCTCCCGAACGACAAGTTAATACCGCTCGATAACAATTGATAAAACTCAAGGTGTATAAGATTACATATGACCTGATGAGGTTAGCGCGCTCTTACAATGTTGTTAACTATGCCAGAGGCTGGTTGGTCAAGTGGTCTAACGTGTGCGCTTAAGATCAAGGTTTACCATTGCATCAAGTGCTGTGACAAGCTTGCACGTGACAACGAGCAGAATCGCATACTGTAGTACTACCGGACTTCTTTATTTGTTGTGTTCCTTGTGATCGTAAATAATACTACAGCAACAATGATTTCACAGCTTTATTAGTAAACTGGAAATAACTTTGCAGGTTCCTCGTTCTCAATGGTAATGACTGGTAAGAATTTCTGGGTGAGCTCTAATCTAGCTCTCCTCTACACCCTAATTTATACCCCCTACTTTCCCAGGTCTTCAATAACCTTGACGTGAATTTCCACGCCATATAAGGAATAAAACTCTATATTTCCCACAAACAAGACAGGCAACATTACTTATTTTTGGTCAACCGACCATAGGTCAATAAACAGCTAGAATTTGATGACTATTTTGACAATGATTATAATTTAACTAAAACATAACTGTTTTTTACGAACAACTATAACCACGTTCATTTAGTACTTATGATTTGACTTTATAGACCAAATTGAAGAGACAATTTTATAAAGAGCCAAAATTGTCTCAAGGGCCATAGTGCTACAGCAGAGGCATTTATTCCAGGTCTCCGGTTTCCTCCTACTGCTATATTGTATCACGCCAGTCCCAAAAATGACATGTAGTTTGTGTCGAGTTGACGCTTAACCCCATTTCACTATGTCGATATAGTACATATATATTCGTAGTGTCAAGTTAGTGACGGCCTTGAAACATTAAGTCATTTGATACAACCTTATTAGTCGTTTTTCGGTAATTTCCGTCGAGGTTGGCCCAAAGACGGAATGAGTGACATTAGGTTACTTTCAGACGTCTTGGTGAGCTGGGCTATGCCAATTAGTTATTTTACTTTACTTTATAATGAGTTGATATCACAGACAAATGTTTATCCAAGAAACTTGAAAGAGAGGCCAGTTTTGATGCGAGTGACCAGTGCAGCGTATGGTTTGGTAGGAATGTGATGACGGAATGGAAATCGCTGCCCGATCCAGTGTGTAACCCGCAGTCGATTCATACGAGATCTAATAACTAATGTAATCTTGTCAGAACCACACGGGTGGTTCCGAACAGGTGCTGGCGGGCCCACGGTAACGGCCACGTCCCGATCTAGAAATGACTTGAAGGGTCGCGCGCTGACTCAGAGAGAGTTCAATCCTCACATAGCATAACGCGACGATGATCTGTACGATATCATATCCGGATAACGTCCTTTCACGCCGGTATGTCCGTTCGACGCACCCACCTCTACACCGGGTGATCACTTATGGATCCTGCCCACCAAACATCAACTAAACTGTCACAGAGTAGAAGAACAACAATTCTCCTTTATCCGCAAGTTGGTCAGCCAATCAAGGATGCCAAATTTTCCCACGAATTCTATCTGCACATGTCTGGTTCTGAGTATCATGTTCACAGAACTGTATATTGGAAAAACTATGCCGGGAGGCAATTAAAGTTGGAGTCTTCCACTCGAAAGGGCAATCCACTCCAATGTCTAGAAAATGTTCATTAGCTTTCTTGGAAACTTAAAATATCGGCGTCTCTTTTTTGTAGCTATTGTATTCTTAGTGTCATTTTTGAATTGATTCGGATAGCACTCATCAGACAAAATTTGAAAATATTCACCAGGACCGGGAAATTCATCTGGTTCCTCTTGTATTAATTGTGATAGAAATCTGTATTCCCTACTGGGATTCACCGATTGATTATACTGACTCCCTTCCCACGGATCCACAAATTCCGATTCTTTCGAAGTATCGGAAAACCATGGAGACAAAATGGAATAATTTTGATTCTGAGAATGCGCTCGATCGAGGTCCGAGACTAAGCCAGAATCTAAGCTTTCTGTGTTGCCATATATATTTTCACACTTGTAATGTACTTTAGGATTGGCTGGAATTTGTTCTAGAGATTGTGCTTTGTTCAATGATTTTACGTGTCTTTGTCGAATATCACGCGAATGCATGTATTTTGGAACCAATTCGTTCGATTCTACATCGGAAGGAAATATACAGCGTGGAACTAAATCGCGGGAGTCTACATGCATGGGATCAAGCGTCGTTGAACATATGCTATCTAATCCTACACCACGTGCCTGTACCTCACCAGCACCACCTGGTGGATCTATATCTGTCAGATGAACTCGATTACCATCTGGATCAAGCACACAATAAACAGACGTACTAATCTCCCATATCTTTGTTTTAATCAAACACTTCAAATTCTCCATATTTCTGATTTTAAAATGAAGACAAGCCCGAGGAAGAGGCTGTGGATTTAAGGACGGACACAGTTTTAAAGCTAACTTAACACTCTCTCCTCTTAAGGATCTTAGCTGAAAGAAGCAAAAACCCGCTTTACTGCTTTCCATTTCAACATCAGTTAAAAGTCTATAAAATTCCACCATTTTTCTGAAATTAACCACAAAGACGTTTATACGTAGATGTTCCTGGCCTGCTACGCACGGACAGACAGACCACAGAGGTAACTCTGGAGATATCTGGTAAAAGTTTTGTTGACCAACGGTTAATCCTGGAGAAGTTTTTTTCTGTAGTTGAACACTGTGGTGCAAAACCCACGGCGCCTCAAGAATGTTTTCTCTCAGTTGTTTACAGTTTCTTGACCCACTGTCAGACCGGAATATCATGATCGCAATAGCCTGCGTTGTTAGTTTGTCGGATGGTGCATGATACCAAAGGCGCCCGTCATCACCATCTACTTTCGTTTTCAAAATGTCATCACCTATTTTAATAATTTCAAACTTCTGATCAATCCATGAAATCAGAGGATAAATAGTTTTTTTAATGTCAGAAAGTTCTTTTGATGGTATATGTAAACTCATACTAAAAGTCAAATCCTTCGCCATTTTAGGCATATGACAATGTAGTTAAGTTATAGAATAACTGCGCATGGTATAGTGGAATGCATGTTTTCCTTATTGGTGAACCAATGTCGAATTACTCGAATATAGGGATATCGAACATAGTTTAACTAACTGACAAAAGAATATCGAGCATAGTTTAACTATTGGTCGAGGAATGTCGAATCTAGTTTAACTATTGGTGAAGAGATGTCGAACATATAGTTTAACTATTGGTCGAGGAATGTCGAATATAGTTTAACTACTATTGGTGAAAGAATATTGAATAGTTAATTATAAACTACTACATATTTTACTGAATACGTACGTTAAAGAATTTTCACTTCAGACGGAGACGTTTCACAGATTTAATATTAAGTAGCTAGGGGGTTCATGTATAAACACACACATTATATGGTAAACTATCTTTATTTTATTCCAGATATCCTATAAAGTAGCTAGACGGTTCATGTATCAACACAAACCTTATATGGTATTCCATACTATCATATATAGTTATATCCAATAGTTAATGTACACTCCATAGTTAAAATCCACGATATATCATCGAGGTAAATATACTAGTATTTCTCACTGATATGATCAAGATTCCACTGGAGTTAAGCTTTTATTTCGGTCATATTTTCATTAGGTTTTCCATTCTTCAAATCACACCGGACACACGTAACACATCCATATCCCCAAACTAAAGTTAGTCAATAGTTCCTCTATATTCTGTAAATACAAAAAACAAACGGGTTGTTAGCTATGTGAACTCTTCGAATGTTAAATGCCACATACATTTTATTTCTGACATTCTAGAAATTATTTTCTACAGCGCACACCCATACGATACCTTTGCTAAAAACGATGGGATAGATCTAATGTGTTTGTGAAACGGCAGCAGAGTTCGGTCTTCATTTCTAAACAACAACTATCCCTGACAATGACGGGCCAAATTAATGTTTAAAATAGTTTTATTTAACGTCCGCTTCCACCGAAGTGATATCGTCATCAAATAAATACAAACCAATGTGTCCTTACATACAGGTGACAATAAATATAATTGTTCACCTGTTGTAATTACCTGTCAGTGTTTATCTGATCGCACCTGACAGATAATCCCATCAGAATATATAGATATATATATAATCCAAGTAAGGTATATTTTAACGCTGTAATTATTTCTAGAGACAATAGAACGATAGGAACGCGTATCGGATAAATGATAATTATAGTATATGAATCCACAGGCACTTGAAGGGATTAAAATAAAACTTATTACTACTGCTTGACTATATATTACAGTATGTACTACTGCTTGACTATATTACAGTATGTACTACTGCTTGACTATATTACAGTATATATAGTCAAGCAGTAGTAAGAAGTTTTATGCTAATCCCTTCAAGTTCCTGCGTATGAATCTTACTTTTAAGTATTTGAATCTTTAAAGTAACAATATTATTATTCATTTATAGGGGAAAATTTCTCACAGTACACTGTATGGCGCATATCCGTCTTCATGATCCTAATATACCGTTTGTTGCAGAACAGTGGGACTTAAACTCCAGTTTATTTCAATTTCCGATCTATTTATAAATGCATACATGCGACAGAAAAAGAAGAGAGAGAAACAAACTAAGTCATTTCGGGATTAACATATGGTTTAATTTTATTTCAATAATTCGCTTGCGCGTAGGGGTCTTTAGCAGTGGGAGGAAACGGAGGACCCGGAAAAAAACCACGGGGTTGGACAGGCGACCCTACTCCTTGTCACGTACAACCGGGGATTCGAAACCACGCCAGTTGACTCAATGACAGGCCTTATGATACAGCGCTCACGTGCTAACTATTGCTAACCATTCGGCCATCTAACCCCCACTTCATCTAGTACTTTATTTTCTGATTTCTTACCTGTATTCGTTACGGTAATCCATGTATAATAAATACATATTATCGGAATAAAACAGAATAATAAACTATAATTATATATTTATCCTGCAGAATAAAACTTTATATATCACACTAAAACACTCACCGACCGAATAGAACTGCAATAGAATATTAATTTATCAGGTATAACTGCAATAGAACACTTCATCACGTATAAATGAAGAAAATGGGGTTTAGCGTCCTACTTCTCTGCACCGACTGGGATAATGAAGACGGTCATCACGTATAACTATGTGGACTTTATTTCTTATTATGGAAGACCAAATAGCTCTTTATTCAGTATTATTAATTCTTAGGTTTCTATTCATAGTTCTTAATTCTTCTCTCTTCATTTGTTGTCGTATTTTGACATTTGTACACTAAAATTGATTTTAAATACAAATATTAACTTGAGTATACAAAGGTCGAAATACGACAACAAATGAAGAAAACAGATTTAAGAACTATGAATTAAGAAATGAGAATTATGATACTGAATAAAGAGCTGTTTGGTCTTCCATACCGTATAACTCCATCGTATTTCATTAACTCAATACTACGTCATCAAACATCTACTAACCTATATCCTGTCTCATCTCCGCATCGCCGGTTTCTTTCATGTTCCCATCGTTTTCTTCAGTGTTTCTTGTCGGTTTCTTTGATGTACTACAAACCAGTCAGGTGAAATGAATAAACGGATTAGTATCAAGTAGGGGAGTTAATCCTCGAAACTAATACAATTCAGTAAATGTAACAGTTTAAAGAATAACGGGGGAGAGCTCTACATTAAATTATAACAATTATAAATTATGTTTATTTTATGGTCAAAAGGGTAATAATTCGAAATATTTTACAATATTTATGAGGATAAAGAATAAATTTCCGCGGTATTAAAATTTAAAATACATGTAATTTGTGAAGTCGGTTAAAATGGAATTTAAGTTTTTATTCTTTTTTAAAAAAATTTCCCCGACTTTGTCTTAAAGAGAAATGAAACGAAATGGGGTTTCACGTCCTATTTTTCTGCACCGATGTCTTAAAAAATAATAAGCACTCAACAGATTTAGGCTAATCGAAAAAATATATAATTTCAGGTTTGACGTTATTTCAATAAACTATTACACACAGAATGTTCAGTTTACAATCATGATTAAAATGCAGATCTATACTTCGTTTCGTTTTGTATACTTTCGTTGGCCTACACTACATGTGTAGTACAGATAATTTAAACGAAATTTTGAACTATAAAAAACGAAACGAAATGGGATCTGTGTGCGTCTCTAGATTTTGCGTCGTCCGGGGTGGTCCTTGCGTATCACGCCTCCAACCCCAACCCCAACCCCAACCTCAACAGAACGCAATACACATAAAACATACTTAAAATGTTAAAAGAAAATTGTGTTACTGTCTGATTCATCGTAAATTTTAAACGGATTTCTTCGATTATGAACAAACTACTTAACGTTGGTTATTATAAACATACCTGTGTGTTTGTAATGAACTCCCGTTCGATAAAATCCATTGCACAACTAATTATCACAACGATGAAAACAAGTTCTCTCTTGAAAAATTGAAATATCACAAACTTTTCCCAGACAAAAATACCAATATGGAAGATGGTTACGTCACTCTGCGGAAGATATCATTTCGTATTAGGGGTGACAGCATAGGAAATTCAAGTACAATTACGACAAGAATCCATGACCACTCGGACCAAAGATCACTCGGTTCAAGACCAGTCGGACCAAGTGATAGACCACTCAGCCCAAACAAATAGACTACTCGGACCATACAAAAAGACTATTCGGACCCAACAGAAAGACGACTCGGACCAATAATAAAATGTTGTTTTAATAAATTGATAATTGCGTTTGTTTTAATATAATTACTCGAACCAATAATAAAGTGTTATTTTAATAAATTGATAATTGTGTTTATTTTAATATGACTACTCGAACCAATAATAAAGTGTTATTTGAATAAATTGATAATTGTGTGTGTTTTAATATGACTACTCGAACTAATAATAACGTGTTGTTTGAATAAATTGATAATTGTATTCCAAATCGCAAAATATCGAGAACCACACTTGTAGTCACGTTTAAAAAGGGGCATATAAACGTCCGGTCTTCGTATTATTATGTGCTGTTTATATTAACGCATCAAGGGCGGATAACTTGAAAACGTGTCTCCACCCCCCCCCCCCCACATATATATAGTAACCCAGGGGTTAGTGGGGTAGGACGGAATGAAACCACTGGGGATACCGCGAATGTGGAAAAAGTAAAATTAAGCTATCAGACAAGAACAGTATACCCGTATATGTAGAAACTGTCAAAAGTCTGGACATACCGAGTCTCATTGCAAGAGTAAAGAAAAATTAGATTGATATTTTTTTTTGGCACCATTATTAATTAATTTTAAAACTAATCGTTGATTTATTTACGTACACAAAATTGAACCAAACAACTCTAAATATAAGAATTCCGTATAAGAATTATTTGCTTCTTTGTATTGTGATTTAATAATAAATAAATAGCATATTGTCTAGCCTTATAATATAATTTAATTGGTCCGACTGGTCTTGTTTTGGTCCGACTGGTCTTAGTCCGAGTAGTCTTTGGTCCGAGTGGTCTGGATACCTACGACAATTGGCATTGAGTTTGAGCGTTCGCACACATAACTACCCGCATTCCTGTATTTAGTTACCGTCTTTTACATTCTAGTAAAATCTCTGCAAATTTTATAGCTTTACTTTTTGAAATATTTTGTTCTAATTATTTGATTAGCGACTCGGATGGGATTATTTACTTTTGAACACGCATGCCGCACAAACACAACTATACATTCGTTTTACGGGCTTTATCACACTTCGGTCAAAACTGTCGAATCGAGAATTAATGTTCCGCTTCTTACGGGGTCATACGGGCTTAGTAGCATTATATACCCACCCGGGCACCCAATACGGCAATAGACACGCTGAGGGCTGCCGCAACACGCTTAAAGATGTTACTGAAGCGGTTATTATTCGATCGAAAGAATGCGTATAAAATTAAAAATACACTCAGAGAATTCGGAGGTAAGCTTCATGATCCTTGTTAAATTATTTATAACATAAAGAAGATAGGATATTTATAGTTTATTCATGACTTTATTTTTACGAGTATCCGTGCAATCAGTGATATTTTAATTGTGAAGAAAATTTGATAGACTGGCGATCAATGGTTTCCATATAAATCTCCTTTGTAATTGCCTTCAATTGATATTTTTCGTCGCCCAAACCCATATACGATCAAAATGATCGCGCTGTCAAACTATCTTTCAGTGTTAACCAACCCCCGCAACAGGTATATTGGATTCGACCAATACGTCACGAAGACATGGTTGACATCGACTCTGTCGAAATTACAAGTAAATTTTCAAATTTTTCAAGAGAGAAATTGTTCTCATCGTTGTGATAATTAGTTGTGCAATGGATTTTATCGAACGGGAGTTCATTACAAACACACAGGTAAGTTTATAATAACCAAAGTTAAGTAGTTTGTTCATAATCGAAGAAATCCGTTTAAAATTTACGATGAATCAGACAGTAAGTGGTTTTTTTCTTTTAGAAATTGCAGTTAATGGAAAACGCTACACAGCACAAATTAACCCCCTTCACACCCCCACCCCCAGCCTTTTTGATTCGCTGCTGAACCAACATGCCAACCGATAATCGCTGAGTATAATGTTGTCCTGAATATTTTGATCCGCAATCTTTATATTTGTAAAAGTAACCATACGCTTCATTTAAAGGTGAAAGTGGCGAATGAATCATACGAAAGTGATATATCGTTACGTCAATTAGACCGACAGTGTAGACTTGTACAAGTAAGACACGTTTAAAGTGGGTAAAATTTAAAGAGAGGCTTCACCTTGAATTCCCCCAACCCGCACGCGAATTATCATAATAGAATTGTACCATATTATCGTTAAGTTGACGTTATCATCTCTCTCTCTCTCTCTCTCATGGCAGGGAACACCAATTAAACATCTGGCGGGTGCCTTGAGAGAGCCTATACATTTAAAAGAGTAAATGTCCTTCAGAAATGGTCACAGATGCAAGAAATCACCTCCAAGATTTTAAAATTTTCTGGGGGAGACCCCCCCCCCCCACCAGGCTATATAAACAGTGTCTATGGGCCTGCAGTCCTGTGTTAGTCTCATCGTGTTATATTTAGTTATTGAGGTTGTGTCTCTTTAATAGGTGAGTTATACAGGGCTGGATCTATTTCATAAAACCACCTGCAGAATCAGTCAAAGGCCACGGGATGTAAACAGGGCTAGCGCTGGACCTAGCCCCAACCCTTGCCCTAACTCACAATCTCACCAACAATCATGTGCCCTAACCCTATTTACATCTCGGTGACCTTGACGAAATGTGCAGGTGGTCTTAATAATTAGATCTAGCCGTTAATACAAAACATATAACATACCAAATATTGGTGTGCGTGTGTGTCGGGGGGGGGGGGGGGGGTATGCTCTACGGGGGCTGCGGTCATGTTTTAGTCTTATAATGTCATATTTAGTTATTGAGGTTGTGCCCCTTTAATAGGTGAGTTAACACAATGCATATAACATCCTTGTTTGAGGCGTAAGATTAATTACCCGGCTAATGTCACGTGATTACATACATGACGTCAAACTCACCAAACTACATTTTGACTTGTTAAATACAAATTAAGTTGACTTGACCTTATTTTTTTTCACAGATTAAAGGGTGTTATGACTCCACGTCAAAACTTAAAGATGCATTATGCAAGAGCTAAATCTGCCTATTGCGGGTCTTTTTTCTGGGTTCACATGATATAGTTCCATTAAATGTGATAAGCGACATAGTTCTATTGGATGTGATAAACGACATAGTTCTGTTGGATGTGATAAGCGACATAGTTCCATCATAGTTCCATGATTAGCGACATAGTTCCATTAGATGTGATAAACGACATGGTTCCATGGTTAGCGACATAGTTCCAATGGATGTGATATGAGACATAGTTCCATGATTAGTGAAATAGTTCCATTGGATGTGATAAGCTACATAGTTGCTTCTAAGTTCCATGATTATCGGCATAGTTCCATTGATAGTTTCGTTATAAGAGAGAGAGAGAGAGAGAGAGAGGAATGGAGTTTAACGTCCATTCGACACAAACTAGGTCATTTCGGGACTAACATATGGTTTAATTTTATTTCAATAATTCGCTTGCGCATAGGGGTCTTTAGCAGTGGGAGGAAACCGGAGGACCCGGAGAAAACCCACGAGGTTGGACAGGTGACCCTACTCCTTGTCACGTACAACCGGGGATTCGAAACCTCGCCAGTCGACTTAATGACAGACTTCATGATACAGCGCGCGCACGCTAACCATTCAGCCATTCAGCCATCCAACCCCCAGTTTCGTTATAAACGACATAGTTCCATCATAGTCCATTATTAGTGGCATAGTTCCATTGATAAGCGACACAGTAGTTCCATTAAATGTCATGAATCTAGCGGGCGAAGTCTTCTACTTGCCCGGTCGCCTATGTAATTTTCTAAAAATAATCATTTGGTGTTAGCTAGATGAAGTGTTATAATAATGATTTGTATAATTATCTTTGGGGGCAATTGTGCAAAAATTTCTTTTTTATCCTAATTCTCTGTGATTAAGTTTGCCGCTAAAGTAATTCTAAATACACAGTTAAAAATGCTGAATTCATGTCGACAGGCCTTATTCTTTCCGATGAATCAATAAATTTCCTGTTTGCTGGTAAAATATTATTCATGGACGAGTTAATGCAATCTGTTTAAAACACAGGCCCTATTCGTTTCCCTTTGCTTGTAAAATATTGTTTATGGACGAGTTAACGCAATTTGAAAACACAGACCCTATTCGTTTCGTTATAATGCCCACTGCCACTGTCTGTATTTGGTACCTTAGCGTGCTTGAGGGAAAATTGAACAACAAATGCGTGAAAATCTGTAATGACTTTTAAATCTGTAATGATGTAAATACTAAATTTATTAATCAGCACTGGGCATCTACAGGGTAAACAACATATGGGAAAACCCATACAGCGATGTCTCAATCAGTGCACCACACTGATCAGCAGTGAATATTCGCTAGGCCTCTACAATGACTGATAAGGATGACATCAATGCGACTTATTGAGTCTCAAATATTAACTTTTTTCCACCGACAAATTAAATTCTCAAACATTTTTTTGATGTATTAGAAAAATAAATAAAGACGTTTGACGTATTTGTAGGTAAAAAATATTTCCTATTTAGTGACGGCACGCGTTAAAGACAGTCATCTTTTACAGAGATATTAGAAGACTCGTAATTCTCTGTGAAACAGATTGTAAATGCACTTGTATTATAATCAACAAACTCTGGTTTAACAATTAAAGCAAGTATATGTAAGATTGAGTTAAAGAGCTGGCTATTCTTGCTATGATATTCCACAAATAGATAATGCAAAATGAATATATTGAAAATTTCATTCAGATTACTCTATTCTGTGCGAAGATATTAGCCTTTGAAGGTTTGGCATAACGTGTGCATTGAATGTAACCATCGTACTGGTTATTCAAAACCCAGCCTCGCTTCTCCAATTTTAAATTAAATCACAATATGGCCAAATCATAAAGCCTGCCATTGAGTCAACTGGCGTAGTTTCGAATCCCCGGTTGTACGCGACAAGGAGTTGGGTCGCCTGTTGGGTCTACTTAATATCGGAGATATCCGATGGCATCGAGAGCTGATTATAGTTTAACTTAAGCCTGTGAATTGCTTTGTGTGGTGTTAAAGGACAATATTGGTGTCAGTCATTATCGCATATGTGATAGAACTCGTTAAACACTTTCCAAATATAATTTTAACACGGAGATCATTACTACGATAGATGAGTAATAAAGGTTTCAACAATCGGAAGTGACGAACGCAAAAGGAAAACACAAGTTATCCCTCTATATAACTGACTGAAGTGACGAGTGATAACAGATACATGGGCGAATTTCTGCTAACTAATAATTCCTTCGAAGACCAAAAGTTGTTGTGTGAGACTGTGAGAGGATATCTGACAATTCATATAAAGAATTGATTGTCACTTCCGATTCATGAAACCTTTATTTGTGACCGAATGGTTGCAGGTTCGAGACCCGAATTGTGCGCCGTGTTCTTGTGTCCTTGAATAAGACACTTTATCCCTGTATTTCCAGTCTACCCAGCTGTAAATGGGTACCGGTAGGATGGTGTATATGATTATACAAAAAACTGTTGCGCTCCTTGAAGCAGCATATGTTGGGGCTCTTTCTAAGAGTTCAGGGGTAAAGGGAGGTAATCAGGCTTTACCTGTATCCTAGAGACCGGGATAATAATTGTGTAGCGCTTTGAGCATAAACTTGGTTTATGGATATAGCGCATTATAAAAATACTCATTATTATTTATTATTAATTAACGACCACGCAAGTACAAATCTCAATCATTGTAAGTACAATGTGTAGCGCCATCTGGGCTCCTATTTCAAGGGGAGATAACTCTCGGTGGAAAGTTCAAGAATCGTGAAATTTGTCGCCCTCACAACATCCTTTTCTCAGACACACATTTTACATCAATTGGTGCCATAAAAGGCATATTTCCTTCTTATTAAATGTATCTTTCTTCTCCCAACTGATAATAACACCATGGACTTCAATGAATTGATGAATTTAGCCGCCAGTAATGGCCAGGCTGCTGATAAAAAGGTATGTATGTGTAGACGTAATCATTTTTTTTAAAAAAGATCTTGTCATCCAGGGAGTGTAAATGAAGGGAGTAGAACTTAGGCTCCGTTTTCCCATTTGGTTTTAATGGATATAACCATTTTCTTGAAGTAGTATATATACATGTACATACCGTTTAGATAATTAGAGACAGGTTTTACAGACACTACTTTCTGAAAGGAGCATGGGATAAAAATAATTTTAATTATTAGGTTAGGGAGCTTCTATCCCCTTGAGTTGTAGTGATACTTCTAGCAAATTGTTTCAATGGCATTTAGTAACTAAGTATTGTAACAAAAAAAATTGTTGTGTACATGTATATATTGTCTTGTCATATTTGATCATTGCTTGATAATGACTAGAGAAGCCTAGTCAAAACATCGCTCAATAATAAGAATTGTGACCTGATACTCTAGCTGTAGAAGCCGCAAGGCAGCTAAAAACACTGAGATACACATTACTAATGATGTGTTTGAGTTATGCTAGGATTGGATGCCTTTTTCAATTTTATTTTTCCATGTAACATCTTAAAAATAAGTTAATCTTATACTATTAGGACTAATTTAGTAATTAAAGGAGCTAAATCGCTATTTCTTTGGTACCGGTACCTAGAAATTGACACCAATAGGTTGCAACGCAATAATTAGTTCCTTTAATAAATTATCTATATAGGGACGCATAGGAACTGTCAGCGGAGATCGTCCAATCAGAGACAGTTCTTATAGGAACTAATAATAATGTATTATAAATGTAGAAACTGATTTATGTTCAATCGTTTCTAATCAGTTATGTTCGACAAAATATGTGAAGAGTACAAATTGAATGGCAGTCTTTGGTGTCTGGTTATTCCAGTCTACACCGGTAATATTCTCCTGTGGGATATGCATATTGAGTCGCCTCATTACAAAAGGCGATTGGAAGTATTCTGGCACGCGATTCGTGTGACAATTTTAAACTTTTCATTACATATTGGATATCAGAAGCCCATCTTTTCACGGTAAGATAACAACATCAAACTGGGTTCTCAATAGAATTGGATCGGCCATTCATAATTCCAGTGCATTAGTCAGGCACGATTCACATTCTGTACACAGATATCCATCTACAGGTTCTCTATTTGCAATTTTAAATTTGATCGGCTGTTGTACACAACATATATTTAGCCCATGCCTTCATGACGTTAAGACTTCAAACCTGTTTATGGATGTGGCAGAAGTATAATAAATAACAATAACCATTTGTTATGAAGAAAAAATTGCAGGTTTGCTTATTGAATTCCGATGAACTACATGTATATAGTACCATCTCTTTATCTAGAGACACGCCATGATACTCCAAAAGCCACCAGAGAAATCCAAATAGATTTATCTGTTCTATTAGTAAGTGCAGGGGGACTGCACCACACATAATTTACATAAAAACAAATACATGGACAAGACATATACTCAGAAACCACAAATAAACAATTCAAATAAAGTAAATGGATCCGGGGGCTAACCTTAAGCGTCCACTGCACTGTACAGTCCCGGGTCTGTACTCCTGTAGTGACACAGACTTCACTCAAATTTGAAAACAATGTCAGCATGAGTCATGATCTGCTATATGATAATATGCTACAAGAAGTATGAATGTAAGCCTACAGTAGTAAAATTAAGTAACCACATAAATGTAGGTGAAATGTATGAAAAAATAGTCTAAAAACTAAATGTCTAACAGGCTTGTATACAAAAGAAAATGTATGGTTATATATGTTCTGATATATGTTATGTGGGGATTGGATGGTCGAATGGTTAGCACATGTGCGCTGTATCATGGGATCTGTCAATGAGTCAACTGGCGTGGTTTTGATTCCCTGGTTGTATGTGACAGGGATTATGATCGTGACAAGGAGTATGATTGATAGATTGTCCAACCTCATGGGTTTTCTCCGGGACCTCCAGTTTTCCCCCAACTCCTAAAGACCCCTACATGCAAGTGGATTATTGAAATAAAATTGAACCATATGTTAGTCCCAAAATGACCTAGTTTGTCTGGAGTGGATGTTAAACCCCATTTCTCTCTATCTCTCTGACATGTTATGTAACTTGTTTATAATCTTGGCTATTATTTAGAAGATAATTTTCTAAAGTAGCCCTAAAGCAAAATTCTTATCTGAAATGTAAACTCAGTGACAATGGTGACAGAACATTATCAAGCCATTTTCTCCACCTGATCAACAATCACAATGATCACACCAAATTTTACTATTCTGATATTTGAATAAAGTTTTTGACTGTTTGAATCAATTCAAATTATGAATGAAATGAAATGGGGTTTAACGTCCTACTGTTTTGCTCCGAACTGGCTAATGAAGATGGGCATATGCCAAACAGTTTGCTATGAGGGAAATTTTGCCTGGACAGCAGCACTACAGCCTACTTATATCGAATTCCAACTGTCAAGGGATCTTTTATGTGCACGCCAATATGTACACGGGACCTAGGTTTTTCGTCACAACCAAAGGACTAGACAACTGTCCTTGTCAGGCCCTCCGTGTGGATGAACTTTCTCAATTCAAATTATAATTTTTTTTATCATGTTCATTGTATCTGTAGATGTCTTGAACCTCAAAATCTTTTCATTCCAATTATATAAATGTATTTTTTTTTTTTTTGAATTGTTTAAATTTGAATATTACCGGTAGTTGCTTTCGTATAGGATGGAGACTGTAAACCAGTCAAATTCCATTAGTTTTAATTTATTTTATATTGAATAACGAATATTGTACTAAAAATCAATTTCTTCACCATTGTCTTGAAACTCAAAGTCTTTCAAATCCAATTATAATTTATATTTTATATTATTCTTGAATTGTTTAATTTTGAATATTGGAGGAGACCATAAACCAGTGTTGCTATTTCAAAATTTTTCCGGGGATCACGTATCTAAGTGGGTAAGACGCTGGCTCGCTATTCTGGAGGTCGGGTGTTCGATCCCTGCATTGGCCGAGAAAGTTCATCCAGATTTTCCAGGGTGGTTCCCCCTTGTCAGTTATGCAGGACGGAGGGCCTGACAAGGACAGTTGTCTAGTTGTTCGAATGGGACGAAAAACCGAGGTCCCGTGTACACATTGGCGTGCACGTAAAAGATCCCTTGACAGTTGGAATTCAATATAAGAGTAGACAAATTTAGCTCTTGCATACATGTAATGTATGTTTAATTTGATTTATCTTTATTAATTTTAGAAAAACAGCTATTCTTACAACATCTCTGCTCCAAAAAAAGAACAAAAACAGAAACCAAAATCTGAAGTTGTACAAAGGCTGATAAATGAAAAAGAAAGAGAAAAGGCCAAAGGTAATTTGAATCTGTCTAATAGTAAGTCAAAGTGCAGGGGGACTGCACCACACATAATTTATACAAAAACAAATATATGGACAAGACACAATACACGGAAATCACAAACACATGAACAATTCAAATTAGGTGAATGGATCCAGGGGCTAGCTGTAAGCGTCCACTGCGTTGTACAGTCCCGGGCCTGTAGTGACACAAGACTTCACTTAAATTTGAAAACAATCAGGAATAAAACCCAAAGAAACCATTGTGTAATGCCAGCATGAGTCATGATCTGCTATATGTTACAAGAAATATGAATGTAAGCATATTGAAGTAAAATTTAACTATACAAGTAACCACATCGGTAAAATGTATAAAAAAAAAAACCTGTGACATCAGACATTTAATTAAACAATCAACGTTGATGTTTCTGGTAGGATACCCACATAGCGTTTCATTGGCTAGTCCCTCACATCAACCAGAACACGGGTTATATAACAACTTTTCCAGATCCTAGTGTAGTAAAGACAAGTAAAATGAAATTTTGAACTATAAAAAGCAAAACGAAATAGGATTCTGTGTTTTAATCGGATTGATAAGCAATCCACATTAATCACAACTAATTAAACAGTCAATTTCTTTATTAAGTAATCTGGGGACTACGTGGCTAAGTGGGTAAGACGCTGGCTCGCTAGCCTGGAGGTCGGGTGTTCGATCCCTGCATTGGCCGAGAAAGTTCATCCAGATTTTCCGGCGTGGTTCCCCCTTGTCAGTGATGCAGGACGGAGGGCCTGACAAGGACAGCTGTCTAGTCTTTCGGATGAGACGAAAAACCGAGGTCCCATGTATACATTGGAATGCACGTAAAAGTTCCCTTGGCAGTTGGAATTCGATATAAGAGTAAGCGATAGTGCCGCTGCCCGGGCAAAATTTCCCTCATAGCACACTGTATGGCGTATGCCCGTCTTCATTAGCCCAGTATAGGAGCAGAACAGTAGGATGTTAAACCCCATTTCATTTCATTTCATTTATTAAGTAATCTATGTGTCAGATTTATCATGAATAGATTTGAAGAATAGTGGATTCAACTGTTTTGTATCTATGGTACTGACCATATTCTTCAGTGGATTAGGCAAAATTTTTTACTAAATATTTTATTTTTTAGACCGGGTGTGGGGGTGGGTGGGGTGTATGGGCGAATGGTTAGCGTGTGCATGCTGTATCATAAGGTCTGTCATTGAGTCAACTGGTGTGGTTTCATTTTCCAGGTTGTACGTGACAAGGAGTAGGGTCGTCTGTCCAACCCCGTGGGTTTTCTCTGGGTCCTCTAGTTTCCTCCCACTGCAGAAGACCCTACGCCATAGCAGCTTGTTGAAATAAAATTGAATCATGTGTTAGCCCTGAAATGACCTGGTTTGTGTTGTGGAAGTTAAACCCCATTTATCTCTTTGTAACACTTTGGTCCTTGAGACAATTTTGGTTCTTTGCAAAATGGTTGCTTCACTCTGTCTATAGAGTCAAATCACACATACTTAATGAACGTGAATATACATGTATAGTTATACATAAAAAAACAGTGATATTTTGGTTAAATCATAATCATTGTCAAAATATCCATCAAATTCTGGCTGTTAATTGACCTATGGTAAGTAGACCAAAATAAGGTAAATGACTCCTATCTCTATGAAGGGAAATAACAAGGTTTATTCCATATATGGGATGGAAATTAACGTCAAGTTATCGAAGACCTGCAGAAATTAGGGGGTATAAATTTGGGTGCAGATCGAGTTGGATCAGAGCTCATTCAGAAATTCCTAGCAACCATTATTATTGAGAACGAGGAACCTGCAAAGCCATTCGAGCTTAGCAATAAAGTTGTAAAACTTTTTTTTGGTGTAGTCTTGTTACGATCACGAAGAAACAAACACAACAAGAAAGAAGACGTATAGTGCTACATTTTTTATTATTTTCTAAAAGGTATGCACCTAATGCATAATGTTAAGCAAGTCCAGCACAGAAGTCTGTTGTTGAATAAATAACTACTCAAGAATTAACACGTCGCCCATGTGACGCTCCGTCAAAAGCTTACGTTATATTATCACTCAAATTAAATACAATACTGTTCCCTTTCATGTCAATTTATATTTCTCAATAATGTTTTAGATGTTTAAAATATCTCCATTTTGTCAATAATGTTTTAGATAAGTTCTGTTGTTGCATGCATAAAAGATGTCCACATTTACTGCTGTTTTGTGTAGGGTATACTGTTTGTCATAAAAAAAATTAGCCTTTATTCCTATAATACTGGCCATTACAGGCGATCCAAACACTGTCTCCGTTCAAAGTCAATGAACATACTGAAATAGGATTGAGCTGCTGGTGCAGTTACAGTGAACAATCTCTCTCTCTCGGGGGTGGGGGGGTGGATAGCCGAACTGTTAGCATGTGCGTGCTTTATCATAAGGCCTGTCATTGAGTCAACTAGCGTGGTTTTGAATCCCCGGTTGTACGTGACAAGGAGTAGGGTCACCTGTCCAACCTCGTGGGTTTTCTCCGGGTCCTCCAGTTTCCTACCACTTCTAAAGACTCCTACGCGCAAGCGGATTATTGAAATAAAATTAAACCATATGTTAGTCCCGAAATGACCTGTAGTTTGTGCAAGCGGATTATTGAAATAAAATTAAACCATATGTTAGTCCCGAAATGACCTGTAGTTTGTGTCGAGTGGACGTTAAACCCCATTTCTCTCTCTCTTTCTCTCTCACTCTCTGGTTTTATAAATATTAAAAATATGGTTATATGCTAGGGTTACCTGTTATTACACTCAGTCAGCAATCCCATATGGACCCCAAAACAAATTAAAGATGAATATCCTGTTATTGTATTACAATCTGCTTATAGACACATGTTACAAGCTTAAAATAAATCTATAGGTTTTATCGGTATATATTTATATTGGTACAGGCTTGTATAGGTTTTAACTATATATATATATATAAGTAAATTCACTGTCAGCATTATTTCCTAGTTTTGCAAAATTCTTTGGGATAGCCAAGCTTGCCTGGAATTATAGTTCGAAACTATAGTAAATAGAAATAACCATATTTTAATACATAAGGAATCTGAAAATGTCTGACGGTGAGTGTTATATCATTTGACAAAAATTTTATTCAGTAGATTATATCATTCACATCGTAAGATTTATAGGTCACAATTCTATGGAATACAATTACTGCTTATAACGGAGTTACGTTTCGACTAGGCTTCTGAAGTTCTCTAATCTTTATCAAGCAAAATATAAAATATATTGAGAGATAATTAACATGTAAAAAAAATACTTGAAATGATTAATTTCGACTCTGTCTGCTTACATGTACATACAAATGTACATGTAGGCCTACAGTCAGTGTTTGAAGCTTGAGATACATAGGCCTACGTACAGTCAGTGTTTGAACTGGAGATAATAGGCCTACATACAGTCAGTGTTTGAAACTTGAGATAAATAGGTCTACATGTACATACAGTCAGTGTTTGAAACTGGAGACAAATAGGCCAACGTCATACAGTCAGTGTTTGAAACTTAAATAAATAGGCCTACATACAGTCAGTGTTTGGAACTGGAGATAAATAGGCCTACATACAACCAGTATTTGAAACTGGAGATAAATAGGCCTACATAGTCAGTATTTGAAACTGGAAATACATCTCAAGTTTATAACTGTACGTGTATGTGGTAGGCGGTAATGTGTATTTTAATAATAAATAAATAACAGTATATCGAGTAGTATTTTATCTTAATTTGATCTGAGTTGTCTTCTGTCTATACATGTAGTACACATTAATTTATTAATTATGATACCGGTAATTTATTAGTTCACTGATCAAATTCTGTCCAATCCTAACTCCAAGAAAAAAATTCTGACCGAATAATCCCATTTTTACCAGCCAAGTAACAGTAAACACAAGTATTTTTTTTTCATGAGGCCTGACTCGATATAAGAGTAGGCCCTAGCGCCGCTGCCGGGCAAAATTTCCCTTCATTAGCCCATTTCATTTCATACAGCGTTTCGATTAGGAGTAACTATTATTTATTTTTTTATCTTTGCAGTTCGTGAAAGACTAGAAGAGAAATTAAAAGAGGAGGCTAAGAAGAAAATTTTTAAAATCCCTAAAGCTGGTTCGTCAGATTCAAGTGTTAAGAAAAAATCAGATCATGAAAAAAGACACAGGAGTCACAAATCATCCTCAGGTGAAAGAACTAGCAAAAGCAAGGAAGAAAAAAAAGTTGAACCCCCTAAAGAGAAATTGGAGGAAAAAATCTTTAAAGATCTTCGAGAAAAAAATGAGCTGTATACGAAGAATGACAGAGCTAGAATAAATTTTGACGGATCATTTGCTGTCGTAAGAATTGCACATAAACCTAGAGATGGAGTCCCGCTTCCACGACGTCCAGTTCCGGCCCCCGTTAAAGAAACTCCAACTTTTAATTTAGCGTTGGTTAAAAAATCTGATAAAAGCAGTGATGGAAACCATCTAAAAATGAACACTCATGAAGCAGGTGGTCCTAAAGATGTATCTGAAACTGTTAAAGGTTTAAAAGAAAAATATGGAGTGAGTCCAGAAGGGCTTCCCAAAAAAAAATCTTCCACGCGTAGAGACAATAAATTAAAAGAAATAGCAAAATATAAAGAAAAAATAGAAATGAGGGAAAAATTAAAATTACAAGCTCAGAAAGATAAAATGAAACGAAAAGAAAAACCTAAAATTATAAAGAGGGCAGCAGGGGCTAATGTTCCGCCACCCATGAACTTTGCAGAACTCTTAAAAATGGCAGAAAAGAAGCAAAAAGAGCCAGTGAAAGTTGATGTCATCAAACCAAAACCCAAAAAACAAGATGAACCTCGACCAATGACACAAGAGGAGAAAGATTGGGTGGAGAAGAAAAGAGAATACACAGAACGAAAAAAAGCTAAAGAGAATCCTGACCGACCAAGTAAAGATAGTGCTCCATCTCGGAAGGAAAATAACTCTCAGAATATTGATAGAGTACGCAAATTTGAGCAGGATCAAGGTCGTTCTAGTCCGTCTGTTAATTCCAGCAAAAACAGAATAAACAATAACAACCATTCATCAGGAGTTGATCGTGATAGAAAATCAAACAGTTGCCATAGTGATAAAAAACATGTGATATCAAATAAAAATAATAATTCTCTGGATCGTAAACCAGCACCATCTCCACATGACCGAAAACCCACAATATCAAATAACACATCTTCCTCAAACTCAAGTAAACAATCGTCAGCGTATAACACACAATCTGTGAACTCAAGTAAACAATCGTCGGCGTATAACACACAATCTGTGAACTCAAGTAAATCATTTAAAAATAGTCCGAGACCGGACACCAGGCCAGCATCAAATTCTAATTCCAGGGATCAACAACGATACGAACAATATCGTGGCATGCAGGATAAAAATCGTACAAATAGTGTGTCGAATCACGACAGGACTAAACGTGTAAACCCTGCAGTAAACAACAAAAATAGAACTCCTCAATTAGGTAAACGAAAATATGAACAAACAAATGAAAATGTGCTAGAATGTGGCCCATCAGAAATTAAAAAGAAAGCCCCACGCCCCCCATCACCCGAACAAGCCTTAAATCCTTGGGACAGAATTTATGGCAACATTAAGAAGAATCATCCTAAACGTCCACGTAAGTATTGTCTTGTTTCAATTATTTGCAGTGTAAATCTTTTTGTATTTTCTTACCCGTGTCATGTTAGTCCTGAAATGACATAGTTTGTATTGAGTGGACATTCAACCCCATTCTCTCTCTCTCTCTCTCTCTCTCTCTCTCTCTCTCTCTCTTTCTAATGAGAAGGAGCCAGGGTGGCTAGCCTGGAGGTCGGTGGCTAGCCTGGAGGTCGGGTGTTCCATCCCTGCATTGGCCGAGAAAGTTTATCTGGATTTTCCGACGTGGTTTCCCCTTGTCAGTGGTGCAGAACGGAGGGCCTGACAAGGACAGCTGTCTAGTCCTTCGGATGAGACGAAAAACCGAGGTCCCGTGTATACATTGGAATGCATGTAAAAGATCCCTTGGCAGTTGGAATTCGATATAAGAGTAGGGGATAGTGCGGCTACCCGGGCAAAATTTCCCTCATAGCACACTGTATGGCATATGCCCGTCTTCATTAGCCCAGTATAGGAGCAGAACAGTAGGACGTTAAACCCCATTTCATTTCATTGGTCAAATGGTCTAATGCATGGCCTTTATATCATTGAGTCAACTAGCATGGTTTCTGTTCCGAGCTTGTACTTGTGACAAGGAGTAGCATTGCTTTCTCCAGGTCATCTAATATGCTGAAAATTTCAGTCAAATTGCTCCACTCTGAACCAAAAATTAGCGATTGAATTTTAGACCTAGCCTCATCATCATTACCGAAGTCAATATGATAAAAAACAAAGTCTCAGTTCTCCATTTTGACGGTAAATCGTCCATCACAAAATGTATTCAAATCCAGTAAATATCGCAGGCTGACGTTGGCATCAAGAATTGATTATGGCCTGAATAAGTTAATTTATGTCTAATGAATAATTTAGATAACATTTAAGGCCTAAAAAAAAGACCTGCGATAGGCAAATTTAGCTCTTGAATAATGCATATTTCAGTCAATGTTGTTTGTATTTTAGAGGAGAGCCAAAAAAGCTCCCCTTAATCAACAAATTGGAAAAATCCCCTAAAAATCCCCTAAAAAGCTCGATAAGAAGATTGATTTAGAAATTAAGGAGAGTAGAGTGATTAATTGTGTGTATGGGAAATGGTTCTGAAGATCAATAACTGCATGTTAGGGGGTCATTCTTGGACTTATAAATGATAATAAACCCCCCATGACTTTGTAAAGCAGAGCGATTTTCAATTTTAAGGAGAGGGAGAAAAACCTTGCCTCCTTCGCCATTCTGGTAAGCGGCAGGCCCTTGAGAGTGATTGCTCGCCTTAAAAAAACCCAATGACTGATGTTTAAATGAGGGAAATAATTGAAAATAAATTGTACCATATTATACATATTGTAAGTCCCGAAATGACCTAGTTGGTTTGAATGGACATTAAAGTCATTAAACCCTTTCATATTCCATTATGTTTGTAATTGATTTAGCCATGAAGAAGAAGATGGTGATTGATTCTGAAGATGAGTATGACAGTGAATTAGACGATTTTATAGATGATGGAGATGACGGTGCCGCAGATTATTCCAGCGCTATCCGACAAATTTTTGGTTACGATAAACGAAGGTAGATTTTCTGTTGATTATATGAGAAAAAATTGGTGTTCGAATAGACAAACACATGCACTTTAGATCATAAGGTCTATCATTGAGTCAAGTGGCTTGGTTTCGAACCCACACTTGTACGTGACAAAGAGTAGGATTGCCTGTCTAACTCGTGGGTTTTCTCTCTGCGTCCTCCGGTTTCTTCCTACTGCTGAAGATGCTACATGTATGTACGTGTACAAGCAAATTATTGAATTAAATCTGTACCATATTTTTAACCTCAAAATGACCTAACTTGTCTTGAAGGGATGTTAAACCCCATTTTTAATCTCGGCTAAAAATTGAAGACCCCGTCAGCTGGTAAATCATCGTTGATTAGTTTGTTGTTTTTAGAGTTTGTTACGTTTTACAGCAATGCTGACTCACTTGCGTCTGTCCAACCTCGTGGGTTTTCTCCGGGTCCTCCGGTTTCCTCCCACTGCAAGCGAATTATTGAAATAAAATTAAGCCATATGTTAGTCTCGAAATGACCTAGTTTGTGTTGAGTGGACGTTAAACCCCATTTCTGTCGGTCTCTCTCTCTGACTCACTCGTAGAAAAGTCTGATTGAAAGATATAATTATTTGTTTCATGTACATGTAAACATTCAAATTCTAAATGCAACTTGTATTCTTTTCGTCTGCATCATTCTCCGGGACCGGGGTCGGACAAAGTGGAGGGTTGACTGGGCTGCGGGCATGGGCCCAAATATTAAAAGGTCCTCCCGAATTAATTCTAAAATAGATTTTGTACCTTATGTAAATATGTCATATGTTACAGAAGAGTTTAACACGGGGGACATAAAATTTTTGCAGCTTCAGTAAACAATATGCCCCATTTTCACTGTTGATTCAAGGACCCTAGTGAAATATTCAGGAATGGGCCCCCATATGGAAGCTTCACCCGACCTTGTCCAAGACAATATCTGACAATGTAGTATTTAATCCAGGACTAACACCAATGAAGCTACAGTTTTTTCTTCTTTTTTTTTTTTGTTCAGATTTCGAGATGAAGAAGATGATGTTGATAATATGGAAAGTAGCTTTAGTGCCTGTATGAAGGAAGAAGCCAAAAGGTAATTTTAATTTATCTCCCTTCAACACCTGAATTTACATCCACCTAATTCACATTTTTTTGATGGTGACATTGTCCTGGGAACATGAACTTTTGAAACATTGTAGCCTTTTATAACATTGTAGCCTTTTAAAACATTGTGGCCTTATCAATCATTGTAGCCTTTTCAAACATTGTAGCCTTTTATAACATTGTAGCCTTTTATAACATTGTAGCCTCATAAAACATAGCCTTTTAAAATATGGTGGCCTTATAAAATATGGTGGCCTTATAAAACATTGTAGCCTATTAAATCATTGTAGCCTTTTAAAAAAATTGTAGCCTTTTAAATAATTGTAGCCTTATTAAATATGGTGGCCTTTTAAAAATAGTGGCTGTTGTATTTTGTATATTATAAGCAAGTGCAGCAGACCAAGATAAATATAGTGGCCTTTTTAAAACGTTGTATACTTATCTCCCATTAATACCTGAATTAAATTGTCCCTTTCTGATATTGCTGTCCTAGGGAAGATACTATTTATTTTGGCTTGTCTTAAAAAAACATGATGGCAAAACACCCCAAAAAACAATTATTTTATGATTCCTATTCCTTGTATAGTGTTTTCTATAATTGTATGCGGTTTACAGAATGGAGTTGTAATTGTATGCAGTTTACAGAATTGAGCTGTAATTGTATATTGTTTACTGAATGGAGTTGTAATTGTGTATTGTTTACCGAATTGAGTAGTAATTGAAAATTGTTTACAGAATCGAGTTGTTATTGTGTATTGTTTACGGAACCGAGTAGTAAATTGTTTACAGAAATGAGTTATAATTGTATATGGTTTTGAAATATTTCAGTGCTAGATTGGGTCTATTGGAAGATTTAGAAGATATGAAAAAAGAACAAGAAGAATTAAAACGTAAAGCCATGAGAAAGAAAATGAAATAATGAGAATTGTTTATTCTAATCTCATTTTGTGTATAATATATCAAAGTCTGATGATATCCTGTCCCCAAGTTCACAAAGATTTCTCAGACTTAAGTTAAGAATTTACTCAATTGTTTGCCTTATTTTAACTAAACTATAGCCCTTTATAAAACTTCTGTTGTTTGATTGTATCATATGCATCAATAAGAAACTATGTGCAAAGTTTTGTGCTTCTGGGTTAAAGATATATCTCATAAACTGTGATTGAAAGTTGAGTAAATTCTTAACTTAAATCAGAATGTTTGTTGAACTTGGGGCATGATATTATGTTAAACCTCTGATACCTGGACTGCCTTACCTGAATCTATCCTACACCCTGGATAAAGAAATAACTTGAAAGGTGCTCTAGCTACATCATGCATCATCTGATACTATCAGGGTATTACGACAAACCTCTGATACCTGGACTGCCTTACCTGAATCTATCCTACATCCTGGGTTGTAAAGGTAAAGGTACCAGATCTTTAGCATTGCCGGCTTCATACTGAATTATAGGATTAATAGAATTATTCTTTAACGAGGTAGGACAGTGTAAGGATTCCATATGTTTTAAGGCTTTATTTTAACATATTATATGACTTTAAAAAAATTCAATTATAATTTATAGCCTTAACATGATGTTTTATTATTAGTTCATGTTAAGCAGTCCTGAAAGTCCTGAATTTTAATTAACACTAATTAACCCTACTCTAATGTGGTCATCTATCTTCACATTTCTTGGGGTTTCGGTGTCTGAATGGTTTAACATGTGTGCTTTAGATCACAAGGTCTGTCATTGAGTCATTTGGCTTGATTTCGATATCCTGCTTGCATGTAGTTTGTGTCAAGTGGACGTTAAACCCCATTTTTCTCTCTCTAAAACGCCTATACTTTAACAATACTACATGTATCTACCTAAATTAAAAATCGATTGGATATTCTACTATTATCAGTAATATAAGTAAACTGAAGTTAAATATTGACTTCTTTTTTTTTTAGTGTGTAAATGAACTGATGAACAGTTAAGATCACTAAGATAAGAAATTTTGTAGAATTTTATAAAAAGTTTTGAAATTATAATTTATATATAATATTTATATATACTAGTCATATTTTATTTTATTTAACATTAATTGATTAAAAGTTATAGATTATACCATAGAACTAGAATTAGTATTCTCGTTCTATGATTATACCAACCTATTTAAAATACAGATCCATATTTCGTTTCGTTTTTTTTATACTGGCAAATTCATCACATTAACCAGAACACGTGTTATATAACAACTCTACCAGGTCCTATTGTAGTAGGGAGGTTGGATGGCCGAATGGTTACCATGCGCACGCTGTATCATACGGTCTGTCATTGAGTCAACTGTCGGGGTCTCGATTCCCTGATTTTACGTGACAAGGAGTAGGGTCGCCTGTCCAACCTCGAGGTTTTTCTCCGGGTCCTCCTGTTTCCTCCCACTGCTAAAGACCCCTATGCGCAAGCGAATTATTGAAATAAAATTGAACCATGTGTTAGTCCCGAAATGACCTAGTTTGTGTCGAGTGGACGTTAAACCTCATTTCTCTCTCTCTCTCTCCTATTGTAGTAAAGACAAGTAAAACGAAATTTTGAACTATAAAAAAATGAAACGAAATAGGATCTGTGTTTTAACCAGATTGAGATTATACATGATTATTTAATTAGCCTATAATTGATTGATTAAACACATTGTATTAATTAGTTTCCAGTCCTTTAATGAAATTGATGTACATTGATAATTAATTATTTATTTATTCAGGCATGTATTTATAATGGATTCTGTTGTTAATTTGATCTCATCAAGTATTATTTATAGGGCTGGCGGAAAATATCGATATTGCCGATAATCGTCGGTAAGCGTTTTGAAAATCGATTATCGATACAGTTCTTGGGCCTGGAACTGTAATTAAACAGAATAGTCATAATAAAACATACACGTTTTGTTTTTCACGCGAGATTCCACGTAACTTTCAATTTTGTACCTTATTTTAACTCTTCATTTCTTTCGTCTTGTCTGCTTCTAAGTCAAACACGTACTTTCCCTTTATTATTTTATCAACCAGAACACGTTGGCGAAAGAATGTCTGAAGAAGAAATAACTACATTTTACTCATTATTGTTCAGGTCATAAGCAACAAAGATATGGCGAGCGGTGGCGGTTCTGTCTTCCAAACCAAGTTGATGAGTTTCTTTCTTCACCTTGGTTTTGCTACGGAATGCTATTATTTTATTGTCAAATGTCAAATAAATGAAAAAAATTTCTACATGTATACAGAATGATATCACAACATAAAACTTCGCATATAATTCATTATTCATGTACAAATTATGATTGTTTTCAAACTAATTGTAAGTCAAAATAATTTGCTGATATTATCGATTATTGATCGGCGGATGGTCGGCGTTAATCAATACTTGAAACAGGATCGATTGCCAGCCCTAATTATTTATAATGTAACTCAGCACAATATCAACCATCTTGTCGTCATGTAAACTTAATGTGTTAGAACAAGCAGGTAAAACTATATTAAAGAAACAAAAACTGGCAGACACTGGACTGTTGAATCCTTGAAGCTGGCAGACACTGGACTGTTGAATCCTTGAAGCTGGCAGGCACTGTGTATGTTATGTCCTTGAAACTGACGGGCACTGGGCGTTACATCCTTGAAGCTGGCAGGCACTGTGGATATTACGTCCTTGAAGCTGACAGGCACTGTGTATGTTATGTCCTTGAAACTGACGGGCAATGGGTGTTACTTCCTTGAACCTGGCAGGCACTGTGGATGTTACGTCCTTGAAGCTGACAGGCACTGTGTATGTTATGTCCTTGAAACTGACGGCACTGGGCGTTACTTCCTTGAAGCTGGCAGGCACTGTGGATGTTACGTCCTATTTGTTCACTGACTTTATTATCAGCAATTTAGAACTATTTATTTTTATATAAATTAATAACTGTGTGTGTTTGTAAATATTGCATTTTAAAAATAATCGAGTGTTTTTGCTTTAATTTTGCTTAAAGATACATTATGGGAGATTAGATAAAGAGCTGGCTGTTCTCACTATAATAGTTAAAAACTAGATAATGTAAAGGGCATTTGCTGAAAATTTCAGACAATTTGATCCACTCTGAACCAAGATTTTAGCGATTGAATATTGGGGCTAGTCTCGTTCATCATTACGAAAGTCGTTAGGATAAAAAAAACATAGTCTCGATTATCCATTTTTTTATTTAATTATGAATGGAAGTTGAACAGCAAATCGGAACCTAACCCAATAAACATCGCAGGCTAGCGATCTGGATAAGTTAATTAATGTATAATTAATAATTTAGATAACATTTCAAGCCTAAAGAAAGACCTGCAATAGGCAGATTTAGCTCTTGCATAATGTATGTTTAATTAGAAGATAATACTGAAATTGCCTTGTATATCATGATTCATATTTCTGATGAATGAAAATTAAAAAGATGTTGATTTATAATATAAATATACTAGTGATTTTACTGATTTTAATTCTCTAGTTAGATTCATTTTAGAACAGAATTCTTCATTTGAAAGCAGTGTGACATTAACTCAATTTATGTATGCTGAATATTTTAAAACATGACTGTATTATAATTGTTCCCTGCCTTTCGAAGAAAGCAGGGCCCTATTAAAATGGGTTCGTCCGTCTGCCTGTTCATTAGGTGAATGCATTAATGGAGTTTGATGATGAACATTGTCTGCTTACGGTAAGCAGAGATAAGCAATTTGATTGGTTAAAGCTTTGGGGCCCGATAACTCTGGTTCTAATTAAGTGAGATCAATGAAACTCTGAATATAGATTCATTTTATCATTACCTTGACTAAGTTCGTGATGAGAATCTTTTGCCTAGGCTAAGGAGCTATAAGCAATTTGATTGGTCAAGACTTTGGAACATAACAACTCTGCTTTTAATTGAGATAGAATGTTTAAACTTAATTTTGGTGTTCATTAGGTGAATGTCTTCACTGAGTTCAATGATTGACATTTCCCACTAAAGCTAAGTAGAGCTAATCAATTTCTTTGGTTTTGATTCTATCTGATAGAGAGTGATGAAACTTAGTGTATAGTTGATAATCAGTTTGATTGCATGACGATTTTGAAAAAGATCAATGTGCCATTAATTAATCTGTGTCATCATCTATATATTTGGGGATTTCGGCGGGGGAACATCAGCCTCACTGTTGGCTTGTTCTATTTGAGCAACTCAAGTTTGAAATCTCTGTATTCATTATAACAAACATCAATATATTAACCCCTCGATCTAAGTTGTTGATAGACAACTGGAATAAAAAAGATTATTTATTAAACCAATCTGCATATTAATAACCCACCAATCTAAGTTTTCGGTAGAGGACTGAAATGAAAATGAATTATTTATTCAAAAAATATGCATATTTACCCATCAAGTATTCAAATCCACTAAATATCGCAGGCTAACTTTTGCATTGAGAGTTGATTATGGTTTGGATAATGGCTAATCAATATTGTATATGTCATTTCGGGCCTAAAGAAAGACCTACCATACGCATGTTTAATCTTATCAGATATGAATATATATTATATATGTAGAGTCTAAGGCCACACAATTCCCTGGTTGTACCTGACAAGGAGTAGGGTCGCCTGTGTGCAACCTCATGGGTTTTCTCCTGGTGTTCCGATATCCTCCCAAAATAACATAATTTGTGTCAAGTGGACTAACCCCCCCCCCTCCCCCTCTCTCTCTCTCTCTCTCTCTCTCTCTCTCAGGCCACATTTATTTTATTTTCTGTTGTTCAGGGTCTTGATGAATAATTAGTCACTGGTGGATCCATTTTAGTCTTTTTCAGTAAATAATATTTATTATTTGAATTATACAAAACTCTGATAAAATAACTTCTAAATTTAAACAGTTTATTTTTTTGCGCTTATCACATTATAGACATAAGTTAACATTCTAATACTTACAGGGGATCAGGTGGCTAAGTGGGTAAGACGATGGCTCGCTAGTCTGGAGGTCGGGTGTTCGATCCCTGCATTGGCCGAGAAAGTTCATCTAGATTTTCCGGCGTGGTTCTCCCTTGTCAGTGATGCAGGACGGAGTGCCTGACAAGGACAGCTGTCTAGTCCTTCAGATGATACGAAAAAACGAGGTCCCGTGTATACATTGGAATGCACGTAAAAGATCCCATAGCAAATGGAAATCGATATAAGAGTAGGCGATAGTGCCGCTGCCTGGGCAAAATTTCCCTCATAGCACACTGCATGGCGTATGCCCGTCTTCATTAGCCCAGTATAGGAGCAGAACAGTAGGATGTTAAACCCCATTTCATTTTCATTTCATTTCTAATACTGACAGGGAGCCACAGTGGCTCAGTGAATATGCTGCTGGCTCACTAATCCGGAGATCTGTGGTTCTGGTATTGGTCGTACAAATCACCCTTAGCACACCGACAATACCTTTAATAACTTTAACTGTTATCTAATTAACGTAACTAGCTTTATTGTTTATTTAAAGATAAAAATATAGTTTTATATGAATCATATATTAATTAGCATAATATGGTATTTGTTCGTAGGGCCGGTGAGAGACATATTGGGGTCCAGAATTTGTTGCAAGCACACTTCTAAATTCTAGGCAACCTACTGGTAACTTCTAGCATGCAGGGCACCATATATGACTACCCACCTGTCACTGATAATTCCATGAAGATGAAAAGTTATTATATGAGACGGTGAGAGGATATCTGACAATTCAAAAATAGAATTGACTGTCAGTAGATAAAAGATAACAAACAAATTAGAAAAAGTCTGTGCATTACCATGTTTTTATTAAGAGCAGAATGAATAAAAATGGGGGAATGCACAGAATTTTTCTATTTTTTGCATTTTCCCATATCTAGTGACAGCCAATTCTATTTTTGAATTGTGAGATACCCTCTCACCGTCCCATATAATAACTTTTCAACTTCAACGGAATTATCAGTAAAATGAAATTCGATCGTTTGTCTGTTATCACTCGTTACTTCAATCAGTTATATAGAAGGATAACTCATGTTTGGCGTCACTTCCTGTTTCTTCCCGTGCTTGTTACTCATCTCCCGTAGCAATGATCTTTGTGTTAAAATTATATTTGGAATGTATTTAACCAGTTCTATCACATATGTAATAATGACTGACACCAATATTGTCCTTTAATAATTGGGGGTTAATCAATAACTGGTGTTCGATATCCACACATTTAACTTAAATAATATTTATTTATTTTATGTCTGTGAAATGTTTCTATTTGAAGTTTTATAACAAATTTACCCCTGGTGGTTAAAATATTTATACATGTTTCCTTATAAAAAAAAAAGTTTTGCATGTATTAAAACATTGATGTCTGTGAAACATTTCACTTATAGGATAATACAGATTTTACCAGTTATTAACTGGGGTGTTGGATGGCCGAATGGTTAGCACGTCTGTCATTGAGTCAACTGGCAGGGTTTGGATTCCCCAGTTGTATGTGACAAGGAGTAGGGTCGCCTGTCCAACCTCGTTGGTTTTCTCCGGGTCCTCCGGTTTCCTCCCACTGCTAAAGACCCCTACGCGCAAGCGAATTATTGAAATAAAATTGAAGCATGTGTTAGTCCCGAAATGACCTAGTTTGTGTCTAGTGGATGTTAAACCCATTTCTCTCTCTCTCCCACCAGTTATTAACTAATCACTGTAACCCAGGTATCATTTAATCTTGATTCATTTTGATAATGAGTGTCCAATTTACAAGTGTTTAATTTCTTGATCACAGTTAAAAAATAAACAACCCAATTGATTATGGGCGTATAATGATTAATGTTTTAACAGGGATCAAGAAATTAAACATAATCTTTAAGTGGCATTTAGTGATTGGGGAACACAATAACAGAACACAATTTTTATCGGAACAATCACTGGTTTTATTCTAAAAGCACAACATTTCGACAAGTATCCTCTTATCTTATCAAGCACAATGACATTAGTAAACTTGAGTTTACATTATCGCAAGTCCATATTATCCTTTGGTTGGACCGTGGGTCTATTATATTGTGTTGTTTTTGCTTAATCTTTTACTTCTTATTGGTATTATTATTTAATTTTTGTAAATGGCTTCATCATGAACTCTTATATATTAAACCCAAGTTTACTAATGTCATTGTGTTTGATAACGATAAGAGGATACCCGTCGAAACGTCGTGCTTTTAGAATAAAATCAGTGATTGTTTCCCATAAAAATTGTGTTCTGTTATTAAGAAATTAAACACTTGTAAATTGGACACTCATTATCAAAATTAATCAGTCAGCTTTAAACTGGACACAAGAACAAATAAGATGATTTTTTGGTGATTTTAAACGATTTTTACCAACTTTTAAACAAAGGTTTGATATTAAATGAATGTGAAAGAAGTTAGTGCTAAATACACAAGATTAAATGATACCTGGGTTACAGTGATAATGCACCATTTAACAGAATTTAAATTTCTTTTTCTACCTGCTACTCCTTCAGGTATCATAAAACTGTTGCTTTCTCTTGTTAAATTATTTATTAAATGTGAATATTGTATTGTATTATATTGTGTAAATTTGATGTGATTTGTCGGAATGGTTACTATGACACAGAGTCATCTTAACAGCATTATAGGTCCCCGTACAAAATACTGGAGTGCCTACCTACACAACCACTCCCCAAATAAAACAATTCACAGGGGTCCCTACCCACACAACCACTCGTCGGACAAAACACTGAGATCCCTAGCTACACAACCACTCCCCTGACAAAACATTTCACTGGGGTCTCTAGGCCGACCTACACAGCCACTCGCATGAATAAAAATGTAAATTGTCTAAAGATTAAAGTAGCTAAGTCTCTAACTCAAAATCATCCAAAGTCTTACACATTGGAAACACAAATTATTTGTCAATTGTGATCTCACCGGGAAAAGGTAGGCTTCTGATATCCAATATTTAAAATAAAATGTACATTTTACCATAGTGGGTTTCAGTGTCATTTGTAACAAGTGACCAGAAAAAACGAGGCTAGACATATTCCACAACTCCTGTCAAATGGTGATGCAGACACTATTTCGCACATGCTTTTCAATGAAATACGTCACACGAGTCCAATATTTCATCTAGTGTAGATAATGTACGATTGGCAAGTTGCCCGTACTCCAACATCAAAGGATGAAGTCACCTCTGTATTTTAAACCTGTATATTAAAGTGTGTTATGTGTGTGTGTGTGTGTGTAATCCTTAATAACTGTACTATGTGTATTGTGGCCCAGGAGGAATGTATTTATTGGGTAATATTATTGTTCTATAAATGGAATGTAAGAAGGATATTTTATTGGGAAAGGTTGTTTGCCTTATAATATATTATATTTTATGCTAAATAAACATGTTTTGTTATCAATATTTGTTTTATTGGTTGCTAAAAGTAGGGAGTGGTTGTTTTATTATTCTATGCACTGTTGAACCCAAGCCATTGCTAATCCCCGGTTGTACGTGACAAGGAGTAGGGTCGCCTGTCCAACCTCATGGGTTTTCTCCAGGTCCTCCGATTTCCTATCACTGCTAAAGACCCCTACGCGCAAACAAATTATTGAAATAAAATTAAAACCATATGTTAGTCTCGAAATGACCTACTTTGTGTCGAGTGGATATACTACTTCTGAATTTTATTAACATGCTTGTTTCAATACACATACAAGTATCATTATCAAGCAAATAATTTGCTTGATAACAATACCTGTATGTGTATTGAAACGTAGCATGTTAATAAAATTCAGAAGTAGTATATCCATACAAGTTATATTTATAGCACAGCTTTCATGAGTTAACAGGTTTAACTGACGGCCGAGGGGTTAAACCTGTTAACGAATGAAGCGTGCTATAAATGACTTGTAACATTGACACCTGCTCAACATGCTTGTTGTTATTGCACAGAAAACACACCCCACTTTTCTATATGATTTCTATTAAAACTAGTGTAAAAAAGCAAAAGTGTGCAATAACATTGAACATGTCTAGTTCGGATGGGACGAAAAACCGAGGTCCCGTGTACACATTGGCGTGTACGTAAAAGATCCCTTGACAGTTGGAATTCGATATAAGAGTAGGCCGTAGTGCGGCTGTCCGGGCAAAATTTCCCTCATAGCACACTGTATGGCGTATGCCCGTCTTCATTAGCCCAGTTCGGAGCAAAACAGTAGGACGTTAAACCTCATTTCATTTCTGTACCACTAACAAGGGTAACTCCTGGGAATATTCTCAGCTCCTTTATTTTTCTACAGCCTTTATCCAAAAAGTGTCATTTTTGGGTTCAGTTATGTCATTTTTCATAACCAAATACTCCAAGAATATTGCAATTTTCAGATATATGCAGATTTACAAAAATTTATATATTCATTGTATCTGTCTCTAAAATGCTGTAAGGAGTTGAACATGCCTAACCCCTAAATATAGAGGCATCCTAGACTCACTTCAAATTGTTGCTGGGGGTTTGGATGGACGAATGGTTAGCAGGTGTTCGCTGTATCATAAGGTCTGTCATTGAGTCAACTGGCGTGGTTTCAATTCTCAGATTGTACGTGACAAGGAGTAGGGTCGCCTGTCGAGCCTTGTGGGTTTTCTCCAGGTCCTCCAGTTTCCTACCACTGCTAAAGACCCCTGCTAAAGCAAATTATTGACATAAAATTGAACCACATGTTAGTCCCGAAATGACAGTTTGTGTCGAGTGGAGGTTAAACCCCCATTTCTCTCTCCATCTCTCTCAAATTGTTGCTAAAAGTTGATTGGCAACTTAACTTTTTCACAAAGCTGTTTGCATCATTCCTGGCTAATATAACACACGACTGTCAGTGTTTATTATACAAATATAAGATCATAGGTGTACGGGCTCGATGACTGTTAGGGGGGCAGAACCCGAAATGCCCGAAGTAATTTTGGGTTTACAGAAGTCGGTGCCGGTCTTCATCGAAATGGCGAAGGAGCAGAGCTTACCTTGTCCCCAAGCGGGCAAAGACTTTTTTCCGGCAAAGACTTTTTTCCCCAAAGAAAATTTTGCAATGCAAACACGTTTTCCTGTTTTCCTGCTATTTCAGCCCGTGAGCAAAGCAATTTCATAGTGGTCTGATATAGCCTAATTATGATGGCCGACTCGAATTCCAATCAATCGTTTACATTCAGCCTGTGAATATAGCCTACCTGGCTGACAAGAATTCCAAACCAATCAATTGTCACGGGGTATGGGGGCCTCACCCTCCCGGAGACAATTTTGAAAATTTAACCACTGCAAATGCGTTTTCTGCTATTCTAGCCCGTGTGAGCAACTCAAAAAGTATCCAATGGTTTTGTAACCGAAATACCATTCTGAATTGCAACGATCCAATCAGACTGTTGCAGCTGCATTCACAAATAATATTCGATGCCGGAAAAAAGTCGCACAAAATAGAGTGCCCCCCCGCACCACTGACAAGGAACCATATCGACAAGGAGATTATCTTCTACCAAATAGCTTCTCAAATGCAAGATGGGGTTTAAAATCCCCTCAACAAAAAATAGGTTGTTTCGGTATAATTTTATACCAATAATGCACTTGTGCGTATGGATCTTTAGCCGTGGGAGGAAACTTCTCATTTGGTTGTTTTTAACCAAAACAAACATGGCCGACAATTATTGATAATTCTTGAACACCCTGATACCACTTGTTTGTATTTAAACAAAACAAACATGTCTGACAATTCTTGATAACAAATTTATTTTTATGGAATGTGATATAAGATATTGTTTATACAAAATATATAGACTAGAACAATAACATCATAAGACCAGATTACCAAGTGAAATGTTAACATATTGTTTATACATAATATATAGACTAGAACAATAAGGCCATAAAACCAGATTACCAAGTGAAATGTTAACAAATTGTTTATACAAAACGAAACAGGGTTTAATGTCCTACTGTCATGCTCCTATACTGGGCTAATGAGGACGGGCATATGCCATACAGTGTGCTATGAGGGAAATTTTGCCTGGGCATCGGCACTATGGCCTAGTCTTATATCGAATTCCAACTGCCAAGGGATCTTTTATGTGCACTCCAATGTGTACACAGGACCTTAGTTTTTCGTCCCATCCGAACAACTAGACAGCTGTCCTTGTCAGGCCCTCCGTCCTGCATCACTGACAAGGGGAAACCATGCCGGAAAATTGGGATGAACTTTCTCGGCCAATGCAGGGATCGGACACCCGACCTCCAGGCTAGCGAGTCAGCTTTTTACCCACATAGCCACGTGATCCCCCTTGTTTATACAAAATATTGAGTCGACTGGCATTGTTTCAAATCCCCAGTGGTACGTGGCAAGGAGTAGGGTCGCCTGTCCAACCTCGTGGGTTTTCTCAGGTTCCTCCGGTTTCCTCCCACTGCTAAAGACCCCTACGCGCAAGCAAATTATGTAAATAAAATTAAGCCATATGTTAGTCCCGAAATGACCTAGTTTGTGTCGAGTGGACGTTAAACCCCATTTCTCTCTCTCTCTTTTATACAAAATATATAGGTTAAGTAGACTAGAACAATAACATGACAAGACAAGATTACCCCAATCTGATTCAAACACAGATCCTATTTCGTTTCGTTTTTTATAGTTCAAAATTTCGTTTTATTTGTCTTTACTTAACTAGGATCGTGAAGAGTTGTTATATTACAGGGGTTCAAGTTGACGTGAGGAATTAGCCAATGAAACGGTCTGTAACAGCGAGATCTTGGCATCTGCACAGAACTGTGTGCAAACCCCTCGAAATGTCAACGCTGATTGATTAATCAATGTTTGACGCCGTTGTAGGGTCAAAAAACGCTCGTAGTATGTCCCCTGACACAACCTCTCATATTTATAGATCTGTATTTTAATAAAATTGAGATTATCCAGATTACTGCTCTGACCGGTCAAATAAAGACGGGAATACGCCGTACAGTATGCAATAATGGAAATTTTGCCTGGGCAGCGGCGCTACTTAATATATCGAATTCCAAGTTTCAAGGTATCTTTCACATGCACGTCAATGTGTAGACAGGACCATCTGAATGACTATAGGTTGTCCCGTGCCACTCCTGCACCACTGACAAGGGAGAATCCCAGCGAAAATCACAATGAACCCAACACCGGGAACGAATAATAAATAATAATAATTGATTTATATAGCGCCAACAATTCAACTCAGTGAGCTGCTCTCGGACGCTTTACAAAAGTACAACTAATATAAAATTACAACAATCACAACACATTAATCAAAAAAACACAGGGTCGACCTCCTGGTTAGCGAGCCAACATCCTGCTCACTGAGCCACCACAGCTTCACAAAATATATCAGTGAAGTAGACTAGAACAATAAAGTCATAAGTACAACTAATATAAAATTACAACAATCACAACACATTAATCAAAAAAACACAGGGCCTCCTGGTTAGCGAGCAACATCCTACTCACTGAGCCACCACAGCTTCACAAAATATATCAGTGAAGTAGACTAGAACAATAACGTCATCAGACTAGATTATCCAGTGATATAATTAACATCACACATTTGTACGAATTATTAACATAATGTTGATATAAAATATAAAAGTTACGTTGACTAGAATAATAATATGATAAGATTGGATTATTTAGCCATATAATTAAGTTCACACATTACGGGACTAACACATTATTTTACTGACTACTGTTAGTAGACTAGATTAGACAGGTAACATTATTTTACTGACTATATAAATCATAATTTTAGTAGACTTGATTAGACAGTTAACATTATTTCACTCGACTATATAAATTATAACTATAAGTAGACTAGAATATACAGGTAACATTATAGCTGTATTACAATAGACACTGTATATGTATCATGTCTAGTAGACTAGAATATACATGTAACATTAAAGCTTTAGTACAATATGTCTCGTAGACTAGAACATAAAGGTATCATTAAAACAATTACAATATTCATATAAATTTGTTTTAGGAGTTTAGTAAACATGTTGTAAAATATGCTACATAGATCCAAGTTTGAATATTGGACAATGCTGCTTTATCATTGGAGAACATTTGATACAGCTTTATTATTCTGGAAGGTAACATTGAGATGATAGTGTTAGTATTACAATTGATACCAGTTCATTATTGAGATGATAGTGATAGTATTACAACTGATACCATTACATTATTGAGATGATAGTGATAGTATTTACAATTGATACCAGTTCATTATTGAGATGATAGTGATAATATTACAACTGATACCATTACATTATTGAGATGATAGTGATAAGTTTTGATAGTGATAGTTTTAGAACTGATACCATTTTTTTTTTCTTTTTACTTGTAATAATTTAACCTTTTCTTCTGATTGGACAGATGAACGCTTACAATTATCTAAAGGTGTTTTTCTATTTTTATTTTTACTGTGTATATCAATACCTATTCCTAGAAGATATTCTACTGCTTCTAGTATACCATATAAACATGCCAGATGTAAAACATTACTATTACTAGTAGTTCTATCATCTATATTACCCCCCATAGTAAGAATCAGTTTTAGTTTAGCTACAGGTTCTTTTTTAGATTCACTGCAACACAATATAGGTGACTTGTTATACTGTCCTCTACTGTGTATATCTATGCCTTGTTGTAATATAAATTCTACTGCTTCTAGTATACCATATAAACATGCGTGGTGTAACATATTGTCATTAACACTAGTTCTATCATCTATATTACCCCCCTTAGTAAGAATCAGTTTTATTTTAGCTACAGGTTCTATTTTAGATTCACTGCAACACAATATAGGTGACTTGTTATACTGTCCTCTACTGTGTATATCAATATCTTGTTCTAATATAAATTCTACTGCTTCTAGTATACCAAATAAACATGCCCGGTGTAACATATTGTCATTAACACTATCTCTATCATCTATATTACCCCCCTTAGTAAGAATCAGTTTTAGTTTAGCTACAGGTTCTATTTGTGATTCACTACAACACAATATAGGTGACATGTTATACTGTCCTCTACTGTGTATATCTACACCTTGTTCTAATATAAATTCTACTGCTTCTAGTTTACCATATAAACATGCCCGGTGTAATATATTGTCATAAATACTAGTTCTATCATCTATATTACCCCCCTTAGTAAGAATCAGTTTTATTTTAGCTACAGGTTCTATTTTAGATTCACTGCAATACAATATAGGTGACATGTTATACTGTCCTCTACTGTGTATATCTACACCTTGTTCTAATATAAATTCTACTGCTTCTAGTATACCAAATAAACATGCCCGGTGTAACATATTGTCATTAACACTAGTTCTATCATCTATATTACCCCCCTTAGTAAGAATCAGTTTTAGTTTAGCTACAGGTTCTATATTAGATGAACTACAACACAATATAGGTGACTTGTTATACTGTCCTCTACTGTGTATATCTATGCCTTGTTGTAATATAAATTCTACTGCTTCTAGTATACCATATAAACATGCGCGGTGTAACATATTGTTATTTACACTATTTCTATCATCTATATTACCCCCCTTAGTAAGAATAAGTTTTAGTTTAGCTACAGGTTCTATTTTAGATGAACTACAACACAATATAGGTGATATGTTATACTGTCCTCTACTGTGTATATCTACACCTTGTTCTAATATAAATTCTACTGCTTCTAGTTTACCACATAAACATGCCCGGTGTAACATATTGTCATTAACACTGTTTCTATCATCTATATTACCCCCCTTAGTAAGAATCAGTTTTATTTTAGCTACAGGTTCTATTTTAGATTCACTGCAACACAATATAGGTGATATGTTATACTGTCCTCTACTGTGTATATCTACACCTTGTTCTAATATAAATTCTACTGCTTCTAGTATACCATATAAACATGCGCGGTGTAACATATTGTTATTTACACTAGTTCTATCATCTATATTACCCCCCTTAGTAAGAATTAGTTTTAGTTTAGCTACAGGTTCTATGTGTGATACACTACAGTACAATATGGGAGACATGTTGTTATTATCCAGCTGATTCACATCATGCCCAGTATCAATTAGATATTTTACATCATTTATATTACCGTATTGACATGCAGAGTGTAATGTTGAATATATGGATCCTGGTTTACTTCCAGATGAGACACCATCATCAGTTTTGTCACTTAAATTGATGGTAGTTGTCTGTTGTGGATCAGTAAAACTTGTGGTAGTTGTCTGCTGTGTATCAGTAAAACTGGTGGTAGTTGCTTGTTGTGGATCTATAAATATACCAACACCTGTTATAAATAAACAAGTTATAGATTCCATCATGTCCTCTGGTTTGTGTACAAATTTCAAAATAATCTTAAAGATGCACTATGTGTAAGAGTTAAAGAATTGTCAGTTTATGACTCAAAACTTTAAAATAGAAAATGAAAGATAGTGCAGAATATGCCGACACAGCAGCTTTGTCTCAACTGCAGCTTAGCCTAGAGGAAAACTTGGATGTTGAGCAATTTTGAAAAAATCTTATCTCTAGGGTTCATCCTCTTATGACCCCATTGCTTTCCAAAAAAAATCTGTTAAAACCTATTGTCCTTATTGCGTTAACAAAGGTTTTTGGAAAAAGGAGGGTAAGTCGCGGCAGGACTGTGAAAATCAATAGGGATTGATGGCCCCAATGTTTCAAGCCAAATATTGGAAAAACACATTAAAAACTCTAGCCTCTGATGTTTATCATCAAACTAGATCAAGGCATTCACCTAATGAATGTCTACACCAAGTTTGAACATTCTACCTCAATTAGAAGAAGAGTTATTGTGTTCCAAAGTCTGGACCAATCAAATTGCTTATCGCTCTGCTTACCCTGAGCAGAAAGTGCTCATTATCGAACTTAGTCAAGGTATTCATGTGATAAAACTATACACCAAGTGTCCTCACTTTCACTTAATTAGAACTAAAGTTATCGTGTCCCAAAGCATCAACTAATCAAATTACTTATCTCTGCTTACCCTAAGCAGAAAATGCTCATCTTCGTACTTCATCAAGGCATTGACCTAATAAACACCTACACCAAGTTTGAACATTCTACCTCAATTAGAAGGAGAGTTATTGACAAACAGACAGACAAACAGACAGATGGACGAACCCATTTTAATAGTCACCTGCTTTCTTCAAAAGGCGGGGGACAATTAAGATATTGAAACACTGGATTGAATATCAGAAGCATCTGATTTCTATAATATAATATAACTTGTTTAACAGCTAAATATAAACGACCTGTCTAGACATGCTAAAACCTTCAAACTATCTTATATGAAATAATGACAAACAATAGTGGATGGCTGATATACCCGAAAATAATGGATGAAAATGAAATGAAATAGGGTTTAACGTCCTACTGTTCTGCTCCAACTGGGCTATTTTTTATACATCATATTGTAACATGCTTAAGTGTGAATCTTGCGTTTAACGTCCTACTTTTCTGCTCCTAAACTGGGCTAATGAAGACGGGCATACGCCATACAGTGTGCTATGAGGTGAATTTTGTATGGACAGGAGCACTATGGCCTACTCTTATATCGAATTTCAACTGCCAAGGGATCGATTTTTAGTCCCCTCCGAATGACTAGACAGCTGTCCTTGTCAGGCCCTCCGTCCTGCACTACTGACAAGGGGAAACCATGGTGGAAAATACCGATGAACTTTCTCGGCCAATGCAGGGATCGAACATGCGACCTCCAGGCTAGCGAGCCAGCGCCTTACCCGCTTAGCCACCATGGCTCCCTTATGTACGGATAATGAAGACAAAGGATAACATCATTGTTTAAAGGTCTCCTTTATCTAAAGAATGATATACCAGGATGTAACTGGAGCAGAAATTAACTGTAATTTGATAAAACAAACAATCTGCTTACCATTGTATTTTTTAAATAAAGCGAGAAGACTTTCTACATCCCTCTCTACCCTGGTTAATCTGTCATCTGCAACACTGGTTCCTTCCTTTAAATCTTGTATTTCCTTTTCAAGTTTCTTTATTTCTTTCAGGATCTGTTGTTGGTTTGCTAGAAGCTGATTTTCTCTTGATCGATATTCATTGATTTCTTTCATCTTCTCAGCATCTTCGCTCTGTCTTTCCTTTTCCATTTTGTCTTTTAGCTCAGACAACTCCCTGGCGATAGAGTTGTTTTTGTCGACTAGTAGCTTCTTCCTCCCAACCAGATGCTTTTCTCTGGTTGTTTCTGTGCATCTGATTTCCTCAAGGTGTTGGGTATTTGGTTCTCCTGAAATAGACAAAGCCCAAAGTTTAAACACAATACATGATAAAGTTAGATAAAAGATATTAAATAATAGAACAATCCATGAAAGACTTGGATAATCACAATATTCCAGTGATTTGTTTGATTTTTAACTGACTAGATTAAAGATTAACATATTATTCATATATCATATTATTTATATATCATATTGTAACATGCTTAAGGGTGAATCTTGCGTTTTCATTGAATATTTTAACAATACTATATTATCCTTATAAGACATATAGAAATAGATTTCACTAAAAATAAACACACTTGTATGGATATACTACTTGTGAATTTTATTAACATGCTAGTTTCAATACACATACAGGTATCGTTATCAAGCAAATTATTTTGAAAACGATACCTGTATGTGTATTGAAACGTAGCATGTTAATAAAATTCACAAGTAGTATATCCATACAAGTGTGTTTATTTTTAATACTATATCAGTATATAGTTATTACTTTTTAACAAAAAGTGCAGGAAAATTGCACAACACACAATCAAATAGAAACCCTAAAAACAAACCTGCGGACAAGACACCATGAACAATAAATGTGAGAGAGAGAAATGGGGTTTAACGACCACACGACACAAACCAGGTCATTTCGGGATTAACATATGGTTTAATTTTACCGGTATTTCAATAATTCGCTTGCGCGTAGGGGTCTTTAGCAGTGGGAGGAAAAACAATAAATGTAATATTAAATCAAGTAAATTTGCCTCGAATCCAGCCCTATGTCTGAGACATCCTGTTGATGTCTTCTATCTTTGTTTTGTATTTGATCGTTGGTCTCTCGTATAAATAATTACTCACCATCACAACTCTCTTCCATCTTTTGTATAAGTGCATCATGGCCAGTTTTCTCAAGACATTCTATAAACCGCGGATAGGAGTTCTGACCACAGTACAGTAAGATATGAAGAAGCTTGTCTGTAGCATCGCGGGTAATTCCGTCTCGAAAACTCTTCTGTACCTTTTCCTTATCATCCATGTCAAACACACCAGATTCAAACAAGGTCTGACACAATCTTAAAGGGTCTCTGATATTATAAATCAAATGCATAAATTGATTCTGGATCTTACTGTACTGATAATCTGGCATACATCCATACTGTTTTTCTGCAAGAGTTATAAAGTTACAGGATCTAACAATGCTTGCTGTAATTAATGACATTTGAGCTTTGTTAAAGATGTATTATTCAAGAGCTAAATCTGCCTATTGCAGAACTTTCTTTTGTCCTTAAATGTTCTATAAATTATTAACTTGCCAAGACAATAATCAACTCTCTATGCCATTGGATGTTAGTGATTTTCAATGGATTTAATTGAAAAATAGTTAATCAAGACTGTTTACTATCGTTACAACGGTAGCAATGATAATCAAAACTCAGCTTTTCTCCAAACAGCCCTAACGTCGCTCAGAATGAAGTCTTTTGACTGAAATTTTGAATATATTCCTTTTCATTATCTAGTTTTTAACTATTTTAGCGAGACTCTTCAGCTCTTTATCTAAATCTTACATAATGCATCTTTAACAGGGAACATTGTTTACAACCAAGATAAATCAGTATTCTTTACCACTGAGCTAAATCACAAATTTTAACATAGAAAATAAATTACCAGTCGACTATATCTTTATTACCATGATTAGAAAGTATAATTTCCTGTCACAACCACGTTAATAAAGATGGACTTACGACGGCATACAATGTTCTATGGGATAAATGAGTTGTTCAGAGAGCAATTTGATTCTAACTGCTACAGGCTCTTTTACATGTATGCCAAAACGAGCCGACGTCCTATTCTGTATTTTTAACAGGTAACGATGTGAATGTATAACAAACTCTGTCTGTTTAAGGGGAGTGGGGGGATGGGGTATCCTTATTAAATGTATATACACATATTAGTAGAATTGTCCTACCTTGTACGCTGATAGATCTTTCTTCTTGTAACATGTTGATCTCCTCGTAGTTTGGATTATTAGGTCCACCTATAATAAAATATTCATAAGGTTATCAGTATTGATGTAATGAACACTCTCACTCAATTAGAATCAAGTTATTGTGTTGGACAAGTGTAACACTATCCTGGTCATGGATCTCCAGAAAACAGACTGTGGCACTACTTTTGTTTAAATAGATCAAAGTTATCAACAAGTCAACTTACCATCACAGACTGGTTCCAGTTGTTCTCTAACTTTATCGTAACCAACTTTATCGTAACCAAGCTTATCAAGACATTCTAGAAATGGTTGATAAGCGCTCTGACCACTACACAATAAGATACAGAGAAGCTGGTCTGTTGCGTCACGGGGGGTTCCGTCACGTAGACATTTTTCAACTTCGTCCATGTCATGAATGTCAAATATCCCATATTTCACCAGGGTTTGACACAATTCCCTGGGGTCTGTGATATTATCAACAAGGTATGTAAAGTTTCCCTGTATCTTCATGTAGTCAGAGCGCTGTAATGGCCCACGCCGTTTATCTGCAAGACAAGAAAGTAAAACAAAGTCTTAACAGCTATTTTGATTCAATCTGATATATAAACCCCCCCACAACTTGCTTTTCAAGTCTCCAGAGAGAGATAGGGAGAGAGAGAGAGAGAGAGAGGGAGGTTTAATTCACTTGCGCGTAGGGGTTTTTAACAGTGGGAGGACCCGGAGAAAACCCATGTGGTTGGAAAGCAACCCCACTCCTTGTCATCTATAACTGGGGAATCAAAAGCATGCCAGTTGGCTCAATGGCAGACCTTATGATACAGCGGCCATCCAACCCCCCAGTCTCTAGAGAAGTAGAAGTCTTTCTGACTATCCCCTGGTCACCAACAATCACAACGGCTAAGGAAAGAGTCAGATATATCGGACTACCCTGATCACAGAGATGCCTCATCCAGCGATCATGACTTATACGTGAAATGGTGGTTCTGATGGTCAGGTTAATTGATAATCAAATAAACCCTGTCTTTGAAATATAATTAAAGGTATATTGATCTATATCATAGCCTACAGTTTATTGTGTTTTACTAATAATAGTGTCTTACCTTGTCTGTTTATTGACATCAAGTCACGTGTTGGTAACAGTATCCCTGGTTTACTTTTTTCCTCCAATGTCTTTATTCTTTCATCAAGATCATTAATGTGATGTTGTAAAGACCTGATTTCATCAATTAGTTGTGAGTCATGATGTCGTTCCAGAAGATGGTTTAACTTATGGACATCACAATCTTTTTCTCTTTGCAGCTGTTGTATTTGTAGTTGAAGCTTTTGATATTCTTCGACATTTTGTTCAGAAAAAACACTTTCAGTCTCTGTAATAGAAAAACCCATGTCAAAATTGAACAATAAAAATATCCTTTTATTATGACAGGAGAGAGGAGGTGTAATGCAGGAAAGATAGGAGAGAGGAGGTGTAATACAGGAGAGAGGAGGTGTAATACAGGAGAGAGGAGGTGTAATACAGGAGAGAGGAGGTGTAATACAGGAGAGAGGAGGTGGAATCCAGGAGAGAGGCAGTGGAATCCAGGAGAGAGGCAGTGGAATCCAGGAGAGAGGCAGTGCAATACAGGAGAGAGGAGGTGTAATACAGGAGAGAGGAGGTGTAATACAGGAGAGAGGAGGTGGAATCCAGGAGAGAGGAGGTGGAATCCAGGAGAGAGGCAGTGTAATACAGGAGAGAGGAGGTGTAATACAGGAGAGAGGCAGTGGAATCCAGGAGAGAGGCAGTGGAATCCAGGAGAGAGGCAGTGTAATTTATTGTTCCCCAAAGCATCAACCAATCAGATTGCTTATCTCTGCTTACCGTAAGCAGACATTGTTCATCATTGAACTCCATCAAGGCATTCACCTAATAAACGCCTAGACCAAGTTTGAACATTCTATCTCAATTAGAAGGAGAGTTATTGTGTTCCAAAGTCTCGACCAATCAAATTGCTTATCGCTCTGTTTACACTCAGCAGAAAGTGCTCATTATCGAACTTAGTCAAGTTATTGATGTAATAAAACTATACACCAAGTGTCCTCAATCTCACTTTATTAGAACTAAAGTTATCGTGTTGCAAAGCATCAATCAATCAAATTGCTTATCTCTGCTTACCCTAAGAAGAAAATTCTCATCTTCGAACTAACTCCATCAAGGCATTCACCTAATAGACACCTACGCCAAGTGTGAACATCCTACCTCAATTAGAAAGAGAGTTATTGTGTCCGGACGGACGGACAGACAGACATACTGACCCATTTTAATAGTCCCCTGGTATATTTAAATTTGTACTATTACCTTTCAGTGGTAGTTCCTGCATTTTTTTGACTATTTGGTTGAGCTCTTTGATCTGGTCTTTAAGTTCATTGATTTCACAGTCTTTTTCTTTTTGTATCCTCGATAATTGGTCTTTCATCTTTTGGACTTTGATATCTTTTTCTTTTTGTAACATTGAACATTGATCTTTTAGCTTCCTGATTTCATGCTGTTGTTGTTGTGTCTTTGATAGCAGGTCTTGGTAACTTTTTTCATCTGGTTTAGAAGGTACAACATTTTCTATATCAAATGAAATGAAATGAAATGGGGTTTAACGTCCTACTATTTTGCTCCGAACTGGGCTAATGAAGACTGGCATACGACATACAGTGTACTATGAGGGAAATTTTGCCCGGACAGCAGCACTACGGCCTACTCTTATATCGAATTCCAACTGTCAAGGGATCTAGACAGCTGCCCTTGTCAGGCCCTACGTCCTGCATCACTGACATGGGGGAACCGCATCGGAAAATCTGGATGAACTTTCTCGGGCAATGCAGGGATCGAACAACCGACCTCCAGACTAGCGAGCCAGCGTCTTACCCACTTAGCCACCGTAGCTCCCTTTCTATATCAACCATATTAATTATTCAATATCATTCTCATAATAACCCCCATACTAAACAAATGGTTGTCATGCAAGATATGCCCACAATAGATGGAGAACAGGGAAAATCAATAGGATTCATCCTTTCATTAAAAAAATGCTTCACATCGAAATTATAAAAAAATGTGATAAAATCTGTAGCCTCTATTGCCTTCACATATTTTGGAAAAGGGGGATAACTTCTGAATGGAATGCCACCGATCGCTGAATATCGAAAGTGTGCACCTCTCATGAACCCAATGCTTCAAGTTTCATCTAAATGGACAAATATTGTCGCCTCTGGAGAATACACAGACTTTGTACATATTTCGCATTTGAGTAAAAGGTAAGGGGCATAACTCCATCACAGAAGGTCCGATGCACACCAAAATCAAATTGATCTGAGAACTTTTGCTCCTTAACACTATTAAGGAGGGTGCACATATTACATGCTTTACACTATTTGTAGTGGAACGGCCATTTTGACAGGAACATTTGGTCCAATTTTAACCAAATTCAAATTTAATCATGGTCATGGTGTTACAGTGATATATTTAAATGGCTTTCAAATAAAAATTGTGACTGCTAGAGGGTTCACCAGTTAAAAACAAATCTTGAATCATAGTCCAGGAAGTTACGGTTGAAAGGAATCAAGATCCATGGGATAGAAAGTTATAAACATACCTATTAAGTTTCATTAAATTCAGATACAACTTGTTACCTCTAGACGGCTCTACAGATGGTCAACAAGCCAAAATAGGTGTGGCAGACACTAACTATGAGAATGTTAGCTGTTAAAACATGCTATTTCCTACATTCAGAATTCTAGAATATACCAATTTGTTTGGTTTAGCAGTTGGAAATATAACATTAAAGATAGTGGACTCATTTCCCTTTTTAGCCCTGGTGAGGTCACTATAACCTTTATTGACAGAGCTATCGATAAGAAACCTTAACTCTCAACCCTTCCTGTTTCGAGATAAGAGATGGTGCTATATAGTTTCAAGTGGGAAACTAACATCCGGATTCAGAGAAGCAAAATTGACCATCTTTTCTTCAAAACAACGATTGATAATTGTTTTTTATAACATTTCTGTCACATCCATCTACAATTAGGCAGAAGATCCTACCTGACACGGGTAGGCCTACAAATCCTTTTGTTAAATCGAAGCGATAATAGATTTAAATTTATGTCTTGAACACAGAAAATAGGCAGGGCCTCAGGTATAATATCCAATAAAAGTACTTACCTGATCCAAGTTGCGCAGGAGTAATGTAACGTAATTATGAATGTCTGTATCAATTTTAATAAAAACGTGCTTGATTTACTTTATTGTCAATATTTTCTGATAAATGAAAGTTGTTTCAGTAGATTGGGCTGCGTATGTCTAATAAGTTCTAATAACATAAAATTAACTCATTTTTAAGATGTCACATGTATCAATAAAGAATGTAAAAATATGCTACGATACCTATAACTGGTTTACACCCACCATCAGCCTACCTACGATGGCCAAAGTGCAGGCAGATGGGTCAAGGGGTGATTCCCCTGCACAGTCAAGTGTAATTTCATCACTATATATTATAAGGGTACTTATCAACCACTCTGTTCTTGGGTCCTTTTAACTGCCACAACACCAAATCCTATCAAATACCGGTTATACCATCAGCATATACTAGAGTCTTTTTATCTCTTATCCAAGCACATGCATTGGCCCAGTCCATTATTAAAACTAGCCCAGTCCATTATTGACACAACTTCATAAAAAAGGGGCCCTTCGTGGGAAAATCCATTTAACCCCAAAAAATGCCACTGCCCAACCCAGGCCTTATGTGCACTCAAGATGGAAAGCAACATAAAAACAGTTAAATTAAAATTGAATTCCAGGGATAAAAATCCCCTTACAAAAACACTTATTTTAAAAATATTAATATGGATATAGAATTTTAAGAGGGATCACATATATGACATATATACACATCTATAGATTCCGCCTCCTCAGGGGTTAAATCAATACAACTGCCATGAAACCATTGAGGGGGCTTGGATGGCCGAATGGTTAGCACGTGCGCGCTGTATCATACGGTCTGTCAGTGAGTCAACTGGCGGGGTTTCGATTCCCCGGTTGTACGTGACAAGGAGTAGGGTCGCCTGTTCAACCTCGTGGGTTTTCTCCGGGTGCTCCGGTTTCCTCCCACTGCTAAAAGACCCCTACGCGCAAGCGAATTATTGAAATAAAATTGAACCATGTGTTAGTCCCGAAATGACCTAGTTTGTGTCGAGTGGACGTTAAACCCCACTTCTCTCTCTCTCTCTCTCTGAAACCATTGAAGACATTGATCGCAATGAATTCTCAACCCCAAGGTTTTCGACAAACAGTATATTTTTCATGTGGGTCGCACTGTCATGATCTTATTCCTATAGTGGTCTACCCAAGGAGGTATCTCCATATCCTTACAGAGCTTACTTCTATCATGGTGCATTATCGACTGTGCATTATCTCGTAAGAGATCAGGAGTCACAATCTTATCTATCATTCCTGGGCCTTTCCAATAAGGACTTAATTTTTTTTTTCTTTCCTAAAGACATGCGGTATCCAAGATATATACATAATCCCCAATATCATAATACTTTTTCCGGACTTTAACATAGTAATCCTTTTTCATTCTTTTTTTTTTATGTTTGCAAGGTCTTACGAGCAATCTCATGCGATTTAACGATGTTCTCCTTATGGTTTTTTAAATATAAATTGGACATGAATTCCTGATCATCCGTTAGGGATCGAAACATTAAATCATCTGGCATATTAATCTCTCTCCCCAACATTAATGAATTGGGCATATACCAAGTACACCAGTTAACAGAGGAACGAGAGAGAGAGATAGAAATGGGGTTTAACGTCCACTCGACACAAACTAGGTCATTTCGGGACTAACATATGGTTTTAATTTTATTTCAATAATTCGCTTGCGCGTAATTGTCTTTAGCAGTGGGAGGAAACCGGAGGACCCGGAGAAATAACACGAGGTTGGACAGGCGATCCTACTCCTTGTCACATACAACCGGGGATTCGAAACCACGCCAGTCGACTAAATGACAGACTTTATGATACAGCGCGCACGCTAACCATTCTGCCATCCAACCCCCCACAGAGGAACGAAGGTCACCGGCTAATTGAGGAAAATAAATGTCCCAGTCTGCTGGCGTATCCCCCATATAACAGCGTAAGGCATCTATAAATGTACGGGTGTATCTTTCTACCTGACCATTGGAAGAGGGACGATAAGGGGTGGTACGGGCTCAGTGTATTTTCAATAACTCACATAAGGTGATGAATAGGTCACTTTGGAAATCACCCTGGTCGTAAAAATGTGAAACTCGACTCCAAATCTAGAAAAGAATTCATTGACAGCGGCCTTCGCTGTTTTTTCAACAGTTTGAGATGGCAAGGGGATACCTTCTACCCACTTGGTGAATTGATCCACCATCATCAAAATGTATTCATTTCCTTTATTTGACTTGGGCAAGGGGCCTGGAAAATCCAAATGAATTCTTTCCATAGGTGCTCCTAGATGATAAATTTACTAAATTATGTCTCGCTAACCTAGTTGCCTTTTTACTTCGATTACATTGCTTACATGATGCGACATATAGCTTGATTTCTTGGGTCATCCCATACCAGTAGTGTTTTGGTCTTATTCTGTTTAGTCCGATCCATTCCTAGGTGGCTTGCCGTAGGTACATCATGATTTAATCGCCATAGTTCGGAAACTAAGGGCTTGGCAGGGGCGGATCCAGGAATTTTTGCAGGAAGGGGTTTGCCAGGTTCCTGTTAAGGAAATCTGTCATCATCGTCTCTAAATTACATAGGCATACATACAAATTGAGCTTTTTAAAGAGAGAAATCATTTTTGTAATGATATAGGATCACATTGTGATTTAATTTCATTGATGCAAGGCATTCAATTTTTTTTGTAGCTGAGCAGGGTGGGGTTTGGACCCTCCAAGCCCCCCCCCCCCTCTGGATCCGCCCCGGCTTGGGCACTACTAATTGAGAATGTCCGTCCGGGTCTTTTCTATACAAAATTTGATTTTCATCTAAATATAAGTTCTGATTGATCCAATAACTTTTAGAGGCAGGACTAGCTAGAAATAATTCACCCTCCCCTGGTTCTATTTTATTAATCATCCAATTTAACAGAATAGCCAAATCTGAATCTAACTTTTGGCCTTGTTGGATTTCCTCTTCAAATTTGCCTGATAAGTTAAAACTTGGGGATGGCCCTGAGTATTTTTAGTAGAAACTATTAAAGCACAAGTTGTTAATATCCATCTAAATCAGTAGTACCAAGATTTTCATTAATTTTGTCTTGCCATTCCCCTTTAAAGCTATTTAGGTCAATATCAATAGTTGGTTACTATTAATTTTTGATGGGATTAAAGGGACAGCTTCCTCGACACTAATTTGATATTCATACCAATTTTCAGGGGCTCTAATACAATACAGTAAACCTGGAGTAAGTCCGATTCCTATAGAGAGAGAGAGAGAGACGGAGAGAGAGAAAGAGAGAGAAATGGGGTATAAGTCCACTGGACACAAACTAGGTCACTCGACACAAACTAGGTCATTTCGGAACTAACATATGGTTTTAT